TATGTTCTTGAGCTCATTTGGACCAGACGTGACCCCTGAAAAATGTATTTGACATCCTATCTGATTTTCCTCTTTTAACCATGTTCCATCTGTTAACATGGAGGAGGCAGGCTGCAGGACATGTACTGCTGCCAATCAGCAGGGGGAGCTATACAGGCAAGAGACAGTTTAAAGCAGGAAAAATACAGATCAGGCAAAGTAATGAGCAAAGTAGAGGGTTTGAAAAGGTACCTCTTTGTATGGATGGGTTTAGATGCGTTTAAGACATTTGGGGTCATGTAGTCCTGGCAGCAGTAACACCCCTCTAAATACCCTGGCAAAGCAACAATGCACTGTTGTCAGTGGCCAAAACAAACTAATGAGACCTTAGTTGGCTTTTCTGGCAGATTATCAGCAGTCAATTATCCATCCCTGTTGTGACAGTGATTAAATGTGACTTTCCATCTCATTTAGTCACTTTTCTCCTCTCATAGGCAGTGAACACACGCTAATCCCCGATGACATAAACGGCAGGTCGCTTTCCAATAATTTAAATGGTCCAGTAATTCAGTTGGAGATTGATAATTGAAGTCATGAGGGCCTGCATAACTGTTGTTTGTGTTTCAGGCAAAGAAACAATTAGCAGTTTTGCTCACCTACTCCCAGTGTCCAAACTTTGTCCGAGGTAAAATAGATGAAAAGGGTGAAGCCTCTGAAAAGGCTGGATCACATTAGAGTGCTTAGATATTGATGGGAATTAAAAGATCAAGTTAAAGCTTGAGTTTACATTTTTCATGACATGACATTTATCCAAGATAATTAACATTACCAGTGTGACTTTACACTAACTTTAAAGCTACTTTGAGAACTAAAAAATATAGCTTATTATGTAGCCTGGCCTGGCTGTGTTAAATGGTGAAAATCATCTTTATTATAGTTTTAGTGATGCTGCTAAATCGATGTTTTAGTTTGCTGTTTGCCTATTTCAATTTTCATGCATAGCTTAAAGCTCCTGTGAGGAGTTATTAAAATTTCAATAAATACACTTAAATTCATTTCCAGTCTTTTTCATTACATTCAAAGCAAACAAAACCATCAGCAACAAGATTGACAACATTTGTATAATATTTTTTTAATGCCAGTCAAGCAGTGAAAAGACAGCCCTCATACAATTTTCCAAATAAAATATTACTAAATGATATATTTGAGAGTCAGAAGTCTGCAGGATGGGATTTTTGTCAAAAATAATTGTTCAGGCATGTAAAGGGCAAGAAAAAGGCACTTTATCCATGTGGGGCCACCAAAACTGGCACGAGCCAAAAGTTACTCATAGGAGCTTTAACCAACAAACAAGAGCTTTCTCTTGGATTGTATGATATGGCTCTTGTCTTCTCATCCAAGATTCAAGCAAACACACTTAATTCCCAAATACTTACATTTGTTAACTCAGCAGAAAGTCAACTTGACTTCAGACACAAATTTAAAACCACAGCTTTAGTGCCAATACTCAACACATCTGCAAACTTCTGTGGACTAAATCTAATTATTTTTTGAGAAAACTCCAGACACTGCTGCCCTCACTTTCTGCTGCCTCATCTAAGTTTGTTAATCCTGCCGCTTGGTCATTTACAGAGCCTTTTTTTCATCACTTTTTCATTTTATCCAGTAGAATAAAGAAAAATAAAATTTTACATTTGAGAAAACCCAGAATGTTTAGTGAATCAAACACTGAAACAGAGCTGATGAAGTTGAAGTTGCAACTTTTTGTATATCCCTCAGAAAGCTGCTTATTAAATGTTGTTTTATTTAGACTTAGACAGCTTTGCAACTTAGGGACCTCTAAATGCTCTTACATAATTGTTCTTGTAACAGGTGATTGGAGGCAGATACTTTTACAGCTTTAAAGTTACCACATTGTAAATAACGGTTTAGCTCCAAAGACCTGCCAATAAAACAGGAATGTATTAAATGTGGAGTAAATACTTGAGTGTAGCTTCAAGAAATGAAGATAATCTACTGCATGACTATCATTAGATAACACACACTGACAATACACCTTCCAAGTACTTTGGCAGACACACAGTGCGATGCTTCTATTGTTAGTGTGTGCATGTGTAAGAAACCAGCGCCAAGTTTTATGAATGACCCCACAACCAAACACACAGATAAACACACACACTCAAACACACACACTCAAACACACACAGTAAATATAGCCTCATTTATCATTATGATTATGATTAACAACTTAAGGTGAAGACACTTACTGTTAAGCTTCTGTTATGTACTTTTGATCTTTTCGCGCCGTTATGTAACACTTGACTCTTGCTTCTGAACACCTGTCGGTGGGGAACCTTGTAAATCTCCGCAGCAACAGAAGGAAAATTACTTAACAGTGTATGTAGGTTTGTATATGTGTATTTTGTTTGAACTTATTCATATTAGTCTGTTGTTTTTTCCTACTATGAATGCATATTTCAGGGAATGCCTTATTACAAATGAGATAGAGTTCTTTACTTCAGAACTTTAACTTTATAACCATAAAATGGTCACTATAGGTCATGAAAACAGGCTTGGAAACAATGTCAAACTTTGCCAAAGGTTGTTGGCATTAACCTCAACTATCTTGGCCATGTTTACGAGTTCAGAGCTACTCATAAGGTAAAGGCTATCCTTGAAGAACCTTATCACCTTCTTCATGCAGAGTTAAGACCTGTACCAAAAGAGAGGAGGTTCACTTACAGCAGGAGGTCCAAATCAAACAGATAGGTCATTTGTTCTATTGGCAGCTGGATTCTTCAGTAGGCAGTAGAAATTGCTAGTGTAACACGAATGCTAAGGACTTTTGAACTTAGTGTGTAGTATGACACTGAACAACCATCTTTATGTTTTGTATTGAAGTAATGTATATACAGTGTATGAATCTGTCTATTGGTGCTCAGGTTGGATTTAAGTTCCTTACCAGATTACAATTTTGGAACAATACGTATTTTCCAATCCAATCCAATCCAATCCAATCCAATCTAGTCGAATCCATTCCAGTCCAAACCAATCCATGCTACTCTACTCTACTCTACTCTACTTTATCCCAATCTAGTCCAGTCAAGTCCATTCCAATCCAAACTAATTCAATCCAATCCACCCAATCCAATCCAATCTACCCAATCCAGTCTTGTCTAATCCAGTCTTGTCCAATCTAAACATGTTCCATCCAAACCAAACCTATTCAATCCAATTTAACCAAGTCCACTACATCTAAATCTAGTTGAATCCATACCAATTCGCTTCTATTCAGTCAAACTTAATCCAATCTGATCCAAGTTTATCCAGTCCAATCTATTTCAGTCTCCAATTTGGATTAGGAAAAAATCTAGACTACTTTAAGACACCTAGTTCCCAAAGCGATATGTGTGCTCTGGACTATTTAAGATCTCAAACTAGAGTAAATAAAGTAATTCAGATAATAGAAAACATGTTAATTTAACTAACATATACAAACAGTCCTAAAGTACTTGTACCAATCAAGTTTTGAATGCCTGACTTAAAATTGTAGTGGATTGTGTTACATTGAGGTACAAAGACTTCAATGAAACAAAAGATCTGAAATCAGTTTATGAACAACATTGGAAAAGTCTCATCAGTGTCAGACGTGTTAAACCATCTTGAGCATGTTGTTGTGGGGTTTCAAATGGGACGTGGCCCCATGGACTCTTGTACTCAAAGTGAGAGAAGTGTCGTCTTACCAAAGCAAGATATATTTTTACCCCCATGTTGTTGCACAGTCTGCCTCAGCTTGGCGTCTGCCTTTCTCCCCCCAACAGCAGCAGGTGGAAAACAGTGCCGCACATGTAAGAAGAGTGCGTCACAACCACGTTTTGTTTGTGTGGATGCGTGAGAGAGTTGGGTGACGGATGTTTTTCCAGGCCCCATTAAGGCAGGAAGGCCATCACAGACAAATTATAGATATGAGACACATCTTCAGCATGTTTAAGTGTTACGAAAGAATCAGAAAACCGCGTTTGGCATTGGTCTTTGACTTCCAAAGACACATCAGTCTCTCAAAAACTTTGAAATTAAAGATGATTTTAATTAAAAGAAAAAAGACCTTGAAATTTCTGCAAATCATATAGATTTATTTCCATCACAGCATCTTGATGTTACAGTAAGTCCGTCATGGCAGTGAAAACCACCACATAAGGAGTTTGTATCTGTGAGCTGCAGAGGGATCAGAGTATTCCTTTGAGGCTGTTCACAAAGGATTACTCAATTTATTACCCCACATAACAGAGCACATGCACTGCATTACTCGAGTGCTAGGATACAAATGTAGCTGTGCGGTTTTGCGTCATAAGAAACTAAAAACCTTTTGTTATGATCTCATTAGCTGAGTCAATGTCGCTTGTGAATTCTGACTCAGAGCCATTTAAAGGGCAGTAAAACTATGGCACTGGTTACATATGTTGTATTATACTGAAACCATTAAAGACAGGAAGGACACATGAGTCTTCATTACAGGGAATCCATTCACACTGGTCTTACCGTCCTGAAGAGAGAGGTATTTTTCATTTCTGTGTACCTGAATTAGTGACCACTTCAATAGAATTTATTTTAGCAGTATGTACTTTGACAACCAAGCCTCTTCTTCATTGGAGGGTCTGAGCGCTGTTTCATTTGGGCCCTAGTTTTTTCTGAAACAGGCCCTTGAAACAGCCATCACAGACATGTTATATCCAACCCAAAATAGCTTAATATGCAGATGATGTTTTATTATATCAATAAAACTATTCACCTCACAACTAAGCCAATTTGACAAACACAGATGAAGTATCTTGCAAACATTTTTATCATTACAACTGCAAAGGTCGATGAATTTATTAATTTGAATGATTCTGTTTCATATATGTGTAACCTGTAGGATCTGATCAGTACCAACCCATCTGAGCCACTGTCTGTCTTAGAAACAAACACATGTATTTTAACAGCGGTAAAGCTGGAAACAGAGCCCTGGCACAGCTCACAAGCGTCAACAAAAACAGGGCACAATGAGTGTTAACTGTATGATTTTTATTCATGTTTTATTTACTGCCCCATTTGAGAAGCAGATAAGGCTTCTCAATCAGCACAGTGAGCACATAGCTCACCACCAGTGTGAGTGCAACATGGCCAAGGAACATGTACATCTAAACAAGAGAACATACATACAACTTGTTAAACAAAAAACAGACAAAAAATGTTAAAATCTGAAATAAGAAAGGATGAAGAATCATTAAACTGTCTAAAGTACTTACAAAGTAGATGTCTGTGTAGTGGATTGGGGTTTCTTGCAAGCCCATGTACAGTATAACAAATACTGGGTGTATCAGATAGCAGGCAAAACTTATGTTGGAAATAGGTACCCAAATATCCAATGACAAGAGTGTGTTGACAAAACCTGAGGAAAGAGTAACACACATTTAAAGTATCTAAGTTTTACTTCTGCATCACGTGTAAAAGTTAGTAACTTCAATAACTTATGTAACTTGTTTATTTCCCTTAGAGGGAATAATAAAAGTCCCCTCAGTTGTCCAGTAGTTAAACTTTTTTTTTTAGTAGTAAAATGTTAGATAGTGTGGTGTGCAAATAACTGTCATGATCAAGACTCTTAATGTAAAACAAAAACAGGACTTGAATAAATGCAGTGTGTGTTTCAAGTTACAGGCTGTCATTCATGAATTTGGTATTTAGACTCTGGAATATTCTTCGTCTTGGTTTACCTCCATAACCCTCCTCACAGGCAACTATGATCCAGGTCACAGCCAAGGCCCACATGGGTCTGTGCAGCCCCTGGTAGAGTGCATGTGGCACAGACGGATAGGGTGGGGTCTCTCTGAGGACGTAGGCCAGTCCAGTGACTGCAGCCATGACTGACAGACAACAGAACCAACCAAGTGTTGCCTGCCACTGCAACAACAGTGAAGGATCAGCACAAGTACACAGAGGGGTGGCACTTTCAAACTCGAGCCGTGTAATCTGATGCTCTTACCTTTTTCTTCAGCAGCTGATCAGTCTTTTTTGTCAGATATACTCCAGTCAAGATCCCTATCAAAAAAGGTCCATATCTGGTGTAGGGTTTTACATAGTAAAACAAGACATAATTCTGAGACGTCCTGCAAGAGTGATAAATAAATGTAAAACAGTTAAAAGTTTACTGAAAAAAATGCACAAGCTTTTTGGTATTTTAATACAGACATTATTAAAAAAGTACAGACACATCATACATCAATTGAAAAGTGCCTGCATTATATCAGTGTTACTTAATCTTACAGTGTAGATGGATGAAAGACTGGCAGCTGAAGAAGTGCAGTTATAACAACACTGGTCAGAGTGGTCATCAGCAGAAGGCCTCCAGCAACACATGCAAACACAGCTCTGTTTCTGATCAACAAATTAGAGCATGAACAAGTTTAGAGATTTAGAGCTGTAATGGTAAGTAATGGCCCAAGTTTCTTTTTTCAAAGTAGGGGATAATATTTTAGCATCTTTAAAGAATCATATGATAGGACTTACAGTCTGTAAAAGAAGACCAACAATGGAGTGGTGGTGTAACACTGAAAATCCAGAGACAGGTACCATGTCCAAGGAATACACTGAAATGAGGGAAATGAAATGGGTCGGTATATAGATTACAGTATGTCTGAATTTCAAACTATTGGTCAACTTACAATCTCATGGACGGGAAGGAGGTTGCTAATCAAGAGTAAATTGGCCCACCAGTAAGTCTTACAATCCATCAGTGTATCTATTAATGGGAACCAGTAGGGTCCCCATTGAACCAGTGAAATGAGGCCGATAGTTAGACACACAATAAACAAATGAAGTGGTTGAATCCTGTGCAAAAAGACACAAAGAATTCAAATTTACCACAGAGACTTTCAATATATATATTTTTAATGCTGTACACATTGAGATTGATAGATCAGATATTACCTCTTAATCCTTTTAAAGATGTAGATGGCCACCAGGCTCAGACTCAGTTTGTTGTCTGCCCTGTCAATGGAGCCCAGCAGAGACCTTGCACTTAGCAGACCCCTAAAATACAAACACTGCTCTTTAAACATGTTTTCACAGGAGCAAAATGATGCGTCAACCTCTGCTTCTCAAGTCAACATCTTTAACTCTCACCCTAACAGTAAAAAGGTGTCCACAGCCAGAAAAACAGGTCCACTCATGGAGAGCACATACAATGGGCTGCTTTCAACTGTTGTCTTCCAGTTTTTGTAGTTATCTGTGATAGAAAGTAGGTTATGAATAGCAGACTGAAAAGGAAAGAAGCAACAAGTGCTCTCATACCCAGGTTGTTTATAACGGGGAACTGTGTAGTGTGTCCACATATGATCCACAACAGGCTGAGAACACGGATGCCATTGAGAGATGAGTAGCCTCCCCCTCTGAAGGATGAGGACATGCTTAAAACACCCTGGCTGGTGGTTTGTAGAGAGAACACCTGAAGACACCGGTACAAAAAGCGTCGAGGGAAGCATAGAGGATTTGGGCTGGTGCTGCCTTGGAAAGAGAAGCACAGTTAAAGGGATATTCCGGAGTAAAATTAAGTTGGGGTCAAACCATATATAAGATGGACGCCGACTGTCTCTTCGCCGGGTGAAGCCACTCCAAGAACAGCACCCCCTAGAGCCTGGCTGCAGTACAAGTCATAAACCCCACTTCTGCCAGCAAAGTGAATGGAGCGGCGGACAGCCTTTAGAAATTAATTACACAGAAAATACACTTTTCTCACCCCCGACTGCGATGTTGACATGTAGTTATTATTAGACTGGTTTGTGTTCAGGTCTTTTTTTCTCTCTGCAGCTCCATTTTAAAAAGTTATTAGGAGTTATAAAAACAGGAAATTGCTTCATTCTCTACACTTTGCACTTGCCGCTTGTGCGTCACTCTTTTTCGTTCATCGTCAAGACCAATCGGGTTTGCTAGCGGAGAAGAGGATTACATTTTTCCATCGTTTTTCTCTTTTGTTGCATTGGAAAAATGAGTTGTTCTGCAGTAAACTGTGTTAACCGACATGTGACATGACCGCTGACACATTTCACATTATATTAGGAGAAATGGAACTTATTCTTGGTCGCGACGAGCGGGGAAGCTATTAGTGTTACGAATGAAAGGCTGGAAGGAGATCCGGGGGGTCACTTTTTGAGCAGAGCGTGTCTAGGACACTATATGTACTGTTAGTGAACTTCAGTGCTGTTCTGAGCATTATTTGTGGTTATAGAGTGGCTTTTTGGTTGAGCACGTGGCTCTCTGTATTGCTATCATGCGGTTTTGACAAAAGTTGGTGTAACCAGAGAGGCTAGCAGATGGCAACATTCATCTCTTGAAGGGGTGTGTAACTCGGTGTATCGGCGTGTTTGACCCTAACTTAATTTTACGCCTGAATACCCCTTTAGGGTTCAAAGACTATAAATGCATAATTGTAAAGTCTTTCAGGAACCTTAGTTCTTACTTCTACCATTTTCCTCTGACGGGTTGCTGTTCGTGTCAACACAGGAAGAGCCATTGGTCCTCACGGTACCATAGAGGTTGAGACCGGTGTTTAAACAGGAACACTCTGCTGCTGGACTGACCTCTCTGCTTTGCTGCCTCTTAATTAAAGCCATAAACAAGGTAGCAGCAAGAGGGATAGCGACCATCACGCTGCACACAAATCTGCGGGAAAATAAAGATTTTTTTCACATTTTCTGCAAGAAAAAGTAGCTAAGGCTTGGAACTCCTCACAGTTAACATGCAACATACAAATCTAGTTGTATACTGACAGGCAGGTGATATCTGATGCATCAGGGTTAATTGTGTTGGACAAGCAGTGGGTCATGATCATTTCTTGAGTGGAATCATTCACCAAAATAGGAGGTAGAGGTGGAATAAGGGACATCTGGCCATACTGAAGCCTCCCTGTAAAAAAAAAAGTCACAAGAGGACAAATACAGCATCAAGATTACAGAATGATATTACAGTGGGTCTGGATAATACAGACTTTACTATCACTGACCAAACACCACCAATGTTTGCACATCTTCTTCTCCACAGGAGTCAGGGACACAAATGCCAATGAAGTACTGGGCTGTACCCTGTGGTATAAGAATAAAAAATGTGTTTAAAAATCACTTAATCTCACCCAAAATACAATTGTTTTAATAACATGTCTTCTTCTCTAATATCCTTTTTTTTTGCTGTTACCTGCCTCAGGAACACCTGGCAGTACTGTCCAGAGAACGTGGGGCCGTGGGCAGAGCGACATTGCTGAAGTAATCCAGGCTGGTTGACATTGCCTCCTTTCACGTTACTGCCCATCTTTCCAAATGAATCATACACTATCACGATACAAATAAGAGCACCACCAAACAACACACCGAACAACACAAAAACAAAATCAACTTGATATTGGGACAAGACAGCCAGTTTAATGTGACCTATTCATAGTCTGTCATAACAAAACGTATCCCATTGAAACTCACCGTTGATTACGTTTCAAGACTTTAAAGTAGACTATTTCAATTTTGCATCATTGATTCTTAGTTGCAAAACCAAGTCAGTAGATTAAAAAAATTTCAAAAAAATATCATTTTATTACTATTTTACACTTAAAACCAAAGAAGTATTTTAGAAGTCCTTTTACTGTCATTCTAACCAAACCTAAGTACAAATTTGCCTGGTGTGTTTTTCTTTCACCTTTTCCACTGACTGGCATCTTTGGGTGCAACAGCGCCCCTCTTGGTTAGAATGGTAGTTTAATGATAACAGGCCTGATGGTCAAAACCGGTATTGCACCATTAATGAAGGAACGCCAGGTAGAGCCGGCATTTTACGACTCTACCTGGCGTTTTTGAACACTTTACGGCCAGACGCTGTTCACAAAACTTAACGAAAACAGTTTTTAAACATGTGTTTGGTTGAGAAACTTGGGTGTTGAGCCAGTCTCTCAACTACAATACGGGCAGCAAAGAGTTGATAAGTAAATAAATGAAAGTTATCTTGGTCTTCCGTGTAGTTAACGCGAGACTAGCGTTTCTGTGAGACTAGCTAGCGCAAGATGAAATAAACTTAAAAAGTTACAAGAGGCAAGGGGTTATACCACGGATATAAACCACTTTTCCTTCAACATAAAGAAGGTAAGAAACAACTTTACAATTTTTCTGTCCTATTATGTGCTTTTGTGAAAATGTATGTGCTAGTGTTTGTCTGCAAATAAAGACTTACAGTCATAAAACTTTTAATCCTACATGTACGAAACTTCATTTTCAAACATTTTCAGTGTTTTTGATTAGCTTTAATTGTCCCTTAATTTAATAGTTGAAGTTGTAGTGGTTGTAAGAGTTATACTGCAGTGCATGGTATTGACAGGTGTTCCTAATATTTTGCTCCCTTCATGTTTGCAATGAATTTGGAAGAAAGAAAAAAAAAAACACCTTTCAGTAGAACACACTCCAGTATGCCACCACCATCACTACCCACTACATCTTCAATCATAAAGATAGACAACATATCAATCAATCAATCAGTCCTTACTTACATGGCACTTTTCATACACAACCATGTAGCACAAAGTGTTTTATGCAGAAAAAGGAAAAATATAAACAAAGAATACCCAAATCTACCCCAACCCAAGACTAAAAAAATACCCAAATCCACCCCAGCCCAACCCCTCATTCCTACCCCACAATCTAAGGCGTGTGCTCACTGAGGAAACGTCATTTTAAAACTCAAGATAAGGAAACACTGGAGGTTTAGGTTAAAATCTAAAAACAAAGTAGCATAGAATAAAATTTAACAAATAATAAAGAAAGTGAAATAAAAACAACAGTAAAAGATACTAAAATAAGAGCACCAAAATAGTTCAATAAAAGATGCTCTGTCATTACAACTAGAAGAGATAAATGCTTAAACACTTAAACAAAGTTAATGATGTAAAATTTAGTTAGAAGCAAGGTATGTTTTCAGTTTGCTTTTAAAATCATTAAGATTAACATAATCACATCATAGCTAGTAACTATGATGAAAAATACAGTAAAAGCCACTTACTGAGAACAGCATATTCTTTTGGCTTGTCCTGGTTAATTTCCCAGAGGAATGTGTCGGTGTCCTCCATACACCTCTGAGACACAGTCAAAGCCTGCTTATTTCCCAAGGCCAAACTACTGCCCGCGCTCAGAAGAAACACCACCCAAATCAGGGCCATTTTCAAGACTGACTGCATCTTTTGGTGGAGAATGTGTTTAAATAACATTGCAGAGGACACATCATCATCACAGTGGTAGCATGAAATTCATCCAGCGGGGGGTAAATGGAAAAACTGCTTTGGCAACTGCAGGTTGTCCCCACCTGGTTTTCTCAGTCAGGTGTAAGCAGGGTTTGGTTACATGTGGATGAGTGGCTAACAAAACCATCGAAGGCTGATGTTAACACACAGGATCAAGATAATTACAGCTGTTAATCAGTATCAGGTTTTACCTCCATGACCAACAACATAAGGTTTTGCATTATAATAAATATATATGTTTTCAGCCTAATTAGGGTTTCTCCAGTGGATTGGTTTTGTGAACTTGTTTTAGATCATCCCCATGTAAACAAATACGGCCTTACATCTGATTTCTTTCCAGGATGTGTCTTTTTAATGGAACCATTTGTGCCACATCAATGGCAGTCCAGTACTTAAAAAAGTCAAGAATGGCCACTAGGGGGTAAGCTTGTCTCAAGAACCAACATCAAGTGCTGTGACTCAGACAGCATTGAGGTAAGCAATCTTATATTAGCATGAACACATTTGATGAAGCTTCGCTTTTTGTGTAGGCATACTGGAGAAGAGCTATATAATAATAAGAAATGGTGTCCAATTGCTTGAATCTCTTGATCTGATTACAAGTCATTAGATGTACGTGAGTTATTTCACCTGAGAGTATGAGGAGATTTGTTTATTTATGCGACTAACAGAAGTAGAGCAATGAGAAAGGCCTCATTTATGGTGCAAATGAGTCTCCGGTAGTGTTGCAAAGCTCATTTTAACATAAACAATTGTTTTCTCTGTCATTGTTGTGCAACCAACTTGTTCTTCTTAACTTATTGAAGCCCACTCTTGTGCAGTAAATATATGGGACTCAGGGTGATCTGTTCGGTTCTTTCATTGAGTTTCAATGAAGTGAATGAATGACTTTTTAATGATTTGCAACCAGGGAAGCATGTATTAAATCTACTGAACAATGTCTTTGCCCATGAGGTGCTTGTTTGGCCTGGTGGAAAAAAAATCAAAAAATCACAACCCCTACAAGCTATTGTCTTCAAGGCAGACAGCTTTTTTTCCAACCTGCAGCCCTTTACTGCAAGTCATTCCCCCCCCCCCCCCCTCTCTCTCTCTCTCTCTCTGTGTTTTGCTCTGTTAATGGCCGTGTCCTTTTAGTGTAAGCTGCCGATTCTGGTTATGTGTTTGCAGCTAGCCACCACCGCTTCAATCAGTCACTACTACTTCTATGCCATAATGCTCCACTACCTGAATGTAAACAAGTTTAAATGACAGATGGAAAGTCATGGACAGTTTTGCTGTATGTTGATCTCTAAAGTGAAGATAAAGTCATTTTTGTGTCATGTCAAACTAACATAAAACCACTTAACTAGAGCAATGCATAACCAGCACAGGTATGTGGACATTAACCTGTAAAGTGGACCAACGCTAGAGGTGCTAGCTCTGCTTCTTTTAGCAATTTGAAGTAGCACAAACTGTTAACTTTTGCTGTGGGAAATGGGAAATGTAAACGAAGACTGTTTTGGAAGTGAGCTGTTCACCACCTCATCTAATAATGATCTAGAGGCGGTGATAACAGTTATTTAAAGTAATGTTACTAAATAGAAATTGTCCTTCTTGTTGCTGAAGGTCTTGATTGCTTATTGTTTGTCATAAAGGTCTATCAGTAAAAAATTCAGTCCATTTCATAACCAGCTTTTGAATGATCTCAGTAGCTTTTAGATTATTTTCCTATTGATTGTAAGTTTATTCAGGCATTCTTGTTCTTTGCCAGCTTGTGTCCTGACCAAGGTTTGGGACACAAGCTTGCATTTGCAATTAGAATCAAGCTTCTAAAAATATAATAAGTCAACCGCTCCAAGTGAGCCAGTTCAACAGATTGCGGGATAAACTAATACATAAATTATTGACACAAGTACAACTACACCATGAAGAGTATCACACCACGATTTCTGATAATTAACCACAGAGAGGATGGTTCATGTGAAGTGGACATCAGATCCTGCTGTGGTGAGTTTCATCATTTATTGACATAAAGAACAGCTTTATACACAAGCATCAGAAATGTCTAAAAACAGCAGCAGCAGGAGCAGCAAGACACATTCTACTCAACAAATAATTCACAGACAGCCTTTCACATGCAGTTTTACAGCACAAGCCTGTGTAGGTCTTATTGTCAGAGTAGAAAAAACGACTGTCTAAAACTGGATGATGATATTTAGGAATGACTGGAACAGCTATGGAAAAACAATCTTCTGATTCACGAGACTTTAAGTCTTAATCTTTTGATTTAACCTGTTGTCTTGTTTGAAAAAGTCTGTTTCACAGCCAGGTTTACATTCACAAAGTGTTTTTCCCTCCAGTGTTATTCTATTAATCAACATTCATTCTTTTCACATCACACCCAAAACCGTCTTGATAAGGATGAAATGTTGACATTGGTCAGTAAATACCGGGTCGGTACAACTTTATTTTTACCGAGCTGTAATGACCGGTTGAATTAGGCTGTAAGTAAAATTCAGATAAATAAACATTTTTGATGAATTTTGATCACAGATAGCTGCCATATAGTATACATATATATTAAGACAGAAATTAGACATTAAAACTTTGAATTTCTAGAAAATATATTTGTCAATCAACATTCAATTTGGCCAGTATTTTTGTGGTTAAAAAATGTAAATGTTTTTTTTTTTTTTTTTCTATGTCTGAGGAAGTTGTTAAATGATGATACATTGGACTTTATCTGGGTTTAGAGTTTTTTGTTGTCTAGACATTTGGTGCATGAAATGATAAAAAAAAAAACCTGAGGTGGTATATGTATGCAGCTTAAGATAGGCTTTGTTTCTGCCTGATTGTCCAATTTTTTTTTTTTTAAAGGTTTATGTAATTGGGAGTTCAAATTAAACTAAAAATGTGCCATCACATGTAACAGGATGTTCTAGATGGACACAGTTACAAGATTTAATTTTGAAAGCCAGTGTGAGCTCAGAGATGGATATTAGTTTTACACAAAATAAAAAAAAAGAAAAAGAAGCAAAGGGAATTTTTTAAAGCCAGTAATCTCGAAGACTCGAGGTTATGTGTGCTGTCCTGGTGAAAATTTAACATGTTTGTTCTTTCTTTCAGACATTCATTGGACATTAGCAGCTTTGAAGATCCAGGACACTACCAAAGATTATAACAATATTTCTGTACATTGTCTGGTCCGAGTGGGTAAAAGATGAAATCTGTTAAAAATAATAATAAAAAGAAGCTCTCCTATAAAAACAAGATCTATTTAAGGCCCATAGAAACATCTATATGTATACAAAAATCTTTTTCAGTGAACTTCTAAGACACAAAAAGTGACTTGGACATATATTACATATTTTTGTGTATAATGTGTACATATACAGTAGTAGTACCTTAATTGTACATTATTTAGATGCAGCACAACCATGAGAAATCAAGATACTGCAGGTTGACTGCACGGATTTTAAACTAATAAATTTTGTGAGAAAGTTTCCTCCTGTCTTTTAATGATTGGTTTCAACACATGGTCCTCTCACTTCTCTGCAGCGCTCAGTCTCTTTGACTTGATAAACGCCATCCCGTGTGTCCTCATGTGAGTGTTCAAGTTCCCCTCTGTCTCAAACTTCTTGCCACAAACTTTGCATTTGGTATTTGGTGTCCCGTCATTGTTCTCATCTGTGACATCAAGCTGGTTCTCTCTTTGACTCTCATCATCGTCTTTGCCTCGTCCGTTGAATCGAGCGAGACCTTGTGGCTCCTTCAGTCGATGGACGATAAAGAGGTGTCGTGCTAGTGAGCGGGGCGAGGTGTAGCACAGGCCGCACTCTCGACATTGGTAGGATGAACCGTCCGACTTGTGCTGGGGAATGTGATCGTGGAACGCTGTAATGTTCTCAGTGGTGAAGCCGCAGACGGCGCACTTGTGAATTTTTAAAATATTCACCTTGAGTCTCTTCAATGGCTGTGAGTTAGAGCCCCTGGAGTTCAACCCGGGAGGACCCTCATCTTGTTCTAGCTTTCTTTTAGGACTTCGAGTCTGTAGAGGAGGTTAAAATGAGCAGTTAGGAAGGACTAGGAACATTAAACTGACTCATAAGGAACAAATAAGCACATAGAGCTCTTCATTGTCAGACATACCTTTTCTTTTTCAGGTGACGCCTCTTTATTATCAGAACTGGCATTTTTCCCCTCTTGGTCTTTGACTTCATGCATTAGTTGAATGTGTTGATCCAGCAGCACTCTTTTAGTGAATGGCTGACTCAGAGCTGGACAATGCCTATCAAAAATATAATGAGAAAACAACTGTAGCCCTTGCACCTCCAGCTTTTCTTGTCTTGTTTGTCTTCATTCAACTTGTTTGCATTTTTTGTATCACTAGAGTGAATGAAAGTTTTTTTTATTGGATTTGTTGTATATATCTCTCTCAAGATTTGAAAACTTGGTCTTCGCAGCTGCAATAGCTGTATCATGTTTTTGGATAAAAAGCTCAGTTGGTGTGTACTCACGGACAGGTGTAGATCTTGCGCAGTCCCTTGTGCTTGAGACGATTGTGTCGGCACAGACTGTGGGAGGAGCTGAAGGACTTCTCACATTGCCGACATGGGTGCTTCTTTAGTATCTGCAGTATCAGGAGAATTCATTAAAAATAGGATCAGTGATGTGTTGTCTTAGAAACTTAATACAAAGTCTTGCTAGGATAAATTGAAAATACTTTGAATCACCTTGCCGTGTTCACGCCTCATGTGAGCAACAAAACTCTCTCTGGAACTAAAGGCGAGATTGTTGCAGTCCCCACATGTGTATCCTGAGTCGGTAGAGTTCTTGAGGTCGGCAGATGGGTTAGCCTTCGTTTTCTTAACAGGTGAAGGTGACGGCTTCTTTTCTCCTTTATCTTGACCAGTAACATTTCCTCCATCTTTGTTATTGTTATTATTACAGGGACTGTTTGTACAGTTAGAGTTTGTGAGCTTGGTGCTCAGAGGGAGGTTGATGCCAAGGTTGGGTGGACCTTCGATGGTCTTGAGGGTTCCATGGATGGCCTGGAAAGGATAGTTGCAGACAAAGATAAATGAAGAACTGGTATTTTGACCATTTCAAGTCTTTTTAATATGACTCATAATTGTAAGTTGTTACAAAAAAGTAGAGCACATTAAAAATTAAACTAAGTCTGAACAGATATTTATGCCAGGCAGACAAATAATGTATTATGTGCCCACCTTGATATGGTCCAACATGAGCTGTTTCTGTGCATAATGCATAGAGCAGTCAGGACATTTGAAGACTGACACTTTATGATTGACAACGTGCTGGTCAAAGTGTGTGTAAAGCAGGGACTGCAGAGTGAACACAGTATCACACATTGAACATTTATAGATCACCCTGGAAAGAAAGAAGAAAAGCAGTCCTTAGAAAGCACATCTGGTATCTCTAAACAAACCTGTAGATAGTTTGTTTTATGATTTAACAAAAATATGAATGATCACAGAATGGTCAAGGCTTAACCCAACCCATTGCACATTATCACCTGCTTTTTACTTTCAGCACTAGTGTAAAAAGAGCGGTGAAAGGTTGCCATGTGGAAAAAACAAAAAACAAACCTAAGCTAAGCCACCACATCTAAAGCCAAGAAATCCCACTGTTAATAAAGCGGAGAGGATTTTCCTCAGAAAAAGCAAATTAGACATGGGTATTGGATTTCATTGGTTGAAAAGAAGCATGCAAAGGTGTTTATTGATGTGTTTCTGTGTAATGACAATTTGGTTAGTGTAAGGTTTGTGTTAAGTTTGTGCCTTTGTTTTAGTTAAATGTTGAAATTGGTGATGCAAAAATATATCTATATATCTATATATTCAATTTTACAATTGCACTGTATATGCTTATGAAGCGTCCAACGTGCTATGCTGATAAATGATGCATTAAAAGACCTACTTTGGCTCTCCTGCCTTCATGCCTGGATGCTGTGTGTTCACATGAGAGTGCGTTCCCGGTGCAGTCTTGAAAGCCATTGGACAGAGAGGACATTTGTAGAAGATTTCACAGTGAATAGTCTGGATGTGGGACTTTACAGTTGCAACATCAGCAAATATCACACTACAGTGGACACAGCTGCAAGGAAAAAGACAAAAAAGATTTGATTAAAAAAAAGAGTCTGAAGATGCTACAGTTTGCAGGCAAAAATACAGCAAGACCTGAATTAAGTGTATGGAGCTTTGAAACCAGACCATCTAGTGGTTTATATGACTGGTCCTTTTTTTGTCCCACAAGTGCTCCTAAATTTATTTTACAATTTGCACACATCTATTTTAGTCATAAATGGGAGTGGAACACTGGTACTATCAAGTTCTGAACTGTACGCTGTAAATAGTATCAGTTTCGTGTGTTAACTACTTTGTTATGGTCATGATCGTACATGAAGACCAGAGTGGTTTTACAACATCTTCATAGAAAAGAAAGCAGGGTTTGGTATTTCTATTTCAAAACTAAATATTACACCTTTGAGAAAAAAGGAAGGCCTAAATGCCACATTTCTGATGCCAGAATGACTCATGTAAAAGCATATTCAAATACATTCATTCAACCAAACTTCTAATTGAACTTTAATTGGTCTGACAGACTTCTTTCAATGGTATTTTTTAAGGATGACTCCTCATATGAATCGTGGTTGTTTCAGCCTTTTTGAGACAAATTTGGTTGTGAGTAATATCACATTAGTAAAATTAAAATGTCAAACTGATGTACTTGTAATTTAAAAGAAAAGCAGGAGCAAGAGGATCGCTAATGACGGTGGAATAAAAATGCGCAATGTTAAGCACCCTGAACTGGCTTTTTGTTTTACTATCTAAAATTTAAAGGAAAAGTTTGAAATTCAAAGTTTGAAGGAGCTCAAGGGCTTTGGGAACTGTAGTTCATCATGCATGAAACTAAAATGCAAATAGTTATTGGAACCATCTGATTTGAGGTATACTGACCGGTAGCCAACTCTACGGGTATAATGGAGGCAGTTTTTGGTGACATGTGACTGGAAATGGACAGATCGGCAGCTGGCCCCACACTCCGGGCAGATGTAAGGAGACTTATGCTGGTGTATCCTCTGGTGCGACAGAAAGCTGCACTGATTGGGTAGAAGCATTTGGCAGATAGTGCATGTTTTCTATGGCATAGAAAAAGAGAATACAGGATACAATCAGTTACATTTTTACCAGTTATTGGTCTAGAAGGGGTTATCTCTGTATGATAAAACACTCACACAACATTATGCAGTAAAAAGACCATTACACAAGAGGGCAGTGTTTCTACAGTCAGTTACCATAGCAAAAGTGGGGTCTAGATATTTGAAAGAAAATCTCAACCTGGTCATACTTTGCATGCACTCACCTGCCCACTGGACTCCAGTGCCTGTTGATAATGCATGGCTAGTGAGCTGTCATCTTGGAATGTTTCATTACACTCCAAGCACTTTAAACTGTGCCTGCAGAGCTTTGATGCGTCATCTTCCAAGGGCATGGCTGCCGCAAGAGAAGCAGTGCATGGAGCGGATACTACTGCAGTTTGGGACCCACCACTAGGAACTCTCCCTATTACTTCACTCTTGGGTGCTTGTGCTTGGGAGGTAGAGATGGTGCCAATGATGTTGGAAGAGCCTGGTGTGGGTGATGTGGATATCATCTGATCTGCAGGAATGGGTTTTAGGATCAGATGTGAGCACTGCATGACAACCCCTTTGTCCTTGTGGCCTCTGGCATGAGACAAGAGGCTGCACTTGTTGTAGAACACAAGACTTTTGGCACAGTGGTTGCAGGTGACCTCTATCCGTACACTGCGACGTTCATAGTGCTGTGTCAGACTTTTCTCAAGAGCAAATGAATCACCGCACTCAAGACACTTGTATCCACGTGAGGGTAGGGAGATACAGGCTGAAATTGGTGGGGAAAGGTTTGGAACATACACAGGTACAGGGTTTATGCTACTCAGGACTTTATTGAAGGCATCCACTACAGAGCTCTGAGAGGTGGCGAACACTTGAACCCTGGAGACTTTTTTTGAGGCTCGGCCAGAAAGAGTTGACTGCTGTTTGACTTGATGAGATTGTTGATTGTGTGGGTGTTTTGAGGAGGACAGGGCCTGTTGAAGATCACAGACAGCAGTAGATACAGTCTGAGGCAGAAGATTTAGATGACTAAGATGAACTGTCTTTGGCACAAGCTTGGCATTAGTCAGACTGGAGGCAGGTACCATGACGGTCTGTTGCTGGATAGCATTAGCAGCTTTCAAGATGGCACTGCTGGCATTTTGCACCGATGCAGCTGGTATCACTGTTGCCTTAACTGTGGTATTGTTAGATAGTTTTAAGTTGATGACTTGGGAACCAGCTGTTTTGACTGCAGAGACAGGTAGAAAAGCTGTTGCCACAGGTTTGATAGTCATTTGCTTGGTTATTTCTATCGAAGGGCCTCCAGTGGTAGCTACTACCGTGGTTGGAAGAGAGGACCTTGGGGAAGATGTAAAAATTGCATTGGTGGTTGTTATAATGGATGTGTTACTCTCTCCTTTTTTTAGACCCTCAGGATCAAACTCTGGTAGAACTCTGGTTACGGTGCGCTTAATCTGGCCAGATGAGGTCTTGATTGTTTTAATCCTGACTTTTGGGATGACTGGGGTGGTGTCTGTGCTTGAGTCAGGGGATTCTTTGCTGCTACCTTCACTGATGACACTAGAGGGACTTTCTGGTTGGCTTGTCAACAACCTCTTTGCAATATCCAGGGCTGACTCAGGCTCCTGTATCTTCTCTGGAGTTCTGGGTTCATCAGTGATGACCATAGATTCTCTTTCTGTTGTCGGAGGCTCCAATATACTCAAGTCTATAGCACTAGCCTTTTTGGCACTGAGGGCTGCGATGGCTGCTATGCAAGATGAAAGTTTTGTCAAAGACTTGGCTTTAACTTGGGGTACACTGGACAAACTGATAAGCCCAGGTTGTTCTCCAACCTTCTTGCACTCCTGACCTTGTGATGTGAGGACACCGTCTTTAAGATTCTCCCCAGGTAAATTTGATAGAGGAAGGCCTCTTGAATTGGAAATTGTGCCATTGTTGTTATTGTTCATATCAGGTTTTTGGTTGCCATTTATTCTGGGCTTAGAAAAATTATCCACACCTACAGGCGATTCTGGATTCTGTTCCTGTCTATTATTTGTGGATGTCAGGATTGGCTGTCCTTCTTGCTTGTCCACAGGGTCATCTACCTCAATTTTGTCATCATCGTCAAACTCTTCAGCACTGGAGATTGGGCTGAACTGACTAAAGGTAGACGCTTGATGGTTAATTGGCTGTCCTTCATCTCTGGTAGTTTTCCAACCATTTTTGTTGTGATGGTTACCATGTGCAGTTGTAGACAAAGGGCCATTTTGAGCCCCATGACCAACACTAACAGAGCGGGGTTGGGAATGACAGTGGAATTGTTCATCCTTCTCAGATATAGTCCCAACATGATCAACAGTGTCTGTGTTTCGAGTGTTCTTTACAATGACACTAACAGCGATGTCATGTCCTATGGGAGGATTTTGGGCATTGTCATCATTTGATGCCACTGTGCCACTAGGTTGCTTGAGCTGTCCTTCGTGGTCATTGTGGTGACCAGACTCAATAGCAGCTTTTGGATCCACCATGTCAGGGATGTCGAAGGCTGCCAGCAGGTCGTCAAAATCTGGTGTCTTCATATCACCCATGTTCTTGCTGCTAGATCACCTGGGTAACAGAGATTTATGGAATAACAATGAGTTCTGATAATTTCTTGATCATAACAAGAAACACCATACTTTGCATACTTGATGCAGAATTTACAATGGATATAGTGCCTTTGTTATTGGGCTTTTATTTATGGAGAATAGAGTGAACAAATTAAAGAATGCAATGTACTCTTTAAATGTTGATCCTTTAAAAAAAAACAAAGCTAATATGAGGATAAACAGATTTCATGCGTATTCATGTATGTGCACAACCATCACCCAGATTTTAGTTTTGCAGTTACGTTTTCCACCAACATGTGTGCCTCTGCTGCCCACATACATTACAGCCTAAAAATTCCTGGTTGACCATGACTTGATTGTCCTTGAGAGCTTAACACTTTGTCCTTTTCATTAAACCAGATTGCAGTTTCAGTTTATGTATGGCAGGCAGATACATACAAGTACGTCCTAAATATATTCTCTCTTTGCCTTGAATTTGATAATGTCATCATAAACGTCAAATGTTTGAGAGGAAAAATTCGGAGAACCAAATGCTTGTTTACACAGTAGATAAATGTGACATTAAATCCTAGTTCTCAATAAAACGTCTTCCATCAATAAATCATCAAATTGCTGTAATTAACAAAATTACATGGGAAGAAAAATAACAGTTTACCAGCGTGCTAACAAAACTGTTTTTAACTCTGCCCAGAAGCTGCTGGTTGAACATGAATTGGCTATAACAGGAAGTCCCTGTCTATGAATAGTGATATTTGGGTGATTCGATTCAAGTTATTACTATAATAAACTGAGATTAGAGCAAACATGAGCAATTCTCTGTTCTCTGGATTGACATTTATTGCTTGTTTGTTGGGGTGAATGAGTCATGTAAACATTAGCTAGATGAAATGTGAAATGTAAATGATGACAAGTAAGAGACATTAAAAAGTCCTTAAGATGGTCACCCTTTACAAGCAACAAGAACTCTGGCTCTTGAAGAGAAGTTTGTGAAAGTTGGGAGGTGGACTTCATAATAGATCAGTCCTAAACATAGATGTGATAGGATGGGTGCGAGATGCTGTGTATTATGGGCATTGGATGGGATAAGAAGCATAGTGATCTAATTGCTCTGCTTATACAGTACGTGCAGTCTAACCCGTGCTGCTCTTTGATCCAAATGCATTACAAACACATCAGAACACACAAGAAACATGTCGCGTAGTTTCATCTTTGGTTTGAAAAATAAAACACCAGTGATCCAATGAGATGGCTTAGGAATTGTTGTAATTATGAGCCTGTCAGACAGAGAGAGAGAGACAGTAAGAGGTTAAGAAATAATATGGAGGGAGAGGGCAGGCGAAACAGGCAGTGAAGGGGGCAAAATGGCTGCTGAGCTGTGTGAAGCTGCAGCAGACAGAGGGAAAAAGGCCTGGTGGAAAGAACAGCTAGTCACAGCCATGACAGCCAGCAGCAGCCTGACTTAGACATTAAATAAAGGTAAAATACAGACAAATATGAAAAATACACAACACAAAACTCCTGTCATAAGCAGCATTTTAATACACATGCATGACAACCATCTGAAAAAAACAACAGTGTAAAAGAAAACTGCAATCTCAGTAAACTAAATGTAAAATAACAACATGCAAGTGAATCAGCCACTCTCACCCTCTTTCTCCGTCCCTCTCCAGCCACTAGCCAAACCTCCTTTCCTGCCTTCCTCTCATCCTGCAACAAACACAGTCACAACACTACTAACCTACAAAAAGCCATCAACCCCACCCTGCCTGGAAAAAAAACAGTCCTGTTTCTTCACAACCCAGGCGAAGGCCCAGAACACAGGGTCAGATTACATCCAGAGATCTGGTGAGTGCTGGTGGTCCTGGTAAGGATTCTCCTTAGTCATTCCCTGCACCAGTACCAGCACACTGACATACAATCAGATAGATAGATCATACTCCTCTATATGTGTATGTGAGAGTGTGTGTATGTGAGGCAGGCTGTAGGCTGCAGATTCACAGACTCCCAGCCAGCCACGTCCCCCTGTCCTCGTCCCTTCCTAAATCTCCCTGCCCCCCTCGCTTTCATCCGAGCTGCGTAGCACACCGACATGCAGCCAGCAGCGAGCCGCAGCAGCAGCAGCAGGGTCTGTGTCTGTGTCTGTGCCATGGTAGCCAGTGGCTGAGCCTGTCAATGGCTGCCATGCTGAAGCCTGGGCAATCTCTATTCCTCAGTGGAGCACAGAGCCGGCATTGTTCCCGTCAGCCCTCGGTCTGCCTCAAACTGGTTTCAGCTGGTTCCGGTCACCCAGCATAAAACCCTCTGCTGCAATATGGCCTCAGAAACACACAAGCAGGAGCAGTGTGCCCACCTCCCAGGAAGCACTGCGACACTTTTGACCAAACTACATGCATATTTTTATGTATTTTGTGGAAAAAAAGAACACAGAATGTTTTTAGACTCTGAAAAGAAATTTAGAAGATGCAATGCCTAAAAAAAGTAAACAGTAGTGATGAAAAGGAGATGCTTGGGTGAGTTTTGCATGTACAAAAACAGTAGGACAGTTATGAAAATCATAGAATAGAAACTGAAAGATGAGCTTAATCTTAAGATTTTAGGTGAAGTGATGCAAAAATGAAAGAGAATGACCAAAACATGGAAAAGAGGGGAAAAAAACAAAGTAATGGCAGCTGAACCTGTTACCTTGGCCTGTTTCTCAGTCAAATCCCCTTGTGCTTTCATCCACAGACATGCTAGTAGATTCCTCAGAAACTAAAAAAATCTATCCCGCAGCTCCCTGCAGCCACACTCTCAGAACAGTGATATAAAGACAAGGTGTGTAAAAACACAGACAGTCTGACATGGGCAAACACAGGCCAATCATGCACCTCCCTCCCCAGATCTACATCAAACACATGCCACCCTCGACCCACATATACTGACACATAACACATCAACACAAACATGCAGGTTCATGCGCATATAGAGGTAAATGTGGCATACCCTTTGTCAGATTTGATGACAGATATTCAGGAAAAAGACAGTCTTCCTGTAGAGGCCTTAGCACCTGCACTCACTCAGCTCCAACCCTTCCAGCCCCCATCCTCCTCCTCCTCATCCTCCTCCTTCCCTCCTCCCTCTTCCCACTCTCCTTCACTGTGTCAGTCTGAGATTTTCAGTCCCAGTCCAGGCCTCGATTTCTCCTGAAGCCACCACCACCACCATCACCACAGCCTTGCATGAAGGGACGGGATGGAGAAAGGGGGCAGTGTTCAGCAGGCGAAGCAGGCCTTTTGTCTCTGTGTGTGCAGGGGGGTGAGGGGACTCTTCACTCTGGCTCTGGAGCAGCAGCAGCTGGTGAAGAGAAAGGGGAGAGAGAGGGAGTCGGAGACAGAGAGAGGTGGGGGAAATGGAGAGGAAGAAAAGGAAATGAGCAGGATAAAAGCAGAAAGGGGGTAAAATATGGTCTTACTTAAGGCCTCTATCAGAGGGTGTATACAGCACAGATGATAAACTGGAAAATGTTGTTTGGGATTGTGTCCAAATACTACTCTCAAATCTGAATATGTCATTGATGATCAGTAACATTTCTGATCTTTTTCAAAATGCAAAAATAGTGAAAGCTTAAGCTTAGGTGAGGATGCCCTTTCACATCAAGGTCACCGAGTCTGCTTTTGTTTGTTACCTTAGATTTAGCAAAGTGCAATCCACCTGTCTGTGGACATATATGCAGCACGAAAGAATGAAAGAGCACATGGCTGCGTTTTAGGAATATGAAGTCCACTTGTTTTTTTTTTCATGAATGCAAACATTATCATCTCAATTTCACTGTTTAAAACACCTCCAGAGCATTGTACTAACAGCCATAAAACATCAATAAAACAGACATCTTACATTACATTACATATGGTAAATTAGTGAACAAATTGAGTATTTTACAACCTACCTGGGAGACTGCAGTGAGGCTTTCGGCTGAATAGGGCTGCCTCTCTTTGGCCTGCTACCAGTCCTGATTGAATATTGCAGACCTCTCAAAGACAGCCTTGAATGCTGCAGAATTAACTATCACCAGCCTTCATTAAGATGGACCGTGCCACATTTATTCACCAACACAAACACAAATGCATTTAATACACTGTTAAGGTGGCTATTTCTGTGTATGTATATCTTCAAAGGCCCCTAATGGTGCCTCCTGCCTTTCTACAGTGTGACAGATTGAGTGCAGGAGAAGAGGCTGAAGCTGCTCCCCCTCCCCGAACAGAAACGCAGCCACATGACGTCACACTTGGCTTCATTCATGGCGGCTACAGGCTATAAAGAGGACCTGCTGCAGTGGGTTTATCACCTCTGCATTAGATCCTACAAAGAATACTGTTTATTTATACATTAACTTAGATATGTAGCCCATGGTTATTGAATGTCCTGGCATGATAAGTAGTATTATCTAAGAGCAAATACAGTATTTTTTTTCTCTAAAAAAGGGTATAATCCTTTTGTTGTCCAAGTATCTCAAAGACAAGGCCCTCATGGCTGTTTTTGCGTGAACACAGGTGAACATTGGCTTGGACTTCCACTGTTCTTATAACTGTACTCATTTTTACACACTGAAGGTGGTACGCTACCCCTCCATATAATAGTGGTGTCTATATGAGGGAAAGGAACTGGACACAGACCGTTATCTGTGATCATTTACACCTCAACAGTGTATCTTACTGTAGCTGTTTTTTGATATTATGTTTAAATACCCAGTTTATTACTATTGTTTATGATTTCATATGTCACTCATATAAGCAACCCATAGCTTTATGTTGAATTCAGGAAATTTAAATTTTCTTATTTAGTTGAAGAATGGACATGGACATATTTCCACACTTTGGTCTGTTCAGTGTAGAGCTGAAGAATGCACTGAAGCATATTGAAAAACAGTTTTTTAAAGGAAATATAAGGCCTCCATTCGGCGACAGTTGACGTTTTACTGAAAATTTCATTTCAGCTTTTTTCTCCCTTACCCTTATATTTTGATTTTATTTAACAAAATTGATTATTTTACTCCAAATTTTGACCTAACTCTTGACATTTTAACTTTATGGTATCATGAAAAACATTCCTTTTCCCATATTTTATCTTGCATAACGAAAATGCCACATCAACACAGTGTGATTTCCTGTATGGTTAATTTAAGACCGATTACAATTTCTTTGGACTTGAAGACAAGAGATAACCTACATTTTACAAGAAAACTCCATAGCGTTTAATGTTATCAAGATCTTAAAAAATTTAAACTGAATTTCCCTCTTATAATCTTATGACCCTTCAGATTTATTCAGTTATTCTTTGGTGGTTGTCCAGCTCCTATGTGCATTAAAACAGGACTGGCTGATGGGTGGACCAGTTAGAACAGCTCTGTTCACACCATTTTTTTAATATTGTTGTGACAATCCCTAGAGATTAACATATACTATATATATATATATGCTCCTATTATACGTGTGTGTACTGAAATACATTTTTACTAAAAGGGGGAAAACAACAAATAAAGAAGTTCAACCAGTTAATAAACACTTTCTCTGTACAATCTTTTAAAATCAACCCATTTATAAATTAAAGCAATCATTATATTCCCTCTCCATCACTGTCCTGACTTCATAAAAAATCTGTCCTTTTAATTGAAACCCTCTGGCTAAAAAGCCTTTCCCTAACAGCTTCTCCTTTTCACAAGCTCCATCAGAACATTTCATACATCATCAGACAAATTTAAGACGAAAACTATAAAAGGAAATTAACAGGGTGTTATTTTCACAGCACAAAGCGAAAGATTTCCTATAAGAGATCACATTTTGTTCACTTGAATGTACTTGAAATCGATCAAATTAGCAAGAACTAAAATGTAGCATTACAGTGGTTGTTTAATATTTTGATGACGCTTTATAAAAAACTAACAATGATGTCGGAATACAATATAAAAATAAATATTACTGGACACAATATCATCTCGTGTGTAATGAGGGAAATTCTTTTGCAAATATTGCATAACACAAAAATAAAGTTACTGATTTTGTAACACAACACATGATTTACACAAGCAAAATTCAAGTCTACAAAAAAAAAAATCACTCCACACTGCCACCTGCTGTTGGTACTTAAAACAATGTCCAAGACCACAATCCACAGTATTGATGTGGATTTTACAGCTGGAGTTATTGTTGACTTTAGCAGTCAGCCCTCGTTTTGTATTTAAAACAATTAAAATTTTTCTAAATTGAATCAACAGCTTTAATTACAAATAAGCAAAACTGGATGACGCGGCTAATCACATCTAATCTTGGTTTGATTGGGTGCTGTGAAGTGATTTTTCTGTGATTAAGGGTGTGTTACTAACAGCTCCTGATCTGATAGCATACAACAATTTTACACCTCTGCTGTGTAGTATTTTAAGATTTCTTCAAAGCCTTTCTTTGATTTTACATAATGATGGAAGTATCTGGATATCAGGTTTTAAAGTTATGTACTGGTACGTTTATGAACCATTGTCTTTTTACTTATATTTCGATTTTTAGTTGTACACTCTTTGTTGATATTTAGTGATTTCTCTAGACTTAAACTCAGAGCAGGATCCCACGCAGACTCTTGCTGTCTCTTATTAAAGTAGACTAACGAATATTTCAGATGGCACTGCCCCGTGAGTTCTGCCTGAGACTGCTCTTTAACCACCGCTGATTCATCCTCCTCTGTTAAGGTCATCCTTTAAGGGATACGACGTGAGCCAAGGATACTATCTCATATTTGTCAGGGAATTGATTATACATTTTTGGGTGTGTGTGTGTGTGTGTGTGTGTGTGTATGTGTGTGTGTGTGTGTGTAGGGGGTTACAACCTGAGGTTACCCAGAGGAAACCCTCAACCTTTTCAACACCAAATGTTACTTATCTGCGTGGGCTCCTGACCTGTCCTCATATATTTTCATATCATAATGTGTCTGTCATGCAACAGATCAGTCAAGTATGAGACTTTCACACTGTTTTATTTAGTTTAATTCATGATGTTGATTTTTCCTGTATCGATTCATGACTGATATAAAACACAGTCACACTCTGAAAAAGCAGGTGTTACCTGCAGCTAAAGTGTCCATCTTTGTCTTTCCTGACACGCTGTTTGACCCGTGTTCCTCCTTTGTTAGTTGTTGACGTAAATTCCTGTCCTATATGGGGAACTGTATCGGTACTAGGGCACGGGCGTGTCTTGTTCATGGCAGTGCAGCAGATAATAACGATAAGTCCACAATGGATGGTGTTTCTTTGGCGTGATTCAGAGCAACCCGCCTCAAATGGATTTCCTTTTGTCTGCAGGTGTGTCCACAGCTTTTGAACAAAACACCTGAATTTGGACAACTCTCAGTTGTAGAAAATAACATTTCATACCATGGTGACTGCAAGATTAAGATGCTTGTATCTTATTGATGGGTGAATTAATGCAGCTTGATTTCATCAACCAAAACTGTGTGACTATGTGAAAGTCGGTCATCCGTTTGTTGGAAAGTAAAGGGTTTTATCCCAGGTTCTGCTCTCGACACATTTGCATGTTGTTTCAAAACCTGTAGATATTGTTCAGCATTAATGGAGCCTTCCCAGATCTGTAAACTGCCCATGTCTTTGGCACTTAAGCATCATCATACAACCTTTTAAAGTGTGTACCGATGGTCCTTTTTCACACAACATCCATGCTTTTCAAGCATTAATTTAAATCTTGACTCGCCAGATGCTGAGACCACTCCATCCCAAGTGGAAAGTTCAGCATTAATGGAGCCTTCCCAGATGTCTAAGCTGCCTGTATCTTTGGCACTCAAGCATCCTCATACCATCATAGAAGCTAGCTTTTAAAGCTCGATGGTCCTTTTCCACACAAGATCCATGGTTTTTGAGCATCATCTTAAATGTTTACTCGCCAGATGTCAGGGCCACTCCATCTCAGTCCATTCTCAGTGGACCCAGGCTGAGAAAACATGGTGGCAATTCTGGATTTGGTTAATATAAAATGTTCTCATGGCACGATGTGGGTTTGCCATATAGTTGAAGATGCAGCAACATACTGCATTTGGTCTTCGACATGTTCCTGATCCCATCTGTAAGTTACTTTATATCAATCACATTGAAATATTGGTGATGTGTTAATCAATGGGATGGCTTTTGAAGTATGGCTGTATACGAAACTTCTCATTAGTAAATGTACGTGTGGCCAGAGTTCTTAGTTTTATTGCCATTGTGCTTTTTGTACTGACATTACAAGGGGTGCAATACCAAAATGTGCACCCTGACTCCATGACATTATGAAAATGATAACTTTAACTTAAAAAAAAGTGCATAGGCAAATCTGACCAGCAGAAAAGTTGTCAAAATTTACTGCATATCAACCTAATTGGCTGGTTTTAGTGTCAGACATTTTCAGTGAATTTATAGGAGCACTTATGTGGCCAAATTATAACACTGAAATTGGCCATTTGGGTATGATGACTTGACAGGCGAGTTTAGGGATATTTTGCTGAACATCTTGTTTTGTTTATATAGAAGGCCACTTTTTATCTGAATAGTCTGCTTACTGCTCACCGCTCCGTCTTCGCCCACCTGTCCACCACGTTTGAACGGAAGTCATATGTTCTCGCCATGTCCATCAACATCAATTGACGCTGACGCCTCCCGCGCTCGCCCTGCAATTACCCGACTAACAATAAGGAGCCACGTTAATAGTTACGAGCTATAAATGACCATTTGTCATCACGTTCTCATTGAGCCACGAGCTGCGTGCTACTTTGAAAACAGCCGCTGACGCACAGCTGGATCAGGAGGGGCGCTTAACTTTGGCGTTAGTCACTTCTACTAAAGGCAGCGAGAGAGGGAGTTCAACAAGTCATACCTGCTCCTGCAGATAAATATCGACGATGGAGGAGGCTTTCTAAACTTCGAGAAGGCTGTTCAACTGTAGCTGAAGACTTAAACAGCTGCCTGCCTGTCGCCGTTTAGATCTGACATTTTCCTCAGTTTTAACATGAGTGGAGTGTGCATGTGCATTTCATGGATTTGGAGACCAGTGTGGACAGTTTTGATCATTTTGGCTACTGTCCCCTGCATGTTGTACTGCTCGGAGGGTCAACCTGATGATGGAAAAATGTACCCCAGAGGGAACCACTGGGCTGTAGGTGAGAGAAACTTTTTAATTCTCAATAACACAAGAGAAAAATGTTGACTTTTGCTTTTCTTTTCCTCAAAATTTTCAGGATTAAACATTTTACTTGCTTGATTTTAGACTTTTCTTTACTAATATTTGAGGAAATGTTTGATAATGATCATTTTGAGGGGATTACATTTGAATTATAATAAACAAAGAAAAAGTGAATAGAAAATAGAAGACGTTTTCTAGTAAATACAATAAAAATGGGTATCTCTGGGGGTAAAAAGCTGTTTGTTTACCCCAAATCATGCTTTTTCTAATATTTAACATTTGCCTTGATTGATTTTAGACTTTTCTATGCTAATATTTAAGAAAATGATTGATAATGTTCATTTTTATGAATTGCATTTGAATAATTGTGGAAAATAGAAGACTTTTTTCAGTGAATACAATAAAATGGGTATCTTTGGGAGGTGAAAAGCTGTTTGTTTACCCCAAATCAGGCTTAAAAGTTGGAAAAGGATAACATTCACTTTATGTTACTCTTTCTTTTTCTGTCTAATTCCACAGATGAGAGCCCATCAAACTTTAATTGGATCCTATTTAAGTAATGACACATTTCATCATCATGCATTAAATTTTGTCTGTCTTTCAGGTCATTTGATGGGAAAGAAGAGCACAGAAAGCCTGCCTGAACTGCAAGACACAAACAGCGACTACCTCACACCCTCCGAAGCAGCCAGGGTCACCGAGATGGAGCGATATGCGCGTCTGATGGAGGCTCCGAAGCAACAGAAGAATCAAAAGCAGACGATTGCAGAAAGGCTGTTTCGGCTGCGTAGCGGCTGGAGAGAAGAAGACAAAGACAAGTATCTCAGAGAGGTTGGGTTTTACATTTAAATTCTCCCAAAGTCATTTATTCAACATATATATCTTTAAAATTTACCTGTGTGAGAATAACGTTTTTTTGTTGACGTGTTTTTCTTCATTTCTTCTCTGCATCTTAGATGTCAAACCTGCTTTTTCTTGCTCTGAAACTTCAAGACGACGACTCCACCTGATGAGTGAACATCAATATCTGTTAACCATGTTATCACATATCCACGCCTCACTCTCTCCACTGTAACAACACCCTGTAAACCTGATACAAGTTTATTTTATTTATCATTATGTTGCATAAGATAATACTGCAGAATAAATATAACATTGTGATAACTGCATTGTGGTCCTTCTCTTTATAAAACTATTTTTATTGGAAAATGAGCTGTGCGCAGTACCAGTTTGTACCACCAGATGGCACACAGTGTCCACTTCAATGGAGTATGAGTTTTATTGTAATCAACTAAGAAGTTAAGTGAAGGGTGGAGAGAAAAATAATATTGATAATGACAGTAGAGCTCCATTAGGGGTTAGAGTCAGTGAGTTTTAATGCCTCTGTTTCTCATCAGAACACACACAAACACACACTCAGCTCAGGGCCTATTTAGGACAGTAGGATGGATAGTGAGGGGAGTGATTATTAGCCCTCAGGCCCCTGCACACAATGGGAAATGCTAATTGAAACAGTTTGGTTACACACATCCTTTCTCTTAAAGCCAAAGGAAAGTTTTTCCCTTCGGTCCCCTGTCCTCATTTGTCACGGATGATTGGCCGACAATGGAGGTACAAGCCACTTTCACCCCGTCATTATGAGTCTAATCACAGCAGCAGATTGGATAAAGTTTACAGGAGCTAATGAGGAGGAAATAAGTGGGCTGACAAACTCATCCTGTGACACAGAGAAACAAAGTGGGGGTTTAAGCTGCCTCTTCATAAAATGTTCTAATGATGCAAATTTGAGGTGAATGATTAAATGTTAAAAATACTGCGCAACTTGATCAATTTCAAGTCCTTAACTCTGCTTAGAGAAACTGTGTGACACTATTTTAGTTAACAAGAAATCAACAGTAATGTGATATTTATGTTAGAGTAAAAAAGAGGAATTAATCTGCCACAAGATTTCCATTTACAGTCGTTAAACTAAAGTTTTGTTGCTATGTGATGAGAAATGAAAACACTTTTTTTTTCTTTACCAGAACCAACCACAAGGGGGCGCGGTAGTTGTTGGATAAAGTGATATGTATGGGGCTTTAATTTTGTATGAATCTAGAATGAATGCATCAACTATACAGATCAGATGTGCTTCACTGCTGAATATCTTCCTCATTCATGCAAAAATGTCCCTATTTTTTGAAAATTTAATTGAAACTGTTTAGTTAAAGCATTTTTACATATAAAGTTTATTGTATAGAGAAAATAAACACATCTGTTAAAATTTTAACATCAATAAACAAAAATCAGAGATGAATCAGAGATGACGAGGACTGTGTTAACAAATGCGAAATAAATACTGATGGGTACTACTGGGCTTTTCATATTTAAAGACATAGCACTGCATACGATGAAAGTGGGCAAAATGAAAGTAAAAATGTTCAGAAACACATTAGATACAGAAGAAGAAGAAAAACTTTAAATCATGTCCATTAGTTTGATATTTTACAGGAGTTTCCGTTTGTGCCGCAGGTTTTTAGATCATCTTATTCAGCAATGATAAGCTGTGTAAAAACATTAGTTAAATGGCGATACTACATTACAATGTTTTAGTGGGAGGATGCAGATTTGTCCCAGGGTTAAATACAATCTCAGCTGTTTTATCAAACCTGTCCAACACCTTTTATTAACATTTATCGATGCTTAAAATGGAGACCTAAAAGTGCTATCCCTATTAGTGAAGGAGTGAATCAATTTCATCCTGCATGTTCACTGTAAATTTGACTCTTCAAAAAATCCAGTTCAAGATCCCAACAGCACGGTGCAGAAGTCTTTTTTTTTTCGGGGTATAAATGTCCATGTTACGTCCACTCAGCATCACCATGTCTTCCCAATAGCGTGAATATGTTCCTTGGCCTTCATTCTCAGAGAGGCGATACTGGAGTTCCTGGGGTCAGCCGAGCAGGGGTACGCAGGGGGCGGAGGGCACATGGAGCTCATGTGGGGCAGGTGAGGGCTGTGTCCCAGAGCAGGGGAGCTGAGGAAGGAGGCCGACAGGGATGATGGCATGGAAGCAGGAGGAGATGGGGCGTAGGTGCCCGGGATGCCCTGTGAGCCTGTGATGAAGCCGGGGAGAGACTGCAGGGAGGTGGAGGAGGTGATCGGGGAGGAGAGCCACGGGTCCAGCTGCAGGCCGGAGCCCAGGGAGCTGCTGGGGGAGCGGGTGAAGGAGAGCAGGGAAGAGGAGGTGGTGTCCTGGAGCTTGATGGAGCTCACTTCCAGCTTCTCCTGACGACGCCACTTTGCACGCCGGTTCTGAAACCAAACCTGGAAAGATTGGGGGGAATGTTAAACTCCAGTACAAACTTACACAAATGTAACCCTGCAAGGACAGCAGGGAAAACTTTAAAGGATAAAAAAGAAATATTTATACATATTATATTTATACAATATAATCAGAAATAGTGCAAATTTTAGCAAAACTCTTTAATCTGTAATGCTATGATCGACGAGGAAAATTATGAAAATGTCACTTGAGAAATTGCATTTTTTTCAAGTTTTAACACATTTTGAATTTCAGTTGAAACCAAACAGAACAGATTCTTTACTATGAAAAAAAGTCTTCTCATTTTCATATAGCTGAACACTTTTTTGACTGATCCAATAATTTAGGTTAATATTAAGGTACATGGATTATTATTATTATTCAGATCCCATAGAAAGTTACAAACCAATATAAGTATGACAAATGGAGATTTGTTAAAAAATCTAGACTACTGTTTATCCAAAAAGATGTTTCTATAATTTTTATTTTTGGACAAAAAAAAGAAGATTGAAACAACCCCATGTAAATATATTATTTAAGGTTTTTCGTTGGCCTATTTTGTCCTTTTCGACTTTTTTGTGTAAATAAAACATATTAATAGCCACACAATTTTAGCTACGACTGTCACTGGTATTTTTAACGCTTGCAGGCCTAAATTTTACGCGGGACAAGAGGGGGGAACAAAGAGTCTGTATTTGGGTTCCTACCTGTACTCGGACCTCCGGCAGGTTGACCTTCAGCGCCAGCTCCTCCCTGCTGTACACATCCGGGTAATGAGACTTCTCGAAGGCTCTCTCCAGTTCGTGCAGCTGGAAGGTGGTGAAAGTTGTCCGGTTCCGACGATGTTTCTTCTTGGGGTTTTCGTCGTCGGACAGTTTTCCGTCTCTGTCCGGTGAGTCGGGACACACGGATGATGCTTCAGCGCCGCTGCTGGCACAGCAAACACCTGTGGACAGGGAGGAAGACAGAGGAGCGTGAAAGTCTGGATTTGTCAGGTTTTAAACTGAGACTTAGTAGATTAATTTAGGTATTAATTGAAGCCTGTTTGTAAAGTTTCTAGTTGTTTTTTTAAGGATTTTTGTAGGCCTACTTTTTGCGCAAGAAAGGGCACCTGTTTTAAGAAAGTATTTACCCCATTAGGAAGTAAATTAAATAAGTTTAAGGAGAGAAATTTAAACTTACTGACTTTTATCTACAAAAAAATATTGTGTTACTCTTGATTTGTCCGATTTTAGTTTGAAAATTTGGGTTTTACTTACTGTCAAAACTTTCTGAGGAGTGACTTTTCTTCATTGGAGTCCCGATGACATTCCCGTTGCGCTCGGTGTCTTTGCCCTGGACTCTTTCCGTCATGTTATAGGAAGCTGATTTGAGGAAAAGTGTCTCCTCTTTAAATCCCAGTATGGCCTCGATGCTGTGGATGGTAGACGGGTTGTCCCCTTGGTTCTGGACGGCACGTAAGGAAGGAGACAGGCGCTCATCCATCATCATCATCACTTGGGAAGTTGATCCAAGAAGCCACATTTGTCGATAAAAGTCCGAAAATGGAGATAAAAAATTATTCAGAAATAACTTTTTTGCGTTTTTTTTCCCTTTCTTGTGTTGGATTAAGTTTCAAATCAGAACGGAGACTGTTGGAAAACTTGCGCACAAGACGCACGGCATTCAGAGTCGTCCTCAGTGGATATGAAGCATCCTCAGAAGGGGCTTTTAAAGTATTGCCTCCTGTAAGACCCCCTGCTCATGTGGCACCCCAGCAGCACGTCACAGAGGGGACGTCCTGATGGATTTGGTCCTGGATTTAGGGGTAACTGTGCGCACATGCAGGCACCAGCAGCGCAAAGCCTCCCTGCCTGTATAACTCCTCCCCATCTCAAGTGCATCAGTCAGTCGGTGCTGGCTTTAAACCGACTTACATAAATCTTAAAACCATCTTTCCACTCCTCCAGATGTCATGTTCATGTCAGTCTGCGAAAAAAGAGGAAGATTAGGCGCACAGATTAAGGTAGAACAAAATCATAATTACAAGATTTCTGGTCAGGACACGGATTGCAAGATGACAGCTTAATATTTAATCAAAGCGTCAAGATATTGTTGCCAAACCAAAAAAGACATTCCTTTTAGGAGGAGGAATGTTTGTTTTACCAATCTGAAGGAGAAACCGTGCTGCTCCTGATGAATCTGAGAAACTTAAAAACTTAATTTAATCACTTCTCAGTGGATCATAAACTCAAATTTGAATCATTAGGGATTTCTTTAACTAATTTTCTTTAACGTGCCAACTCAAAGAGAGCTAAAAAGCCTCAACAATAACAAATTTGGGCTATAACCACTTAACAGCAAACAAAGATTGACAGCAGTGTGGTAATCCTGCTTAAGGGGATTACATTATTTTACTCAAAAGAGTTAAAACCCCTAAAACTATTTAGCTTTTCCTAATTACAGAAGGTGACCTTATCCTTTGTTTGGCCAACAGAAGAGGGGGGGTCACAGGGAGAGAGGTGCTGGCTGAATACTTCTTTAAATAGCTCCACGTGTCCGAAGCATTAATTTAACAGCAAAAGAAGACACCCCCAATTTTTGTGTTTTCTGAGCACACATGCAGACTATGATAACAGATCTCTTAGCCAGAGAAGTTTCATTATACGCCATTCAGTTTTATTTATAAAGTCTCAACTTTGTTTTTACCTGAAAAGTTGAAAATTCAGCGTTTTACTGCCTGTGAGTCTTGAAATTGCTTTTACTAAGGAACGAATTAACCTCCCGAGTCAGTCTGGGGCAGCAGTGGTCCTCATGCTGGCTCCCAGGGTTGGAATCCAGCCCTGGGACTTTCTTCGGGTTTGCTCAAAAAAGAACTTCTTTAAATGTAATTTATTGTCCACAATACAAAGAATGACAACATGATGTGGACAAAAAATGTATATGCCGTAAAACAAAGTAATGAAAAAAGTTACATATATCATCATGCAAAAATCGAGTAGGGAAAGACACAAGAGTTCCATCCTGTATTAGGCTCTTCTTTTCCATGTAAAACTAAAATCCTAATTTTTTTAGATTTTGACTTCCATGCGATGCTTATTCTTTGTAGGGCTGGGCGATATGAGAAAACGTTTATCACAATATATTTTTTTCACATCAGTCGATACCGATATGTATCACGATATAAAAAAAATCACTTGTCAATCTTAAATGTTCCCTGTTACTCTTAAAATGATTTTTAACGTGCTCAACATAATCTGCAGTGCACACTACTCTGCTTCATATCCAACCATACAAAACCAAAATACTTCCACATAGGACTGGGCGATTATATGATCGTGATAAATTTCAGTTCGATCACGGTGATCAGCTGTGAGCTTATTTACTTGATCAAACATGGAAATGAACGTCACAACAGCCAATCAGAGTAAGAAATCACGCCGATGTGTAAGGTATGTCGGCGATCAGTTCCCCTTAAAAACCGGCAACACAATAGATCTGTTTAATAAAATGTTGAACTCATCTCTAGTTTCTTTAGTTTTTAGTACAGATGCTTTAAAACTGGCAGTTTAAAAACAAATCGTGATAATAATCGAGATCGGACGATATGAAAAAATATCATGATCATTTTTTATGCCAAATCGCCCAGGCCTACCTCCACACCACCAACGTTTTCGTGCCAGTGTTGTCGACGATGTCCTCATCTGTTGAGACTTCATCGTCATTTCTGTCAGGGGTAGCACTTATTTTCTTTTTTTCTCACCCACAGTGCTGTCGGCTTCACGTGTTAAAGTGCTATGGTTTTGTAGCTGCAGCCTGCTACTACGCAGTTGTTTGCTACTTGGTTCTAATTCAGCACATGATTGGTTCAACACAAAACGAACCCGGAGCAACTCCCCTTTTCATTGGCTATTCATATAGTCTACCAAAACATGGCAGAATGCAGACTATCGAAAAGCATATTGACCATTTTTTATATTGATATTGAGGGAAATTAAATTTTGATATACATCGTTATCGTTTTATCGCCCAGCCCTAATTCTCTGTTTGTCGATTAAAGGCACTATAAGGAGTTTTTGACTGGTTGGGAAACACTCTGAAACTGATACCCATGCTTCTTTATGGCATTCAAAAGCAACAAGAACAGTCATTTTTGTTGTAATTTTTAATACCTGAAATCTATGTTAGGGGGTAAGTTCACAGATCGACAGCAGGCTGAGGAAAACGCCTTTTTAAATTTTTTTAAGGCAAAAACTTATAGTGAGTTATAATTTTCACTATTAAAAGACAACAGGAAGAAGTTTTGTCAGAAAAGACTTCTTTCACATTTACAGGAGATAAGATGTATCACTTTTGCTACAGAGGGCGCCAAAAGCAACACAAGCTTAATATTCCCCACAGCAGCTTTAAGCTTCATGTGTAACATATTCAACTTATCTATGCTGAATTTCAGAGTTAATGTTATTGCTGTAATCTATTTATTAACCAAAAGCCCTTCATTACATTACGTTGTGTGAGGCTATATCACATTAGTTTAATTGGTGACACTTTATTATAACCATAACTTATAAATGGTAAATAGACCATTTATAAATGGTAAGCAGATAATGTTTAATCATCATTTATAAAAAGCATATAAACCATTAATAAATTGTAAATTTTACAATTCTAAAAACCTAACCATAACTCTACAATAACCACCTATGTAATGTTTATAAGTGGTTTATAAACCAAATATTAACCATTTACAAAGGGCTACTGACATTTTACATCTAGATGTTTTACAACCAACATTTAAACCCTATAAAAACCTTTAATAAATAGTCCATTAATAATTAAGGAAAATTATTAATCATAATTTCATTGCTTGTTAATGGTAAAGTAACTATTAACTTACATAAGTAAACTATCTATTAACCATTTATAAATTATGGTTATTGTAAAGTGTTACCGTTTAATTTTAACATAAAGAGTAAAATGCTCTGTTTTAATGATTGTATTTGGGACGACTTCTAGACCAGGACCCTTGAGCCATTTGTTGTCTAGGTTATGAAACTGATCAATCAATCACCTAAATGGGTGTAGAAGTTTCATTTAAGAATCCTGGGAGCTGTTTCTAAACTTCTTAAACAATTCCAAACATTAGTTCTTGAGGTGATAGCAGGTTTAATTTGTTTTCTTTGCATAGAGCTAGAACTCCTTCCCAGTGTTTCCAGTATTTGAGCTAAATTTAGCCAGCAGACTCCTTGTTCTGGCATAGAGTACTGGAAACAGTGACTAAATCGGATTTGTAACGTAGCTTTCCAGGTGTTAGAAGGCACTGTCTTACCTTTTGACAAATACATGCTAGCTTAATCTTTTTCTCTATTTCTTGCCTCTCTGCTGTATACTAGAAGCTGAGACTTATTAGCTAAAACCTTGCAGATGCTGTTTATTATTTATTGAATGAGACAGTTATACAAATTAATACTTAACAGGCTTTGATAGAATGTTTCTTGATCAATTTGCCTCTTGAAAAAAGAAATATATATATCACTCACTATAAGATTGAGTTGATCCTGTGGTACTCTTATGTAGAGAGAGCTACAACATAGAGAGGAAGAGCGGGGCCACGAGCGGACAACCTTGGCTCTGCTGATCCTATTAGATGGTAATCTCCAGACTTCATAAATCCACAGCCGTTTAAAGTTGGGTCCATGTGAAACTCTGACTGTTAAGGATTTCTTCCACCCCCTTTTTTTCTGCCTAATCATCCCTAACCAGTGTTTGGATAATGCCCAATTAAATTAAGACCTTTCTGCTTTATTCACAGCATTAGCTCTGATTCAGATAAGGGCTTAATCTCAATCTTGAAGGGTGGTACTAAAGAATGACTGAAAATCAGAAAAGCTGATGGATTTTTTTCAAGTCTCTCAGATACACACACAGAAAAACAACAGCATGTATTTAATATACATCTTTATTCGAACAATACATTTGTTTTCTTAGTTACCTTCATACATCAAGATTTTTTATGTACATTGTGTTTTTATGGAATAAAGTACGTATTCTAGGATGACAAGTTGTGCAAATTTGCAAATGTCTGCAACAGTATAGTATCACATGAAAGTATGAATGTGGAGAGAAGCTTTCTGTGAACATGTCAAGAGTGACAAAGATTGTCTGATTTGTAATAACACTAAAAGAAAAAAAATAGTTCAAACACCACATACAAAAAAAAAAAAGAAAACCAAACAAACAAACAAAATCTAGAATATCCAGCAAACCGAAAGGAGAGACAAAACACTTACACAGGATTGGGTTATTACTTAAATAAGGGTTTTGAGACCAAGTCTTATTATTAAGTTAATGAAATTACCCTTTTTGTGATGTGATTGTCTTATTTTCCGACATAAGCCAACATTATATCAAATAGTCAAAATGTTAAATGTACTGTAAAGTATGAAAGTGAGGCAAAAAGCAGTAATTTGCTGTCATTTCTACACATTTCATCCCAGAAAAAAAAAAAAAAAAGAATGTCACGGGAGAGATGGGGCACCCTGGTTTGATTTAGGGTTGTGTGTTATTGCAGTCACACTCTTTCAATACTAACAATTCTTATTGAAGGAACAAAGATGATTTGTTTTACTGCTTATGATATTCAACTTATTACCAGAGCTCTCTGCAGATTCCCAGAAAGTGCTGAAATTCATTTTTTGCTCTCGTCTGCTCCCTTCTTTTCCTTTTTTTCCCCCCTCAATCACAGACACATCCATCTGGGCCCTCACATGACGGAGCACTTCTCCTCTGCTTTGCTCTTCAGCTCGGTGACGGTGGCTGAGGCCTTCTCCTTCAGCTGGTCCATGTCCATGTTCTGTATGTTCTGAAACTGACCCATGAGAGAGTCCTTGCCCTCCTCCTCCGTGGCGTCCTCATCCACCATCTTAAGCAGCTCCTCAGGCACGTCCACGTCGTCTCCGGCCATCTCGATCATGTTTTCGTCCTGCTCACTCTGCGGACGTCAAGATCAGGCAAGAAACACATTTCACATTCACATTCATCTTTAGAAAACCTGCTCAAACGTGTATTTTGTTTCTTTTGTACCCCTTCATATCACTTTAGGTCATTACACTTGGATGTCATCAGTGCCAGGGATGAGAGTGGTCATGTTTTTGTTTTCCCCATTCATAACAAACGACAGTATATTCATATTACTGAAATATTCCTCAGAGGTAAACAACCTAGAGGCTGACTTTAAGGCTTTTTCCAGGATTATCATGCTGTCATTCTGCCTGATTTCCACAACATACAACAAACTAATCGACTGCTGCTTGCAATCCAAGGTACTGAGCATAATTTATCCAGTTTAAGCACTGAACCAAAGATAAACCCTGAAAAACTATCATCTCCTTTTTTATTTTTAAGATCGATTGTGCTTATCTTTGTGGAGTAGCTCTTGTTTTTCTGTTGAAGCATAAAATACTGTATCTCCTCGGTTTCAATGCGCATTACAAGCAAGCAATCAGGCAAGCTCTCAGATCCGTCTTAATCCACATCCATGTAGCTGCACTAGAACGTATTCTCTTATGTTTTTACATGTTTTATTTTTGTAATTCAGCTGACTCCTTTTAATCCAAAGTGACTAACAGTTCACCTCATTTGTCAGCGCATCATGGAAATGCTAAATTTAAATCTAATCACTTGATATCTGGAATAGTCGTGCAGTAGGTACTACTGTGACTACTTTAAGCGTCAATCTGGGGGATTATCTCAGACCTGCTTTAGCCTTTCCTCCCTGAATCCCAACCATAGTCTAAAGATATCTTCCATAGTGTTGCACGAGACTCTAAATCCATTAGACCAACAGCGTCAACTTCCTGGTTTAACTTGAAATGTACACTTAAAACCTTAAAAGAAATATACATTTATGTTTTCAAGTCCACATTTCAAGGCAGATTTGCGAGACCTCAACCTTTAACCCATTTAGAGAAAAGAATCAACACGACAGTATGCCTTTAGGTGTCTCATTGTTGTTGGAAATCAATTTAAAATGCATATTTCACGTATAATAAGGGCAAATCAGCCTTTGTCATTTGTTCTTCCTCTTGCTCGGAAGCAATGTAAACATCATTTTGAAGAAATAATTAGATTTAGATGTATAGGATCCTGCCATTGTTCTCATCGGAAATATGTGGTTTCAATTTAAAGGATGAACAGTGAAAAGAAATGGGCCTTTTGTTTAAAACAACAAGCGAAACAAAAGAGTATCTGTTAGGTGAGACTATTAGAAACGCCTCCGGCAGCCAAGGTCATCACTGCATTCAGAGGAATAAAAATTACTCTATTTAAAAGCGTGCGCTCTCAACTGATTCTGATTTTGCTCTTCAGCCATAAAGAGACAAAGTTCATGAAAACAGTAATTTCTCATCTGTTGAATCGATGGTAGGTTTAGCAGACACTCTGCAGGTATTAATCTTTAAACTGCTTGAATTAAATCTCAACATACCTTTTGTGCTCCCTCCATTTTAGCAAAATGATCTTCAGGACTCCTTCTAAAGTGTTCAGTTTACATCCGCTAAAGTAGATGTTGTTGTGCCTTAAAGCCAGCCCACACTGCCTGGCGCTCTCTAATGAGCCTGGGACACCTGCTCAGCTTCGGCTTTGTGAGACTCAAGGTGCAATATGGGACACTAACGTCTGCAAGACTCTGGTTGAACGTCTTTCTCGCTAATCTACTGACAGAGCTTCCACCTCCTGTTGTCCACCTGCAGCTGCCAAGATCTGCTGTTAGATAAAGATGACCTCAGCCATGAAGAGGCTTCGTTGTTGCTCTACCTGCACAGGCCGCTCACTTTAGATCACTTTAGAAATGAGGGCTGGGGAATGTTTTTACTTTACTAAATCAAAGGATTAAAAAAACATTCATTTAATCATCTATAAGTGTTAATGTATTCATTTTTCATCAGTCGCCACTGCTTAGGTTTTAAGATCATGAAACAGTCTAGTTATAGCTGATGGCAAATAAGCAGAAACTTACTCATACAGCGTCCTTATACCTGATTACAAATTAACAAAGACTTTCAGTTTGATAAATGATAAGAACTGGGCCCCATCTGTAGGGGGAGTTTTAGATGTGAAGGTAAAAATGACTCTTTTTAACATGATGTGACAGTCGGGTTTCAGGGACGTTACCTTTGGCAGCCGATATTTTTCTCTGAGGCACACCCTGAGTGTTGCTCTCTCTGCCTTCTTGTGTAAGAAATCTGCATCTCTCTCCATCCTGCAATAGAAAAAAACAAACAAAAGAAAACAAGATTGTCAGCAAAGCCACCACTAAAGGAATATCTGAGTTTCAAATAGAGAATATTAAATTTAAAGAAGAGAAGCTGCAAAGAAAAGCCCAGCCAGAGTTTGATGACTTGTTTTATCTCAGAATATCTCCAGTTCCAGGTATGTGCATCCTGTTTTTAAACTGATGTATTAGGGTTAGGGCTCTATTTTCTCTGACTAGACCTTAAGGCAACATTAATTTAAACACTATGCCACATCTTTCCATTTACTTCCATCCAACTCATAACATGCAAAAAGGTTTAAATTTAGGTTTGAATATCTCTATGAGTAAAAAATTCCTTTATATGCGTAAATTCACAACATAGCCCTTTAGGGTTTGACCATAATAAACCTCACAAAACTGGTGCAAACAGCTAAAAATGTCTTGTATTTTTCCTTTGGTTGTCTTTGATGTTGTCTTTTAAATATAACAGCAGACTTGATTATTTTCAACATTGTTTGCTCTTTTTACAAGCCTATCACTTTTGAAACAGTTTAAAGTACGATTGTACCAAAGTCCTGAGCAGCAAGTGAGTCTGATAAGTTAAGGTACTCCTGTATTAGTCCTACAAGGGGAAATTCCCAGATTATAAATGTATTAGAAATGTACTTTCTGTAGGTGTTTATTGATTTCTTTTGAAAGGATAGAACAAATCATGTTTCCGCCATGATTATTTCTAAAAGTTTCTCCATTTATCAGTTTTCGAAACAGACTGAAAAATCTAGGGTAGCGGAATCATGGGTACATTTTCTTTTTGTTGGTGACAACAAAAGTTTCTGCAGATTTCAGCAGGTTTTCTGTTTTCATATCTCTGAGTGAAACATAGGAAAATCCTCATCTTATGTGACCAAAAAAGTAGTACATTTAAGATGGGCCTAAAACATTTCTGTCATATTTGTACTAGCTTTAAAATGGTTTCCATTGGGAGAGAGACGTCTAAAATAGAAAAATATTGTTGCAACCTTTCCATTACAAATTGCAAATCTAGGCAGCATTGACATTTTCTTCACCCACAGTCATGAATTAAACAGTTTTGATAAAACCTTGGAAATATGATCCAAAGGAAATCGTCTTCATCAAAGACTTGAAAGAGATTTAAGTGGCTTATTGAGTCAAGTTATCAAAACCACCAATTAAGAATCTCCAGTTTTTAGTGGCTGAACTTTAGGACACCCTATTCTCTCACTACCAGAACGAGACTCACGTACTTTCCCTCAGCCAATTACAGATGGGATTATTGGGGCAGACTGAGTCAAGCAGATTTGCAATCAAGCCAAGACACCACAACTTGAACTGTAGTGAAACAACAACATACATGAGCTAGGAGACCATCAACACCCAGATTAACTATTGATAAAACACTCAAGCTGGTCTGATAAAGAATTACAGATCTTTGTTGCATTTATCACAGGCACATTAAGTCCTTCAATTTTGTCTCTTCAGTTTCATTTTTTGTGTAGATCAGGATTTGTGGCTGTAGGTTTTAAAACATTTCTAAAAACCTGCAATGATGGACAATGTCGTTGTCTTTTAAGTCATTTCCAAAACACAAGAGTGCAGGGGATGGATTAATGTGGTTATGTAATGACTGGATCTGCCTCATGCTGCAAAATCTACCCTGTATCCCTGCAGTCCAGATTCCACATTTGTCAAAAAGATCTCATCTTTGCACTCTTTAACACAGATTTAAATAGCTGCGGTGTAGTTTTCATGTTAAAGATAGTAGAAGATAGAAATTTAACACACACAAAAGGCGCAGGTTGACTAAAGCATAGAGGTGGACACTATAAACAAAAATATCCAATTAAAATCTGTCACCACTGCTATGTTAACAACTGCTTCTTTGGTAGATAATATTATCCAAATGTAACAGATAAAAAAATAACTTTTGCAGGATCACGATTGCTTCACTTTGCTGCACAACCTCAGACCTCCAAACAAATTTTATGCTTCGATCTCTTCGTAAAACCATCATTTTACGGACACTGATTCATTTGTTTTCAGTACGAGAAAGTAGTATTTTTGTTTGGTGATTTATGGTTGGGATTATTTGTCTTTATTGGTATGACAGCCAGAGAAAAGGAGGGAATATGGGGAGAGAGAGGGGGGAATAATTTGCACCAAATAAAGCAGTGATCAGGAGAGGACTATAACCTCTGTACATGGGGTGCATTATAAACTGCAAGGCTATGGGGCCCTGAGAAAGTCAAAATGTAACCCATGGCTGCTCTTGATGCAGAAACAGAAGACAGATTATGGGAGATTATTGATCCAGATCTAGCAAGACCGTTAGCCTCAGTCGGCTTTATGTTGTAAACTCAGACAAGATGAAAAAACAAATATCTCTACTGTGACCTTCAGCGGCGAATGCATCTTATAAAAACCGTTACCTCACTGACAGTGCATGGAAATGAAAAAACACACATCTTTTTCTAGTTGTAGATTGTTAAAGAGTGAATATATGTGAAAAGTTGTAAACCTAAAAGGGAAAGTGAAGATTCAAGGGTTGGTATGCAGGAGAAAACAGCATGTCAAGGTCAGATTGCACATTCAGCAGCCATACTGTTTTCCAGAGGCCGATGGCGTGGATTCAAAGCAGGGCAGAGTTGCTGTCGCTACTTACTTCTCCTCCACCAACTGTTTTTGGTACTCTTCATACTCCTCGCGTGTCATCCCTGCTGCTTTGGCTGGATCTGAGGGGGTGGCCTCCTCTTCTTTGTCACCTCCACCACCGAGACCGATTCCTGACAGGGGGTTCCCGATCATGCTCTTGATCAAGAAAGCCATCTTGAGTTGTGTTGCTGTTGAATCTACCAAAAGAGACTGAAACTTTGTCAGGAAAAAAAAGAAGATGTTGCTCCCTTTAAGTTGCCCTCCGGTTTGCCTTTCTATATCTGTCAATCTAGTGGTAGCTCTCTAGCTAACCTGCTGCTTCACTATGGAGCCAAGGACGCACTGACGACAAGCAACAGACACATACACACACGCACTGACACAAACACACACAACATTTTGCCTCGGCCATAATCTGGATTTAATCCTCCCTGCTCCACTATGCTAAGAGGCAGATGGCCTGTTTTCTCTTTATTTTTAAATCACGGAGACCTCTGTTAGTGTAAGGCGTCATCATTTTTCACTGTGTTTTTTTGGGGAGGGGGAAAGCAGGCCGCAGCAGTCGTCAAAAACATGCTTTTGGAGAACGGTGTCTGCAGTTTGGGACCATACTTATGCTGCATCCGCCCACTTGGGTTTAATCATATTAGTAGAGTACGGGCCGACCCGTGTGCAGCTTACACCACTGAGACCCAAGAGACCAGGAGAGAGAGAGAGAGAGAGAGACAGAGAGAGAGAGAGAGGAGTGGGATTAGAGTCTTGTTTATCCCCCAATGGAGCCACCACTCATGCCGTGCTATTGTTCAGAGGCAGAATGATTGACAGGAGGATGAGAGATGGGGAGGAGACAGCTCTAGTTTCATTTCACCATTTTCCTCTGTCACTGTCTGCGAGCTAGCTGAAGGACTTGTAGATCATCACATATGGATCCTCAGATGGATTCAAAAAACTGACAGCCTGACTCAGATGATTTGGGTGCATGTTGCACATCTTAGTCAATTACACCAAAAGGGCAAAAGGGTGTACGTTTTTCTTTTTGGCCTCATATCAGCCTATTCATAAATTAAACACTTTCCCTATCTATTCATGTTTTATGAATCTGGGCTGCAGAATTCCGCCATAAATTTGTTTGGTAACACTTTATTTGACGCCCAACTCTATACCACATTATAAATATATGTATAATGTCTTATAATCACGTTGAAGCACTGTATAACTATAGTTATAGACACTCATAAATTATCATAATGCTTTATAGCAATAATCAGAACACATTATAAAGCATTTTATCATGACTTACAAGGTCAGGTATTATATTGTGTTATAACTGTTAACAACTCACTGACAATGCCCACATAGATAATGCACTATACATACACTCACCGGCCACTTTATTAGGTACACCATGCTAGTAACGGGTTGGACCCCCTTTTGCCTTCAGAACTGCCTCAATTCTTCGTGGCATAGATTCAACAAGGTGCTGGAAGCATTCCTCAGAGAGCTTGGTCCATATTGACATGATGGCATCACACAGTTGCCGCAGATTTGTCGGCTGCACATCCATGATGCGAATCTCCCGTTCCACCACATCCCAAAGATGCTCTATTGGATTGAGATCTGGTGACTGTGGAGGCCATTTGAGTACAGTGAACTCATTGTCATGTTCAAGAAACCAGTCTGAGATGATTCCAGCTTTATGACATGGCGCATTATCCTGCTGAAAGTAGCCATCAGAAGTTGGGTACATTGTGGTCATAAAGGGATGGACATGGTCAGCAACAATACTCAGGTAGGCTGTGGCGCTGCAACGATGCTCAATTGGTACCAAGGGGCCCAAAGAGTGCCAAGAAAATATTCCCCACACCATGACACCACCACCACCAGCCTGAACCGTTGATACAAGGCAGGATGGATCCATGCTTTCATGTTGTTGACGCCAAATTCTGACCCTACCATCCGAATGTCGCAGCAGAAATCGAGACTCATCAGACCAGGCAACGTTTTTCCAATCTTCTATTGTCCAATTTCGATGAGCTTGTGCAAATTGTAGCCTCAGTTTCCTGTTCTTAGCTGAAAGGAGTGGCACCCGGTGTGGTCTTCTGCTGCTGTAGCCCATCTGCCTCAAAGTTCGACGTACTTTGCGTTCAGAGATGCTCTTCTGCCTACCTTGGTTGTAACGGGTGGTTATTTGAGTCACTGTTGCCTTTCTATCAGCTCGAACCAGTCTGGCCATTCTCCTCTGACCTCTGGCATCAACAGGGCATTTCCGCCCACAGAACTGCCGCTCACTGGATATTTTTTCTTTTTCGGACCATTCTCTGTAAACCCTAGAGATGGTTGTGCGTGAAAATCCCAGTAGATCAGCAGTTTCTGAAATACTCAGACCAGCCCTTCTGGCACCAACAACCATGCCACGTTCAAAGTCACTCAAATCACCTTTCTTCCCCATACTGATGCTCGGTTTGAACTGCAGGAGATTGTCTTGACCATGTCTACATGCCTAAATGCACTAAGTTGCCGCCATGTGATTGGCTGATTAGAAATTAAGTGTTAACGAGGAGTTGGACAGGTGTACCTAATAAAGTGGCCGGTGAGTGTATATTTATGATGTGTTATAATTTGCTTATAAACTTGTATCACTATCATTATAAACACTCATTAATTATAATAAGCATAACACATTATAATACCTGACCTTTAAGTCATGATAAAATGGTTTATAATATGTTATAATTATTGCTATAAAGCATTATGATCATTTATGAGTGTTTATAATTATAGTTATACAGTGCTGTAACATGATTATAACGCATTATACATATATTTTTCATTCGTTATAGAGATAGGCATCAAGTAAAATGTTAGCATTTGTTTTAACAGAACCTTTAATAAATGGTTACGGTCATCTAATAGTGGTATTTATGGTCTATCTCAGTTGTGTATCTGTCTAGATAATCCAGCAGTGTCTGAACAGTTCCTCTGAAATTTAAGGTTTTGTTTAGCTGAAAATTTAATCCTGTATTCTTGCGATTTTTTCATGATACGCCCAAGTGAAACTAGTGCTATTGGTAACCACTAAACAAAACATGAGTAAATGTTTCTTAATGTCAACTGGTTGGTTAGTAACTTTGATTTAACACTTGAGTAAAGTCATTAAAGCTCCCTTGAGGAGTTTTTTGATGGCTATGAAATTTACTGAAGTTCATATTGAAGCATGGCTATGAATTTAGCTGCTAACCTTAGCTGCTAAGGCTAGGGTGACCATACGTCTCTTTTACCCGGACATGTCCTCTTTTTGGGGGACTGGGGAGGTTATAAAATCCTTTAAATGTCCGGGGTTTTGTATGGAGGGTTTGAGTTTGTGTCACGTGGACTAACCGAGTTAGAAGCGCACAAAATAAATAAATAAATAAATAAAAATAAAAAATTCCTAAAAAACTTTCAAAATGAACTATGAGCAACTCCGTGACTTTGCCCTGCATAGTAGTATCCTCTTTTGTGGGATTCAGAAAATGGTCACCCTAGCTAAGACAATTTGAACTGAGTCTTAGAAGCTGAGGTTAGCTAACTAACTAGCATGCTAACTTTAGCTTCTAAGACAATATGAACTGAGTCTTAGAAGCTGAGGTTAGCTAACTAACTAGCATGCTAACTTTAGCTCATGCTAACCTTAGCTGCTCTATAACTGTATGAGAAAGAGTCATACAAAATATTTTACCTTATGGCCCTGCAGTTTTTAATTACTGGTTGTTCTGAACTGACATGAAACTCTTTGTCATATTTCCTATGTTTGATTGATAACCTGGAATCTATTATACTGTAGAAGAATTTTAGGCAAAATTTCCAAATTTGTGAGTGTACTTCTGAGCAACTGCAACTGAAATGCTAAACCTGAGTGGTTTAGCAACTGGCGGAATAGTGATAGTACAGATTATACACCAGTTGTGATGTGTAAATTATAATCATTAGTTTATAGATCTTAAGTAATTAAGTGTGTCACAAACATTGTTTCCAAGTAGCACTCTTGTTCGAGGTGCTACACACTTATGCAGGGTTTACACAATAATTTTCACATCACAGCTAAACCTTCATTTAGAAATTTGACCTGTACGATATTTATTAGGGGTGGGAGAATAAAAATCAATTCACATAAGTGTTGCGATTTTTTGTTTTACAATTTTTAAATCATTTTTTATGTTCAAAACTTTTTTTCCCCCAAATTTAAGAATAAATCTTAAAAACTGACTTACATGTGATGTGTATTATTTGGGGAAATATGGTTCCTGGAATAGTCAGTAGACAATCAAAATCATTCAACTGTTTCACTGGTGTTAAAAATTCAGGCTGAAAATCGAGAAAATAGACAATATGGTAGAATCGCAATTTAAATCGAATTGACATCCAAAAAATCGTGGAAGAATCGCATTGGGAGAAAAGTATATTGTCCGAGCCCTAATATTTATGATATTAACTTAACTTTATTCTCTTCTACAGTGATTAAATTAGCTATAAATAAGAATTACTAATAGAAAAAGACCATGAGCTCCTTTTTTAAATGAACTTTAGCCATGTAGCTTCATAGTGTGTGCTGTGTTTTTCACTTGACAGATCAGGCAAACACCACAGAGGACTTTGGTTTCTTTCTTTATGTAAATTGTTCAGGTTGTGGATGTGTCAGATCTTGACACGTTTGACTGAATCAAAAACAGAAGCACTGCAGCAGTCGTCTGCTCTGAGTTTTTATCAATAGTACAGCATCATTTCATACAAAATTGCACATTTCAAAACACAGGTTTCAGTTTGTCGTTGGTTTCGTTTCATGACATAAAATCGTGGCCGATTTCAACTTTTGAAAACAAAAACTAAAGATCTGACCAACAAAAAAGAAAATACTGCAAGGAACATTTTACATCATGATGGAAATCCAGAGCATTGAGTCTCACACGAGCATTCACACAATGATTTTCTGATCAAATTAAAACTCTGCATAAAATTAAAAAAATCTCCAACAAAAGCCGTTTTTCAAGTACAATAACTTATCATCCGAATGAAATTATCAAAATAAACACTCCCTCATTTACACACACCAAATCAGAAATTGAGTTTATCAAAAGAACTTCTTTGCTGCTGCTTCCTGTTGACTCCTGCAAGAGACAATGAGAGCGTTAGACAGCTGTTTTAGCCCACAAGTATTTACTTTACAGATAGAGAGACGTCTTACTTGTACATGACGTAGCAGAAGAACAGAACCGACTGGATGACAATGAAGATTGCAAAATGAACCGTGGATAAACAAGCCGGCATTGGAGGGAGCTCAGGACACTTTATGGTCTTCTCAGCGGGATTCTGTGGCGAGAACAAGAGTCCGATCAGCTGAATCCCCTGAATCACTGTCAGTATAAACTGCACCAGATCCTGGTTCATACCTGAGCATTTCTCTGGACCAGGTGCTCCACGTCTCTTTTGACCGTGTGCAGATGTTCTTTGATGTCATTGAAGTGCTGGATGGTTTCGTACGTTCCCATACCGACCGCGTTTCCCTGTTGTTGGGCAGATCCGATCTGTTTCAGTGACTCATAAAAGGAATTCCTGCAGAGACAAAGAGAAGACGTGGCACTTTAATTTACTGTTTGCAGACCGTCTATTGGTGCAGGATCATCATACAAGAGCGCATCAAGACCTTGACTTATTTTCCAACCAGATTTAATCTGACAACCTTTAGATATGAAATAAAAATCCAGGCAGCACAGGCAGAATTTTGACTCCTCTCTATCTGGTATGTGCTTTGTAGTAGATTCATGTTGGGAAACATAATGTCCACTAAATATGCCGGTTAGTATCTTTTATTAACAGTAATTCAAATTGTCCAAAATTAATCTCTTAATCCTTATTCTCCTGAGGCTACATATTCTCAAAGTTTGAAAAACAGAAAATTACCATCTGATAAAAGAGGTCATGATTGCTAAATTAATCCCTTATAAAAACATGTTCTTACGACAGATTACAAGTACAGGAGGTTCAGAAACAGATCACAGAGGAACGCTCTGGAATTATGGGTTCAGGGGTCTGGTTTTAAGGTTAAGGGCAGAAAACAGAAATTTACAGTAGGCACACTCATTTTGGTTTAATTTATCTGACTGCAGAATGGAAAAGAAAAACACCTGCTATTAAAGAAACTAACACAGATGCAGTCAAATCTAAAGCTGAATTGTGCCACCAGAGCAATCTTGAGAATATTTGTCGCAGTTTGTAGTTGGTTTCGTTGGTTGCTGGTTCAACCCTGAGCTGCACGTCACCCTCTGCTCTCTACCTTCTGCATTTCTAGCATCTCTTCAGCTGTTTCGGTGAAGGAAAAGTAGAAACGCCCACAATATCAAACCTAAAATATCACAGAAGCCAATTAAAAGAGAGCATTATCACTCCTTATGGCTGATGATGGTTTTCACTGTGGTTTTAACAGGGATTTTCAGGACAGTCTGCTTATTTTCACCTCATGTACTCTTGTGTTTATGTGTTTTACTCTTACAGAAATACTAAATGACCTTAAATAAGTTTTACCTCTGTACCTATTGTTACTAAAACCTGTGTTGACATGACTATTAATAGTAATAATGGGGGGTTGGGTTTTTTTTCTACTACACACAGTGACTGCATCGAGTCTCTGTCTTTCTAATGCTCACAGACTCAAAATGAAGTCATAAAACATTCCCCATGTCTGGTTGAGGTTAAGGAGAACAAAAAGTGTAGCTGATGGATACAAAAGACACAAGCAAAATCTGCCATGAGCAGTCATTTCAGATACTGTGCACCCCAACTGACCATAAATGTCAGACTATCAAAATCTTAATCCATCCTACCCGGGAAAAGACAAGGAGTGCAAAATCCCAAACTATTTCTCACGTCTCTCCAGGGATAAAAACTGTAAATCTCTAAAAATGTGTCTTCCTTTTCAATTTCATCAGTAAATGAAGTATAATATAGTTTAAAGTATTCTCAGAAGAGAATAAAGACGTCTAAGCCGGGATCATATTTCTCCACAAAATGAAATTTCTTAAAGTTGATTACTTACAGGGAGAAAGCAATAAGTTTCCCTTATCATCTTAAACACATCTAAGACGATTACACAGAAAAAAGTGACCGGACAAATGAAAGGAATTCCGGTTGAGTAAGTAGGAAGGCCCTGAGGGAGGATTGTGACGAGAAATCAATTGGGAGGAAAAGCATGTTTTGCTTGTGTATGACAGATGTATTTAAAGACTCCTAATCTGATAAGGACAAAACGGTACTAAGATGTGGCCTTTTCTTGCTCGGCCACATGGCTGCGGTCTGAAAAGACAGACAGGGGATGACATACAAACAAAATCTAATTTGTTCACAGAGAGAAAAAAAAAGTCTCTTGAGAAGTTAAGTGAGCATTTATTAAACCCTACGACTAATCTTCATCTGCTACAAGTGACCCATTTTCTGAGCAGAGCTGCTTCCTTGGATATTTGAAGGGTGTGAGATGAGGTCCTATCATAAACTGTATGTTTGAAAATACGGGTCAGGATAAACTGAGAGCTTAATCTACACACTAATACAGATCAGACGCTCACATTAGCACATTAGAGGCAGCAGCTGCAGCCTTTTCACAGGGTCTGAACTTATTTACTGACAATCAGATTACGACTGTGTACCTTTTCTGTTTCACTTCAGCAATCTGATTTCTTAAAACAGACGTGTCAGTCTTTCCCTGCCATCTATACAGACGGACTATGACTAATATTCTGGGTCAACAAAAATCATATATGCAAAGTCATTTGAGGATGAATGTCCTGCTGGATTTGGGGCACTTAAACAGCTTGGTTCTTTATGATACACTACTAAGACTGAGGGATTAATGTTACATCAAATAAAATCTTTAATATCTTGTGATTTTGATTAATTCCTAACGCCTTAAAATTAAGACAGCAATCAAACTGCAGAGGCAGGATGTATATGAGAAGAAAACCAATTTCCTTTTTTAAGTTTATGGACCGAATACATAATTTACAGTTCTAACTAAAAGCTTAAAGTAGACAGACTGGTTGGCTAATTTTCAACATAATTATTTAAAAATATATATTTATTGATCCTCCCCACAAATCCAAAGAAAGCCAGGTTTTAATGAAATACTTTTTTTTTTTTCAATTTAAATCAGTCGCGTGCCCTCGGTGACTAAGCTCAAAAGCACCTTAGACGAGTATTACAAAAGCCAAAATATGTTATTGACAAGCTGTAAACATGACAAAATTACATTGGGATCGCCTAATCAGGCTTACTTACTGTAAGAACAAAAATCTAACAGTCATTCGAATGTTCGCCAAAGAAGCACAGCACCATAAAATCTCTTAAGCTGTATTATCTTCCTGTAAAAACACGTGCAGGCCCTCATCTGGAGAGGAGGCCATTTTTATAAGTGACCCATACCTATCATGTCTTAATACGTATTGAAGCTCACGACTAAACCGTGTTTTTCCACATGTACACACATTTTAGATCTTTGCTTACGTTTTCGCTTGAATTTGAAAGCAGGAAAAGCCCTGAAGTTACCCAGAGGCATTAACAGCAGCACAGCAGCTGCTACAACCTCCTTTACATTGAGCTTTTCAGTGTTATAGTAGAGCTGTTGTCAGGACTCTTCTATTGGGCCCACCATTAAGTCAGTTCTATATGATGACCGGGGAGTTGAAAATATGGTTATGTAGTATCACTTATTAATCTGTTGAAAACGCACTTAAAGGGCTTGTGAGGACTGATATTGCTATTGATGCCTTTTTTTTAAATGTACGATTGTCAGTAAAACTGGAGACGATCTATATTTCCTTATTTTCTGTTGTTTTGTTTTATCAATTTATTTCAATATTGTTTGTAGATATTGACAAAGACAGCTGGAAAAAGGAAAAAAGAGTTATTTTATGGAGATGTCCTCATTGTTCTGTTGTTGCAAACATACTTAACATAGGGTGACCACACATCCTCTTTTACCCGGACATGTCCTCTTTTTTGGGGGGGCTGTCTGGCCTTGTTCAAGGGGAGTTTATAAAATCCTCCAAATGTCCGGGGTTTTGTATAGAAGTTTTGAGTTTGTGTAGCGTGGACCAACTGAGTTAGATGTGCGTAAAAAACACTCAACCCTACCTGAAAATACTCTAGTAGTATCCTCTTTTTGGGGTTTCAGAATATGGTCACCCTACTTAACAAAAACTCAGGAAAAAGAAAGAAGTGTCTTATTTGTTAACATTAATAACTTAATTTTGGAGAGCTAATCTGATGTTTGATATTTCTTTGTTTTACTTTGTATTTTTGTAGGTATATATGATTTATCTAGCTTTTTATCTTTAATAAATTACCTCTTATATTTTCATTTTATGTTAATATGACACAGCCTATTTTGGGACTGCTGCATGTGAAAGGCGTTGTATTAGGGCCTGTGTCCATTGATGACATTTTGTGCACCAACAGTATTTTAAAGCACTTCCCTTCACCTACTTTTGACAGTTGTGTCAGAGAATTTCCGCTGCCGTCAGCAGTGACTGTTCAGTCTCTTTTAAAATGCTCTGTTTGCTGATATTGAAGGAGAAAATGATAGGAACTGTGCCGGAGCGTTAGAAGCAGCTCTATTCATTCTCAAAATCTTCTTCTGGATTTTTATTGGTTGTTGATGGAAAAGTAACATTGAGGAGGAGTTGAACCATTTTCAACTGAGCCTACTTCCAAATTCAAATACGCTGAGGGCTGAAAATCTTGGTCTAAATTTTGTATAGACAACAGGCCCTTGCTGATACAAACAAAAAAAGGCTTTTGTGGACACAGGCCCTTCATAAAATCCAATTTCTTGCTTTGCCTCAGGAAATTATGCAAGGTTTGAATTATGCAACTGCTGAACTCCCACAGAGTAATTAATCTCTTTACATTATCACAGCACAGACTACAAATGAGTAAAATGGTTTAGAGCTATTATAAAGCCATTGTGATGATTATCCCATTTAGTGCCGGGGCATGAGCATTTGTTCGGTGTGCGCATGTGACACTGGAGGTTGCTGTCACTGCAGATTATCTGCCCTTCAGACACCTGTGACGTTGCGGCCTCTGCATCCTGAGATTAAATATGATTTGGGGGATTTAAGCGCCAGGATTTCCTTGTTTTTCCCGGAGTATCGGGGCATCTCTTCATGTTTGCTGGAAAAAAAAAAACAGCTAGTTCTTAAGAATGAAAACAACACTGGCACTGTTTTTGCTTACCTCAGATCATTCAGGTTTTTCAGGATCTCCTGCTGGGAGGCAACGACAGAGCCTAGCTGTTGTTGGCTGGCTGAGTCGAGCTGAGGACAGAATACACAACACACAGTCTGAAGGTTAGACACTGCAGGGTTGGCACTTGATAAAGAAGTCGTAAAAATAGCTTGAGAGTTTTCATAACCTGCCATAAAAATGTAGTAAACTCCAGCTATGATTTATACGATAGAAAAATAAAGGTATTAGTTAAGCTATTATAAAGGACTTTTATGATTTTATTGTTGGTCTGCAGCTTGGACACTGTATCTTTTAACAGGTTCTTAATAAAAAACTAACAAAGGAAAGAAAATTAGGAGGATAAAGCAATATATTTGATAATCTGACTCACAGGTCAGTGTCAGAGATATCAAATATGTTCATTTATCTTCAAATACAGTGTTATTTCCCCCCAGATTTTCACAACAGTTCCTCTAGTTTGGTATGACTTGTGCCTCTGTGTACATTTGAAGGACTGCAGCAATAGTGACACTCACCTGCCCTGACTCAACGTTGGTCCCCTTCTTGGAGATCTCATCAGTGATGACAGAAACATACCGTCTCTGCTCGTCCAGGATCATAGCAAGCTGTCGGTGCAGCTGTTTGATCTCCAGGTGGATCTGGTTCTGGCCTTCAAAGACCTGACGGATCTCTCTGTCATTCACGGTCTCATACAGGTCTTCAACTGATGAAAGTGCGAAGAAAAAAGTAAGAAGCGTCTTATTTAAAACAGTAAATGTCACTTTTTTGCATGTTCATATATCTTATTATGAGGTTAGTTTCTAAACAACTGGGTTTGTTCAGACAACACCAGCAGATAATAAGGAATTAAAAGTAAAAAGATCTCTCTAATCAGGAATTTTCTTCAATGTATAAAGTGTTTCATGATTTATTGAGCCCTCGGGTTTCAGAAAACTAACTTGGCTCTCCTTGGACGTCTGGGTGCTCCTTCTGAAACTCCTCTTTCTTTTTGTCGAGCTCTTGCTGGAAGTTCTGAAATTCCTCCTGGTACTTGTCCTTCTCTTCTTTAGGAATCTCAGATTCAGGTGGGGGCTTCAATGGGAAAGACAAAAAAACCCTCTGTGAGCTCAATAGAGGCAGTGCTTTGGCTACAGAGTGCACATGCATGCACGGACACACAGACACACACACACACACACACGGCTAAGGAGAGGTGAATGGGACACACATGATGGGAAATATATTAGGAGGTCTAATAAAAATATAGTTACCGGTTGCTGGCCTGGTTCTGAGAGTCTGAATGACAAGAAGGACAAAACATCATGGTCATCTGATGAAGGAGAGAAAAACTGAATTAGAACTAAAACAGGTATAAACACTTATAAAAACAGAGTCAGAGCTGAGAGTGAAAAAATGGTTAAAAAAAATGGGTTAACACTGGTTAACCCAGTTTACCCAAATATACCCTGTTTGACAAAGGAAATCTCAGCTATAGTTACTATAGATATAGTATAGTATAGTATAGTATAGTATTCATTGGCTTTCAACCCTGCATGAGACACGGCTCCTGTTTTAGTGTTTTCTGGTTTGTTTTTAGTTATTTGTTTCAATGTTTTTAAATCAGTTTTTAAAAACATTGAAACTATATTTTACTTTTTAATATTTGCTTTTATTTTATCCATTGTTTTAATTGTTTTTTTGATTCTTTAAAGTGCTTTACAAATAAAGTTGAGTTGAGTTGAGCACATTAGTCAACTTTGTAGGAGAGTATTTACGAATCAGTTTCCTTCTGCCTTTATTCTTGTCAGTTTCAGTTCTGTCCAGAGAACTAGTCTAGTTACTTAAACTCAAAAAGAAACAACTTACTAAAACAGCAACAGAGAACAACAAAGTAACCCCTACTTTGAACTTGTAATTTTATTTTAGTTGCATTATATTTATGTGGAGAACTCATTGAATACCTGCCAGACCACCAGTAGCGGCTGATATGCCAAAGAAGCCCTCGCTAGGGATGACCATGTTGTCGACTTTTGTGCAGAACTCATAGTCCTCTTTGTCGGGGGTGAAACCATTATTGATCATCACCTGAGGAGGGAAATACAGACACAATACAACCGAGCAATCAGACAAATTATCCTGTTAAAACCACACTGCATTACAGAACATGACAGCTGCCTTCAAAAACACATCAGCAGACTCATAAGCAGCCTCTTGATAATTGATGCCCAGCATGAGAGGGTTTCGGGTTTCTCTTACCGTCAGAGTCCTCTTGTAGTAGGTGATTTTAGCTCTGATAGGATAGGGTTTGTTCCTAAAGTCTCGTAAACACGTCCCGAGGGCTTGTGTGGTGCCGTCACTGGATCAAAACAAAGCATATTGATTAACTACATACGTGTAGATACAGAAGATATTACAGGGTGATTGAACTTGATTAAATAAGTGAATAACATGACTGCTCATGCTTGTGTTTTTATAAACACTTTTTTTTAATGGTGCAGTAAACACTGTGAACTCTGAGACGAACTGGAATGGCATTGAAAAAGTGATTTAAAGCTTTCACTGGCCCGAGGGAGATTAGGAAAGATAGAGGATTATTTACTTTCCAAGCAAATATAATCATATTTTCTAATCTGCTTTAAGTTAAAAAATTCAGCTGGTGACGACATCAGAGCAAAGCAGAAGAAATGTTTACTTACTTCTGGTGGTCATAAACAAGGTTGCCATTGTTTCCCACAACAATGATAGCAGGGTTATTTTTCTAGTAGGAGAGGATGAGAAAACAAGGAAACACATTAATCCCCTTTTTCATCTGGAGATCTGAGGTGGCTTTACTTCAAGGTAATCTTATTGAAAATATGAATCCCATACCTGAACATGAGTAAATATTATTCTAATGTGGCAAAAACTGACCTTTAAAAATCTGTTTTGCAAAACTGACAGTAGAAATATGGGTCAGAGGTTACATGAACACAAAAACAACTACACGTACATGAGTTTTTGATTTTTTTAACACTAAAAATGATCTAAAACTAATATTTAAAATGCCACACAGACTGCTCACAGTTAGAATTTTATCTGAAAACACTATCTAAAAGACTTAATTATTCAATTTAAACCAATCAGATTTTTCCTTTTTATGCAGCAGTAGATCTTTGATAAAGACTTGAAACTAAGAATAGCTTTACAAAGCAGTTTACGAAGACTTCAAATCAATACTCTTTCAAAACCACCAGATATTGACAGTGAGGGCTGAAGCTGACACCAACCTTTCCATCGTTGTCGAAAGAGTCGAAGAAGACTCCAACACCATTCCACTTGTCTGCAGCCCCGTACACTGGGCCATCAAGTCCTTGTTCAGAGGTGAACCACACAGCCTGTAACATGAAGTAAACATGATGCAACAGTTAAAGAGACATTTGAGGACACAGATTGTCAATATTGAGGCATGTAATCAGACTGCATTTTTGCATAATTATGATTATGTATGTCTGTCTGTATGTATCAGGAAGGGTTTTAGCTGAGCTGGGCTAAACAACAATTACAATGAGCAAGCACCTTTACTAAATATGTTGTATAAAGCTTTTTTTGTTATTAGACATCAAACATTTATACACTTGCAAGATATATATGGAATAGAACATTTCAGCAAAATAACAGAGGATTGGAGTGCCAAAACTCCCTGCAGCAGAGCTGTTTTTCAGTAAAACAACACTCTCTCTTGGGTGATATTGATTTTGTTTAATATAAAATTTGAAAAGGCAACTATTAATTATTCTGACTCCTGAGGGGAAGTGGCCTGTTGCTAAACCAGCATGTGTATCTGTACAATTTAAAAGGCAAACATCTGTATATTTTCGTTGACTGTTCACAAACCGTGAAATAAGAGTTGGCTGAAAGTTTCGAGTGTTTTCGAGGCTTTAACAATTTAAATGAAGACTATCTGATATAATGTTAATTTTTTTCAGAGTAGCCTACCTTAAGTGGAGTTTTAAGTAGACCCCTGTGCTTTTATATTTATTATTTATCAGTACAATACACTATAACTGCAGTGTATAACCTTGTATCAGCAATAATTCAGGGATTTGAATCATTATCAGGGAGGAGAATTATGGTATTATGAAATTCTTATCAATCAGTCTGTCTTGAATTTCTGAAGAAAAGCAACATACACCCATCATCATGCAGTATATCTTATTTTAGTGATGTAAGGAGAACAGAAGTTTGCAGCTCCCACAAATCAAATATTTCCTCTCTAACATTAACATGGAAACCAGGTTAAGGTCCAGGTTCTCTCAGTTTGGGAAACACTTTATCAATATTAGTCCAACAGCATTCAATAGGACATCAGGCTGAAATTAGAAATGTAGTTAGATATTTTAATGTGTTATTAAAGCAAAGATTAGCTACAACTACACATGCATCAATGCCAACCTTTTACGGATAGATTTTTGATTATCTTAAAAAGAGCCCTTGGTTTAGTGGGGTAGTTAGTGTGTTACTACCAGTAGCTACAGTCTCACATCTCCTTACCAAACCATCTGCTCCCATTCTGCCTCTTCCTGATACCCTGAATGTCACCTCAGCCTCCCAGTGTTCGAAGCTGACTTTGTTTTTGGTCCACACGGTACCCCTCTGACTCCTGAGGGAAGGCGTGATTCGCACCTGGTCTGCACTGGGAATAGCATCTGGAGTGAGAGAAGAAGGAGAAGGATGAAGAGCAGGATTTTAGAGACCTGTACTGTAACATGTTCTTTATTAAAATAAGCAGAAGCAAGAAGAAAAGTACTCCAGAGAGACAGAGTTTCCCTTATGGGTCTAAGTTAATGCCAGCTAATGTGTTGTATTGTTATTCTAGGTCTGTTTTATCAGGGTGTGGCTACTTCCTAACTTGCGGCTGCCCCAAGCTGTGATTCAGAGTGATTTCCTAAGATTTGTCTATTTAGTCTGTGTTTACTCATTGTCAACTACTGCCATAATACAGATTTAAACCAACAACAGTTTCTGCACCCTTGAGTTTTAAAGTGCATGACTGACAAGAAGAACAAGAAACCAAAAAGTCATACCCCAACTATCCTGGTATGATATGGCTCAGCAAATAATAATCAAGCTCTAGATTCAGTGTGATCGTATGCAACTCCCTATTAAACTCTCTAGCCTGTAAAGAGACTGAGTGTGCTTAAAGAAACTTGAGGCTTTAATTTGCATGTGGATATTTTAACACTTTAGATACCTGTTTTGGCATACATCGGCTATAGTCAGAGCATTTGAGGTGCTGTTTTTCAGTCAACACTGGCCACGTTTCGATACAATTCTGATAAATCAGCGCTGCTTAAATTCATGTTTCCGCAAGGGAAGTTCTGAATGGACAAAGCACTGTCTAACTTACGACTATCTGTGCAGTGACTGTACACTTTATGAGACATAAGTAGCTCACTGGTCCTCGTTGTCGTGTTGTTAGGAGTGTTCAAAGTCTGAAGAGCAGACAGCCAGCGGCTCTGGGATGTTGACAGCTGGACTCAAACTTACTTCCAGAGTGGATCCAGAAGGGGATACTGCCGTCGCTTTGAGACAGGTGCGGTCCTTTGAAGCTGTATTTGTACTCAAACCTCCGGTGAGGAGCCTCTTCAGACGTAGAAGAACCCACCTCGGTGTCGGCGACAGTACAGTGAAATAATAACGTTGTTAGAAAAGTTAATATCAACACACAAGCTCTGGCAGCCCGGTGCTGCGCTATGGACACCGCCATGTTTCTGTATCACTGCTGACGTAGCGCTGAGACCACGAGCATGACGGGATGCCTGAAGGGCCAACAGGGCGTTTTCTCATTGGACGGTTTTTTGGACCTTTCTTCTCTCGCTTTTTCTGGGTTACAGCTGAGGTGGACAAGCGGGGCCTGCTGTACGCAAATAACATCGACAAAAAATGACTTCGAACCAGGAAAAATACGGAAATTTTCATGTGGGCGAAGCTATATTTAAATAGCTGCGTTTTATCAAAGTCTACTCTGTTTTTTCTGGTCTATTACAGTTGTTTTTACCAAGACTTTTCCCAGAAAGTTTGTAACTGAGAAGATATCATTCACCACAGTCTGGTGGGTTTTTTTAAAATCTGGTTAAATAAAATAAGATAAAAATAGAGTAACATTGAAAACTTAATTGGGGTTAGTTGATATATTAGTGAGAAATTGGGTTGGATTTGACTGTAAATGCTCTAAAACATAGATGTGTTGTCTTGAAGACTCCAAAATCAAGCAACTGGACTGTGTAGAGCCTGATTTTGAAGTCTTCAAGAAAACCATGACCTGGATGAATGAGAATCTTCATGGACATAGATGTGTTGTATTTGTGACATGGAGGAAAGAAGTCCTTTATAAGGCATTATGCTCAATGCTTATAAATTACTATGGGGAGAGTGGGGTATGATGAGCCATTTTTCATATTTCGGATCACGACATCGAGACAATCATAGTTTGTTCTCTAACTCGTGTATCTGCATATATTTCAAGATGTTGTGCATCCCTGTAAACCAACAGAATGAGTGTAAACATAACTGTCTTGATAATATAGCATGCCAAAAAAAGTGGTCTCCTATGGTCAACTTACCCTGTGTATCCCTACTACCCCCCCACTCTCCACCCCAGCCCTCTCTCACCTTCTCTCTCCCTAAATAACAGTCACTTCTTCACATTCATGTGTATTTTTATCTATTAAACACTATTCAACTGGTACAATAACTCTTTTTATTATTATTGCATATAACTTTAAAAAGCTGTTTTGTAAAAAGCCATTTTAACATGCGAATGCCTTTAAGTGATTCAGAACATTCACAGCTGTATTGTCGAAAAGAAAAAGTAAAACATTTCAACAATCTGAACTGAAACTCTGATCCTCTCATCAGACTCTTTTACTTTCTCAGTTGAGTCACTGGCTCAACTTACCCCAAAACTACTATTATGACTTTATTAGTCCTCTGAGCTAAAATGGTGGACTTTTATGTTAGGTTTCTGACCTCATGTTGTAGCTCATAGATCCCACAATAGATGCATAAAACAATTTAAAATGATCTTTTTTTGGTCTGAACACAATCCTGATAAAACTGATGACAGACTAAATTCACTTTCAAGAGTAAAAAATGTTTTTTTGGAAATAAATGTCTAACCTCTTCACCCATGTGCTTCTGACCTTCACAGACTCCATGAATTGATGCCCATCTCCTAAATATTTGGTCACATGATCAGTTTGTTTGACCATTTTCCAAGTAACAGGGGGTGGCTCAACTTACCCCACTTTCCCCTACGCTGTTATGGATGCTTATAATCACTCAATAGGATTGTGATAAACCCTTATAGATGCTGTTATATGGCTTCATAAATGTGTTGATGATCCATTATAAGAGGTGGGTATATACAAAGTGTTACTGAAAAAACACACTATGTCAAGCTTGACTGTAGTATTTTTTTGCATTTAGTTGAATTTTATTTGAAATAGTCACTGATCATTGAAATATTTTGTCATGTGATCTGTTTGTCCATGTTCACTGGACACTTTTTTCAATACAGCAGTATAACTAAGAAGACTAATGTAGCTATTGTTAAGTTCTTTCAGCTGTTTGTATTCAGGCTGCTGCTGGTTCATTGTCACACTGTTTTAACTTATTTGGACAGTTGATAAAAATACGCCATCTGTGGTTTTCCCACCATGACCAGGTCAAAATGTCAACACTGACGTGGAGTTTGCATGGTTACCAAGTCCTGTGGGTCTGACCAATGGAGTGGTGCATTTTAGAATTACACTACGAGACAAACAGAGTTTTGTAAGGGATGTTAATGTACATGATACATTTCTCTATCATAAGGCCTGTTACATCAGGTTGAAACTTTCTGTTTATTCCAAATAATGATAAAAAATGCCTTCTCATAGAGGTTTTGGTCTCTTCGGCTGATGTGTTTAAACCATAGAGGCCTGCATGAAAAGTGAAAGGTCAGGAGACATCACTGTGTCCTTCTCTGCAGCCTGAAAGTCCCTGTGGGGGGTTGAAGATGACACAATGAACAGCTTCTTCTTCCTCCTGCTTTTGGAGGTGCAGCATCACTTTCTGTGAGGGCCTGTGATTACGGGTTCAGGAACCAACCCCTGAACAAAACAAGCTATTGTGGTGACACTAATCCAGGGATACTGACTATTCAGGCAAACAATGGTGAGGACTGACAGTCATTAGGATCACTGTGACAAATGAAACTGTCATTAATGTCAAAAAAGCAAATCAGAATATCAGAGTGGAGTTCTTCAAATCCTAATGCAGATGTTTCTCTCAAGAGCATCAATGTAAAACTCATAAACTGTAACAAGTCTGTCGTGGGTTTAGAGTGCAGAATAAAATAAAGGCCTCTGTCCTTTGTGTGAGGAAGTCCTCATTAGAGAGTTAAACCACACTCTTTGTGAGGAAATGTAGGATTTAAATAACAATGGCAATGCTAATGGATCCATTTAGAGGTTTACAATGGGAACCTGTAGGATGTTAATGGGTCACAGAGACTGTGAATAGACTATCACATGAGTCAGCACAAATATTTGGTCAGGGAATTATGCGATGCTGTGGTGGATGTATTCTAGAGGTGTAAACAAACAGCTCTAATGTTTAAACAACATATTTGAATTATTGATTGGATATATTCTGATTTAATCAGCTTCTACACATTGTTGTTGAAATTAGATTTTGTCTTCCACATAAATAAACTTTGGTTGTGTTAGGCAGCAGTTTGAAGGAGTGAAATTATCGATCTTCAAACTCAAGTATAAAGAAAAGAAAAACTGTTCTCCATGTGTGAGGTTCCTTCTTTTTGGTGTTTTAGGAAACTTTTATTAGTATCTTATTTACATTAGGGGGAAAGGGAGAGTGGCTTGTCACCTCCTGCTGTGGCACTGTGGCTTAGTCTAATGAGGCTGTTGCTTCATGTTGTTTATTTATACCTGAAAAGCACAAAGGCAGCCATTATCACATGAACTGAACGTCTGCTGAGAGGACAGAACGAGGAGGAAATATCACGCTGTCTAACCTGCAGGTTACCACTTTGCTTTCCTTAAAAACCAGGAGGATGATGGCAGGGGATGCACTAAACTGCAGCAGGATGAGAAATCAAACCTGTCACTAGTGGTATATTCAGCCGTGACAAGTGTCGAAGTCCCAAATGCATCCATGCGCTCATAAAATATATAGGCTTCTTTTTGTTTAATGTGTTTTGTGATCATTTTTCCAGCTTTAAACTGTTCTTCTCCGCATCCCGGTCTCACAAAGCCTAGTTTCTTATAGAAGCTGGATCAGATATAGAGGATATAGAAAACACAACACAAGATTGGTCACAGTAAAAAGTCGGTCAAAATTTGAGGCTATTTCTTTGTTTTTTACTTTTACAATTCTGTGCAGATACCAGGCCGCAAACTCCACTATCTAAAAACAACATTTAGAAAGCAGAAATGTTAAAAACTGCAGTTTCTTGAGCGTCCACTGGAGGCAGGCACCAAAAGAACCATTAATACCCATATTAAAACGTCCAGTTTTATAACAGAAGTAAATATGTTTCCAGCCTTGATCTACATAACCCACTGAATGAGAGGCTCAGAAGCTTTATGCATCATTGTGAAAACCAGATTTTATTTCAATTACAAACAATAACAGACAAAAATTTGATTATTAAACAACATCAGTGCTCCCTTTTGAGTTATTTGTTGGCTCAATTCTGCATATGGACATACTCATACCAACAATGCAAACGCACCAAACCTTTATTTCAGATTGCTTCAACATGGTCCAGTGTGGTCCAACGAGGAGAGGGCACTTATTGTCCACTGAGGACTTTGCCACATTCATCTGAAGAGCGACCCTTTCTCATTATTAACAGACACACTAAACGATGGGCCCCAAACAATACAGAACAGATCCCTTTATGCGCACAAGTGCTCAACGTTTCAGCAACTCCCTCTTCTTTTCAGATACCTGCACACAAGTGAAAGATGTGGGAGACACAAAAGATATTCTCAACTTTCCTTTTCTCCTCATTGGGTGAAACAGGCCCATTTTAAAGCTTTTATTTGTGCAAAGCCTCTCATTAACTCCGCTCATGCTGCCTCCCTCTGCTTGCCATCGCTTAAGTACTGGGTGTTGTAAAAAAGCTACCAATTAGTCCCTCATCAGCTCCAATTAGAGGAGACAAAGCCTGAGTAAAGATAACTCGATGAGAGGGAGAGGTGGAAGGGTGAGGGCTGTACGTGTGTGTTTTGTGCGCTCGCATTTGTGTACATGTGTACGTAAAAAGCCCAGGCCCGTACGACATAGTTTGTAATAATTGAAGAACTTGTGGCCATTCAGTTTGACCCTCTGCAGCTACAGGTCCATTCACTGTGCAGGCTCCTTAGCGGGCTCTTTTCTCAGGGGCCAAGTGTTGTTGTGCTGGGAAGACCGGCCCCCCAGGAGTCCCAGAAAGAGAGCCATTCAATCCTCTCTACCTGTTTGCAGCATGTAAAGCACTTAGGAACAGGCCGATCACTCATTATTGTCTCCTTCACTCTCAATACTTCCTTAAACTTCCAACAAGAGCAAGGCCCTTTTAGAGGGGAGAGGAGGAGGGGGTAAGGGATGTATGTTAAGGGGGTGCCTTTCGCCTCATTAGAATTGAATTTGCACTGTCTTGCAATTACGTTTGAGGGCAACAATGTATTTTTTTCATCATAATCTTCTCTGAATGGGGGTTTTTTGGGGCAGTTAATTTGCTGCCCACACTAACGGATTAATTAATGAATTGGGTAACACTAATTTTCTCTATGCTGCCTCTCTCTCTGTTTGTTTCCTCCTTCGGTTTCCAACTGTTCTAATAAAATTACCTCATTAGGGCCTTTATGGCAGCACAGTAACTCTCTCATTCATTTGGTATTAAACATTTTCATTGAAAGGAGGTTGGGTGTGTGATTGTCCTCATTCAGAGTCGCATCTTTTTGTGGGTGGTTCTAAATAATGAGGGGGACGAGCAGGGAGATATAATTAGGAACAAGGGGGCACTTGAGCAAATATTTGCAATCTTTTAAGGCTTGCCCTCATATGACAGTGATTAATTACTTCCAGAAGGGGTTTTGGAGGAATAAATTGCCAAGTTTTCCTTTCTGTTTCTCTGTTTTCCTCCTGGGACAGATGACCCCAGCTTGTTAAATGGATGTGCAAAGGACCTTAATTTCGGCCCGTCTTTAATCAAATGCAAATCATGACATGTACTGTTCTCTGAAAATGGGCTCATTGTGAGACAAATAAACAACATGTAAACAATGATGGAGAGTTTAATGGAGGTGGAGTAAGACTGAGTTGAAGGCGATGTTTGCACGCTCTAAAAATAACCAAACTTGTTTTATCTATTTTAATGTTTTATGATGAAATAACACATTTTTTGATTATATATACGGTGCAGGTGTGAGTTTGTATGAATATTTCTCATTAAAGTGTCGGAAATGAGCACAAAAGTTAATGATTCTCTGGCTTTGTTGAACAGATAAAAGATTATTCACTCTGACAGGGACAAATTGATTGCACTTGGCCTGTCTTTTTCAGTCTTTATCATCTCTGGTGTCTTGTTGTCAAACATCTTACGGAGGAAAGATGCCATGAATTGTTGCGTAAGGACATCTAATTTCGGTCATCGGGTCTGAAAATAAACAAGAATACACACATTACCCATGCTGAGTTAACAGCTCCACAGAGCTTTATTCATAATTGTGTTTTGATTGTTTTCATAATCAAACTGCAAAGTTTAATGAGTTCACTGAACACTGAGTGCTGAGCGCCTGAATCGCACACTGTTTACTATACATGATTGGCTGAAGACTGCCACCTAGTGGAAAGAGAGGGGGTGAGAATGACTGTGGAGGAACAGCAGACTATGAAGTAGATGGTGGGACTCTTCACTTGCAAAAGAATTGCACCAGGACCATGAATTTCCTCGGAGGAGTCTGATACCTCTGTTTGAGCTACACAAATAACAAGACCATCAGGATGAAGTTTTTTTTCAGCACTCAGAATAATTCCTAAAACAGTTGCAGGAGGTCAAATTCAGACAAGAAGACTAACAGTGAGCTGCCATGATCGCCTTTATTTTCACTGCTATGCTCACTCACTACCTTCCTTTAAGACCTGAGGACCCAGGAGGCCTAGCTGCTGTCACGGACTGTCTAAGTGACATTAACTGTTGGTTGGCAGAAAATTTCTTTCAACTAAATTAAATCAAAATCTGAAATAATTCTCTGTAACATAAGTAATTCCCCCTCATGCAGTCTTGTCTCGGTCCACATTCAGTAATCATCAAACCAACAGCCAGAAATCTGGTGGTTCCAAAGTCGAGGCTCAAAACTAAAGGTGATAGAGCTTTCTCCATCAGAGCTCCTCAACTTTGGAATAACCTGCCAGAGGAGATAAGGCGTACAGCAGAGACAGTCGCTTCTTTTAAGTCAAATTACAAACTCAGTTTTACAGACTTGCTTTTATGTGATGCTGTCTTTTCTCTTTTTTCACTTATCTCTTTTACTTCTTTATCTTATTTCGGCTTACTATCCTTTTAGCCTTTGTTTTACTTATAATCTTTTCTTATTTTACCTTTTAGGCCCTTTATGGTTTTAATTGTTTTACCTGCTCATTTTAATTATTCCATTTTATCATTAATATTCCATCATTATTTTATTATCGTTATTTATATCCTTATTTATATTTACTTTCTTGTTTCCTGCTTTCTGTCCTCTCTTCTATTACATTTCTTCTCTTTACCTATTTATATTTTTATTTTGGTCCTCATAGTCTCATTTTATGCTGTAGGGTTCTTGTATCGCCTGGGTTTCTTATGAAAAATGAAACTGGTCTTCGATTCGGAGGCCTTGTTTTTAACTGAGCTTTTGTTTTTATTTGTTTTTATTTTCATGTGCTGATGTTCTGTGCTTTGCAACCGTTTGTCAAAGCACTTCGTAAACTTCTGTTTTTAAAAGTGCTATAAAAATAAAGTTATTAAAGTTATTATTTATTTATACTTCCTCTGCAAGTATTGATTTCGAGTGATACATTTGACTCTTAGAGGAACCAGGCTAAGATTTTTGTCCTTCACTGCAGGATGGAGAGATTCAGAAGATCTTTTATACCCACAGCTATTAGACTTTTTAATTCTTCTATAAAAAGTAGATGACACTTTAGATGAGACTTTAGATAAATGAATTTGTCTTTGGGGATAAATAAAGTTCTTGTATTGTATTGTATTGATAAGCAAAGAGATGAGGTCCTTATTTGTCCACAGGGGGCACCAAAATCAATGCAAATCACAAGTACTTCAAGAAGGAGTAGACATATATGATGTAGTGGGCCCCAAGTAGTAGTTCAACTTACAGTATTAATTGTTTCTAATATTACTGATTGATTGGTGAGGAACCTCCACTATACGTTATATTTGGCGCCCCTCTGTGGACAAAACAGTCTTTGCTTATCTTGTCTTCTACATGCTTAGATATAGTTGTGAAATGTAAGATTTAACAGGAAAATTAAGCTTGGCTACTGGAAAAAACATGTCTTGTTTTTTTTAGCTGCTTCACTGACACCTACTCCCCCTCTCACTTGTTTCTGGCATTAATATTTACATCATAAAAAGATACAGTCCAATAATTTATGGTCATGTTTGCTTTTGTGTGTCATACAAAGGCATCAATATGAATTGTAGTCATAAAAAAACTCCACACAAGAGTTTTAATGAGTTACTGTTACCTAATTTGATATTGCAGCCTGTCATAATGAATCATGTGATGATGATAGCATAGGGCTTTGGCATATAATCCCTCTTTAACTAATCAACCTGTTACAAAAACTGAAAGCTTTTATAACAACGATATGTAAAAACGATATAAGCCAAACAACAAAATTTATGAGTTTTTGTGGCTGACATGACAAACTTGTAAAACTTTGAATTGCAATGATGTCACTTAAAAACTTTAATAAAACGCTTAATTGAAGCAGTGCTGTAAAAGACTATTTTTTTAGTATGCAGTGTTTTTTTTTATTGCACAGCTTGCTATTAATGATAATAAAAATGTCCTCACGACTTTTGTTTGAAGCTCCTGAGATAATATCTGGAAGTTCTCTCCAACCAAATCAAAGACAGAGAGGGAAACAACCAAGTTAGTGATTTAAGAAAGGCCAGACTATGTCCAGAACACAGCTGGAAACCTGGAATCTCATTCTCACTTCAGAGGCCAAACATGCTCAGCCTCTTCCAGCTATGACTTCAAATGATCTGACTATATTAGGGATTTTAGATAAAAGGAGTGAGATTATTATCAGTTGGTTTTGTTGGCTAACAATAAAAGTAGGAATGTGGCTGAAAATGTTTTCAATCTTTTAATTGGATGTTTAACTTCAAGTTTTACCTTTTTTTTGTCAGACACAAAGGGTCAATTTCTATGTCTTTGTTTGCATTGTTAAGTATGTATGTGTAGGACTTTATCACGTTAAGTGAGCCAGACATCTCTTCATGGCTTTGAGTAGGACTCCCTCTAGTGGAAGGACCCTGCACAGTCAGCTGCATTAAAGAGAGAGGTCTGATCCCTTTACCCCTGTTGCTACCCAATCCGTATGCGAAACGTATGTCACTGAAGGCAGAGGACTCCCTAAGAAGAGCATCTCAGTTAGACCTTCCATAATGACTCTAGTCTCAGATTGTTGATGTTGACACAGAGATTGACTATGCAGATAACTGGACCGGTTCATTTTAAGACAGAATATTTGGAGGGAATCTTTTAACCCTACTATAGTATGACATTTTTATCTATACTAATTATACTGTGATATTTTTTTATCATAAAATACTATGACATTTTTTTCCTACTAAACTATGATATTTCTATCATGCCATACTATGACATTTTTTTTATCATAATATACTGTGACATTTTTATTGTACTATACTATGACACTTTGTCATACTATACTATGATATTTTTATTATAATATAAATAACATTTTTTATTCTATGCTGGGATATTTTTATCATACTATACTATGATTTTTCTAATCAAACTAAACTATTACATTTTTGTACTATAATATGATTTTTTATCATACTGTTTTATGACACTTTATCATACTATACTATGATATTTTTATCATACTTAACTATTATTTTTCAACTACCTTTATACTATGACATTTTTTCATTCTATAATATATTTTATCATACTATACTGACATTTTTCCATACAATAACAACATATTTTGTTTTCATTCTATTCTATGATATTTTTATCGTACTGATTAAGGATTTATTTTCATACTACAATTTGGTATTTTTATTATTCTATGATATGACATTTTTATTGTACTATGTTGTGATATTTAACATACTTTAATGTGATATTTTTTATCGTACTGAACAAGTATTATTTTCATACAATAATTTGATATTTTTATCATAATTTACTATAACGTTTTTAACATACAAGACTATGACATTTTTATCATACCATACTGTGATATTTTTTTATCATACTTTGCTATGACATTTTTAATGACTATCCTTTGGCATTTTTATTTCATTAAATTATATTTTTATCATACTTTACTATGATTTTTATTATATTTTACTGTAACAATTTATTGTTCTATACTATATTTTTTTCATTCTATAACATGACAGTTCTATCATACTATACTATGACATTTCTATCGTACTATACATTGACATTTTTTATCACAATATACAATGACATTTCTATTATACTATACTGGGATATTTTTATCATACTATACTACGATATATTTTTTTAAACTATACTATTACATTCTTTATACTACAATATGATTTTTTATTATACTATACTATATTTTTTTAATCAAACTATACCATCACATTTTTTGATAATATAATAGGTTTACTATACTATGACACTTACACTTTGAGCCACATGGACACACAGGAGAATTCTAGTTTTTTTCCTTTTTCACTGTCCTTTGTAGACACTAGACTTTAAAATTTACCTTGACCTGGGTAAGGTAGGACCTGAACCCACAACCTGAGGAGTCCTAATCAGTCTCCTTATCCTCTGTGGACACACAGGATTATTCTGTTTGTTTCCTCTTTGACTGTTCTTTGTAGACTCTAGCCTTTAGACTTCACCTTGTCCTGGATAAGGCTCCAATCCACAACCTCAGGAGTGAAATTTTTCTTTTTCTCAAACTACACAGAGCACAATGAACTTAACCAATCAAACATAAATATAAAGCAGCTCTGGGCGACATTTTGGCTCATCAGTCTGTGTGATGACGTCTCTAATTATTGCCTCAGTATTATATTTCATGCAAAATTGCCAATATTGTTTCCATACTTTCATTTTCTTCAGATTGTTTTTTCTTTGCTGCCATGGAAACTAAAAACACAACAGCGCTCGAGTCAGTTTACAGATTCACACTTCATCCATCATTTATGCACCAATAATCCGTCTCCAGTCATTTAATCTCTTCAGTATTAGGTTGCTCTCTCTCTCCTCTGTACTTTATAGTTTGATAGAGTAAAACACTAGAAATCAGGGATAAGTTTTTCTTTGGAAGAGACTTGTTTAATGCGCTGTGAAGAAACCAGATGTTCCTGAAAATCCAGATTTGGAAAACATGCATATTCACAGTCTCATTTTGATAAAAAAAAATCTACATGAGAATATTATATAAAAATAAACATCTGTGATCAGAGGGCGTACAGTTCATTCTGTTAAATAAAAAGAAAACATCTCAATATTTACTCCTGACGTTTTTTTAGATCTGTCTCGTTTCAAAGGTTCCAGTCAAAGTCTGTTCTCTCTCGTACTGGTTTCCTCTTCCTGTTCCTCTTCTGCCCACCACCTGTTCGAGGTGGAGGTTCCCTGTAGTCTTCACCTGAGCCCATGTCCAGACTGTCCTGGTTGTCCCTCCAGCTGTCAGGGACGGGGGGGAAATCCTCCCCGGAGTGCATCGGTCTCCCGTACACCTTACTCTGCAGGTCAGCGATGTCGTTGCGGATGTCCGCCATTAGCAGGAGCAGGAAATCAAAAGAGCCTGGAGGACCCTTGGAAAATTAAAACAGTAAAAATAAGTGTTTAGATAATATACACTTAACTCTGGTTTTAATTTTTAGACATCTTTAAGAAGTTTCTGGATATTTAATTTCGTGTCTCCTCTTTTTAAATTCAGAAGCCACAGAGAAATTAATCCAAAAGATCTCCAGCTGATCACGGACCCTCCAGCACTGCTTACAGGCTACTGATCTTCCCCTCAGGATTTATTAAAGTTAACATCATCTGTGTTTATCCAAGGGGATAATGCTTACTTTGCACTGGATACTATTTACTTTGTGTTTGACAGCTTTCCTAACTGTGTCCTTAAATGTCCAGTGTCCACAGCGCCCCGTTTTCCACTTATGCTTCAGTTTAAATGTATTGTTCTGTTGGATAATAGCAGCAAGTTACAATAGTGAGGAATCAGGATCTTACTGGTGGTCCGACAGGCCCAGGAGCTCCTCTATCCCCCTGAGGGAACAAAACAAATATTTAGTTTAGATGAATTACAGCGAGGGGGAAAAAGCATGAGAAGAATTCATATCAGTGAAGTTAAGGAACTTTTGGTTTTAAGAGCTATGAACAGGAAGAAAATATGTGTACAGCACCGCAGAGGATTGCAATAAGATAAGATTTTGTATCACAGCTCCAGGTAATTGAAGAAATATTGAATTATTTTGGTTTAAGCTCGTTGGCTTTCTCTCCGGGAGTACAGCACTCACTTCGCATAAAGACTGTTGAAAGACGTCTAACAACCACATCTTATTCCCATAAATGTACATGAGGTAACTTATTATTTTAGAAGGATTTTTTTTAAATTTTATGGCAAATTAAGTTGTTGCATATAGTAAAATTTGCAAAGATGCCAGGAAAGCTGTTTTCCCTCTATTCCTCAGTTTGTGCCGCTGCAAAGTGGAGGGGTTCTTGTTCAGCCTGAAGGGATCTTCCATACATTATCCTACAAATAACCCAGCATACTCACTAAATATCTGAACATGTAATCCCTCCAGCTAGCTGTGGGCCGACCTCAAGGTCTCTCCTTCCCACTGGCCGTGCCCGGAACACCTCCATGAGTAGGCGCCCAGGAGGCATCCCTAACCACCTTACGGGACTCCTTCCAATGCTTAGAAGAAACGGCTCTACTCTGAGCTCCCTCTGGATGTCCACGCTTCTTACCCTATCTCTAAGGCTGAGGAAAGGAAACTCATTTCAGCCGCTTGTATTCACAATCTTATTCTTACGGTCATGAATGTTGAAAGCTTTAGTGTCTTGGGGTAAAATGGATCGTGAGATTGACAGGCAGATCGGTGCGGCGTCACAAGTACTGCAGGAACTGCACCGGGCTTTCGTGGTTAAGAGGGAAAATAAAAGCAGCACCTTTTAAAGACATGGTTGATGATTGGAGAGATTGGTCATTATTATTATTATAAACTCTTGCTAATCATAACTATTATTACGGGGGTTCGACCAATCAGAATCAAGTACATAACACAAGAGTGAGAAAGCCGTGTGCTGCTCATGTAACACTAAATACCCTGTCCGTGGAGCTTGTCTGCGGAGCATCACAGAAGCTTGTTGACCCACGGCAGCAAATCCACACACACATACACACACCTTGCCCTGACGGCTGTGGTTGTTAGCCGGGCTCAGGGTCACGGTGGGGCTGTGAGTGTTTTGGCAGATGGTTTGTGTTTGTTACTGAGAGAGACAGATTACCATCACTCTCCCGTCTACGCACACAAACACGGGGCTGTACCGAGAGAACACCGAAGAACTGAATCAATAAAGAAGATTCACCTAAGTTGTTCCATACGTGATCACAAAGCTAAGCAAACAGTGTAATGTTTGTAACGAGATCAGAGGACCAGGGCAGAACAGAAACTCTCCAGCTGTTGTATCTCAGACATCTCAACACTTGTTCTTGAATCTCTATGGACCAAAACTTGAACAGTTGGTGCAAAACTCAAATATTGCTGCAATAAGTCAGACGTAGCCACAAGACCGGGAAATCTAGAGTCTTTTGTAAACAAAGTAGTAAGTGGCGTGTTTTATGAATGAAGCAGATGTTAGACTGTTGCCCCCTTTTGTCTAAGATCTAATTTTGGACTACAGTTGCAGTTGTTGTGAGAAAAGTCTTATTTAAGACACTATATCTCTTAACATATCAAGATCTTTTGGTATAATGGTAAAACTTTCATCTTATAAGCATAAACAAAGTATTCCAAGTGTGGCTCACGATGCTCTTGTTTTAGTTCCCAGTCCTTGAACTAAATCGTGGTCAATCAGATACCAAATCTGCTCTTGCTCTTACAAAAAATCTAAAGGTGCTTTGTCATTTTGGTCTTTCTATTTTCATTAAATCTTCATAATTGTGCACCTCACTTTTTTTGCTCACTAATCTTTACAACTTGCAGTAACTTGCTCTGATTGCATCATCGACATGGACAACCTCTACCTGATGGTTTGAGGGAATCCTGGCAACTGCCGTGCGGTTTTCAGCCTGTGCAAACGCATTTTGCTGAATGAGCTGAAAGTATTCATCTTTTTAAGTCAAACTTTTTGCACCAACTTTGGCTCTTGTTTTAATTTTGCTCTTTGAAAATGCATAAATATTACATGATGACATGAAAGAAAACAAGCATCCGACCCCACCTTTAGGCCATCTTTTCCTGGTGCTCCTGGAGACCCCTGTTCAATGAAAAAAAGCATTTGACATATTTGTGAATAAATGTCGTTTCTTTTCACTCTCCAAAGACTTTCAAGGCTATATAGTGCAAAGATAAAGGCAGAAAGCGACCTCTGATCTAACATTGTGAAACCTCTCTGACTTTTCCTTTGCAGACTGAAGTCATGAACAAGCACACTCATGAGCTGTTTTAGTATATCAGACAGTGATGGCTCAGTGCCTCCTTTACTTCTTTATTCATGTTAATTTGCCTCCCTTCAACCATAACAGAAATGTGTTCATGTTCAGTTCACTATTGTCACAAAAAATCTCATTTATTCTTAATCTTTCTAAAGTGAAAACTGGCACATCCATCATGCTCCAGCAACAGCGATCATCAAAGATTAACTCTGTGCCTGCCTGCCTGCAGGCGTCTTCTGTGGTGCAGAGCGCTTTGATGTCTTTCCTGGAAAAATCATCAATAGAGAAGTGTAAAGACGTTGTGTAGGGAGGAAAGCCAATATTCAGATCAGCACCAAGCCAAGAGAGTCACACAACACTGTAACATATTCATCATCTGTGAAAACCTGAAATGTGGTCCAACACATGTGACCTCGAGGCCAAACCTCATAAATGTGTTCTGAATCTGATCAGGTCGTTTTGTGGAGAGTGATAACTTGCTCTTAGTCTGATCTTACCAGCATGTAAGCTAATTAAAGTATTAACACGCAGAAACATTGAGCTATTATTTCAGTTTTCTCCCTCCTTGTTTTGGCACCCAGCAGCTCCCCAAATGACTGATTTCTGGTGTTGATAGTCTGATTTATCATTAAACCCAATGTATAAATACTGCAGCTTTAAAAGTAACCAGAAATATGTCTTTATGGCCACATCCTGCACATTCTTGATTCAGGCCCCACACTTTAACTCTGAGGTTTCACACTTGTCTGCAAGACTGCACAAAAAACCCAGCCGGCCAAAGAAAACAGCTAAAGCTGTAAATGGATTCAGCTTCTCTGTTGTTCTTGCTGTTACCATGTGTCATCAATTTTCACCTTGCAAAACTGTGGCTGTTTTTAGGGGGGAGCATGCTGGAATGGTGTTTGTAACATGTGAGATACTCGGTTTCCTACCACTCATGCTTCTGTCATTGTGATCGATCAGTTATGGCTACTGGAGATAAACATGAAACCCAGTAAAACATGCAACAGTAATGGAGTTTCTACCAGAAATCATGTTTACCTTATGGCATGAAGTGAAACATAAAGTGACAAAGTGAAAAAAGTTGCAAAGATTAACTCAAATGGCGCCGTTTACTGCATCCAAGAACTATTTAGAGGATGGAGGTCCCAGTCAGAGTTTAAATGTATTAATACCTTCTGATACAGGGAACTATGGTGTAAAATAGGGGTAATAACTCAAATTAGATTGTACAAAAATACAGGATCACACAGTGATTTAATTTCATCTTATACTAAAAACAGATTTTTAAACTAAATAATGAAAACCAACCACTGCTCCTCTGGGACCTCGTTTGATGTGGAACAGGTCTGGTGTGGGTCCAACAGGTCCCATCAAGCCTCTAGGACCAGGAGGCCCAGGGGCCCCCAACAACCCTGGAGGCCCCTCTGGTCCTGGATCCCCTGAAACAATCCAGAGTGATATAAGTCGACTTAAAAATCACAAAAAAAGGCAGACAGTGAGCACAAAATGATTTTATCTTCAATAACACAGCCTTACTGTGCGGCTCCCAGGATGCTCAGTTTGTCTGTTCAAAGTCTTTGGATAACACTTTCTCAAAGTCGGCACAAAACTTGATTTCAACATTTAAAAAAGTTTTGAAAATAGTCCCTGCGATTTTGGTCATAGTTTGATTCCCATCAGATTGGATCTAAATATTCATGTCACCGCGCTCAGGTCAAACTTAGAGTTTTTTCAACACTTTGGTTTATGACTGAAACCTGCAGAGCTAATGACATTCCCATCGGCCTTAGCTGTATTAATGTTTAATGCCTCATACCATCTCTGCTGGATGCAGGCCAGTTCCTTCACACAGACTCTGACACTGTTTTGTTATCCTTAGCTTCGTGTGTTTTACCTGGAGGTCCTGGGAGACCCGGGGGCCCCGGTAAAAATACGGGCGACGTCAGGAATTTCTCGCTGGTCATTTGCTCGGGGATGTCAGCACTGTTTGACAGCATGGCCATCTTGAATGAGGATGCAGAAAATAATGAGTGATGGAGCAGGTCAACTGCACAGAAGTAAATGATTTGAAAAATCAAATAAAGGACATTGCCAATAAATACAGATATTCTTTCTGGCATGAAAGTCTTTTTTTTCTCTTTGGAAGTGAGGTCAAACTTCCAAATGCTTACAGTAACTTTACAATTTGCTCATTTGGTTGTCATACCTAAAATGCCTCTCCAAACAATGATTCATAAGGGCCTGCACTATCGCACAGGACGGGGAAATTACCCACTGAAGGGCCAGCTTCAAGGGATATTATGTTCAAATGATATTCCTGCCAGAGATGAAAGCTGATCCTCCATCTGCTCATCACTACAAGCTGTAACCCACACAGATGGAGGGCAAGGCAACCCCTCTGCATTATTCAGCAAGACCAAGAGAGTTCCTGCTCTGGATGCAAAGTGGCATCCTTGGGAATGAAAAAGTTAACTTTGATCTCTGTGTAATATCATGTGGGTCTGATAATCCCAGAGGGGAACATGTGAAGGACCTCGCTGTGCTGTGAGAGCGCGCTAATCAGAATTCATGCTCACAAAGGTAGAAGCATATGTCCACGCACACATGCACACGCGCTGTGAGGGGTCACGGTTCACCTGCTGATGAGCGAGCATTATGCAAGACTGTAGCCTGGGACTCCGTGCACAGGTGTTTGGACCACAGTGTGCTTTTAAATTCAAACACTAACCACTGACAGATTTTTTAACTAAGCAACAGTGTGGAGTTTTATTTTGATTTTTAATGTATTAGATCACGGTCATGTGCGGTGTAGCTGAAGCAGCACTTAGACCACACAGCTGGAAGCAATACATCATGTCTTATTGTAACGGTGTTGAGTGCCACTGTTGACAGACCCCTGTTCAGATAGGTTCAGACGCCTGTAATTACACAGAGGGAAACCTAACCTCTGTTAAGTTTCACACAAACTCTACAGCAATTCCCACTAATGGAGATCTGCCAGCTATAGTGACGGAAGTTTCATTGTGCTGTTAGGAAATAAAAGGGTGTGAAAAAGCTTAAGAGAGTTGTAAAAGTCGTGTTGATTCAGGGTATGAAACCCTTAAATATAAAGTGAGAGCTTTAGGTTCTGATAGAGACAATAAATCAGCTCAAGATTCATTCAACTGAATCAAAGCAGTGAGCTTGATGCTCCCTGAAGCCTCTCTGCAGTCAGCCATAAAGTACTAAAAAGCTGCAGGATCCAGAACAAAGATTTAAGACATAATGTTTCTATTACATTTTATGTATGTAAAAGAGTTCAGTGTGGTGTATTGATTTTTTGTCCAATTTTACCTTCTGCTTTAGCTGCAGGACCGACATCTTCATCTGGAGGAAATCATCACAAGTGGCCGAGCAGGTCCCAGCATCCATCACGTTGTCAGACTTTTTAAAGAGATGCACCGCTACAAACAGATGGAAACAACTTTTTTATGTTTTAATTTTCAGAAGACTGTAAACCGTGAGATAGTTCAGGACTGTCTGACAATCCAGAGGCACACTGTCATTCGTAAGACTAAACTAGGGCTGGGCGATATGGGAAAAAGTTTATCATGATATATCTTTTCATATCAGTGGATATCGATATATATCATGATATAAAAAATGAAATTTAATAGCGCTTATTGGTAGCATGTCTTTTGCAATACAATAAGCTGCTGCATCTGTGAGGTCTTTGTGTCTCTGACTGAATGGTTGGCTGTTCCAGCTGGGCTCCTCGCTCCACTTGGGTTTGTAACCTTTTGCATTCTGCGCGCTCTGCCGTGTGTCGCTGCTTCAGATGGTGAAAAAGATTTGAGGTATTCCCCAACTTTGCGAGAACATGTACTCGACATAATTTGCAGTGCACATTACTCTGCTTAATGTCTGACCTCAAAAAACCAAAATACCTCCACACCTATGTTTTCGTGCCAATGTTGCCGACAATGTCGTCATCTGTTGAGCCTCCATTTGCATTTCTGTCAGGGGTAGAACTCATTTTCTTTTTTTTGCTGTTGGCTTCACCTGTTAAGTTGCATGTAGCTGCAGTCTGCTACTACACAGTTGTTTGCTACTTGGTTCTAATTCAGCACATGATTTGTTCAGCGCGAAGTCGACCTGGAGCAACTCCCCTTGTCATTGGAAATTCATATAGGCAGAATGCCAGCTGTCAGCAAGCATATTGACCATGTTTTATATTGATATTGAGGGAAATTAATTTCCGATATATATCATTGTTTTATCGCCCAAGACTAAAAATTTGTGGGTCACCTGTAATCCTTCATTTTGACAGACAGGTGGTCTTGAATATATGTCAGAGTCCAGAAACAAAGCCTCACTAAAGGCTTTGCTAATTCTATATCCTTACTTTAATTCTAATTCATGTAATCAGAAACCAAATCAAGAGTTTAAGCTTTATTTATGGAGGAAATTCAACATAAAGAGCCAAGATCAGCGTCTGAAATCATGGTTATGTTTCTGGCTGGTTGCTGACCCAGCCTAAGACTGCATATATTACATGGATGAGTGAAAGTGTCTGGACGCTTCCCCCCTCCTTTAAAGCAGGAGGACATAAAACAGAAGTATGACTGTATGCACCATAGTTTCTCACTTTCCAGCTGCCCCTGAAATATTATAGCAGGTAATGGAAGATAAACTCATGGGAGGAAGTAGCAAATCTGCAGCCCCTGTCTGCTTCATTGGCAACTGAATCTGGGACAAAAAAAAACGTTATCATCGCCTGAACCTCTCTGTGATGTTTTCCTCAATATGCAACCAGAAAATGAGACAAGACCAGGAGTCAGGGGGGCAGAGTTATGTTTGGGAGACTCAACTGTTCTGACATGCACAAGAGCTGGATGTATAATGACTACCAGGTGTCCATGCATGCAGTACCCCCATCTCTTTTTCGTTCTTATACTCGCAGGAACCCCAGAACAATGTGTGGTCAGCTCCACCTCACCGTCAGATGTGCCCTCGAATAAATAAGAAATGTCTCTGTAAAAAAAACGCTGTTCTCACCTCTCTCCCCCTTGGTGCATGTTGTACCATCTTCTTCCAGGAAAAAGCCTTTCTCACACTCACACCTGTAGCTCCCCACGGTGTTAATGCAGATCTGAGAGCATGCGGTTGTGTTTTTGTCCACGCACTCGTCGATTTCTTCATGTTGTGGTGACAGGGAGAGGACAAGTTAAAAACAGAAAATGCAAATGAAAGTTAAAGACAGCCACGAGTTTAGCTGCATGCACCCACGTTTGAAAAGCAGATATAACTTTTGCAAAAGGATTAAATTTATAATTTAAGAGAATAATATAAGACATTTTCACTAAAACCTAATTTAATATTTATTCAATGCTTGTGTAGTTTCAGTCAGACAAAGAAAACAGATAAAAAGATTATGTCAAATCACCAATTTAACATACATGAGCTTGAATGACAAGACAAATTAACTTATGAGCATCTTCATTTACTCACACAAACTCACTGCAGTGTACTCTTGTAATGCACCAGTGGGGGGAACCATAGACTGTATATACTATGGACAACTTGGTTCCGCCTTCTGCCAAAAAGCTCTCGGTAATTCCATGTTTTTTCTCCACTTCCTGAAACCAACATTGCGCAGTAGCATTGTACGAATTCCACGTGAGAGTTGCCGAGGGTTGAGCTCCAACAGCGTATCCCCCGGATGAGCTACGCAATCTTTGTACGCCCATAGGCTGTATCAAGTAGAAAACATGAACCCCCTAATAACTTTTAAAAACTGAGCTGTTCTGTGTAATAAATTTCTAAAGTTTGTCCACAGCTCCATAAGGATGGCTGGGGGAGGTGGCATTCATGAACTATACTGCAGCCCGTCACCAGAGGGTGCTGTTCTCACAGTGGCTTCACCAAGCAAGGAGGCAGACGCTGTCCATTCTATATACAGTCTATGGGGGGAACTCAATAAATATTTAAAAACGAGCAAAAGAAATCAGGCCATGCAATTTGTTGTCTGCTCCAGTTATTCCAAATTTTAAAAGCTTTTACCGGACTACGAAGTTTGAAAAATTTTGTTTATATGGAGGTGACAAATCTGAGACAGCAAAGGGTCTTTAATAGTGTGTGTAAGGTTTTACCCAGGCAGTAGGGCTTCTCCCTGTTTCTATGGCGGTCACGGTCGTAGCGGTAGCCGGGGTAACAGGTGCACACCACTCGCCCAAAATGGTCGGTGCACTGTTGCTCGCAAGGGGCGTCAGCACACACATCATAGTCTGCAGAAATAAATGATGCATTCTATCAGTTTTCTATCTCATCTGTTTTTTTATTTTTAATTTTTAATTTTTAATTCAGCCCAAACTTCAGGTAACATATTAAGGAAGAATAAAAAAGAGAGAGTCCAGTGGAGTACAGTGAAAATATTATGAGACAAGATGGAAAAGAATTCAAAAATTCGTCACAACACAGAAGGCCAAACTCTTTTCTTACCTTCAGGAATGCACTGGCCCAACACAAACTTGAAGCCTTTGCAACATTTCTTTCTGTATAAAACATCAAATGAAATGAAACAAATCCAAAGTTAATCAACAATCGCACAATTGGTTCCAAAACTTCCATAAAATGTGAGTCTGTATATTTTTACATTTTTTGTTTATGTGGGAAACATCATTAGGAGAGGCTCTGGTTCAGACTAGAGGCACTCACACACGTACACACTTACTCACTGGTATGTCTGCTCTGCTGTTGTGTATTCTTTAACGCCCTTATTCTGAATTACGCATTTCTTATTACTGTAAAAGGTCCCATTGAATAGAAAACATATTTATCCCTGCCTTAACATATGCATTTTGTTATTCTGTCACCTAAATATGTGAAGGACAAGATAGTCTTTCATTGGCATCAATCTAAGAAGCTGCAGATCAGACACAGAGGAATAATTTGTGATAAATTTTGCAACAAAAACTTGCTCAAAAGATAAAGACATGTATGCAACAGCTGGAAACATCCTCGTTTAGGACCATTTTCAACCCACCATCATTGACTAAATACAAAACTTTACTCCTTGTGTGTTTTCAGAGCTTTTATCACATCATTTCCTCAAAGTCCCAGCTTGAACTGACAAATTTGTATTATATCTTTTGTAGATTATGGGGCAGCTGAGTTTGTTTAAAGCCTGTGATTAAGCTTCCTCATGGAACCATATTGAAAGGCTCTCTTGTTTTTGACACTCAAGCTCTCAAACTAGGACACCGTGTTTAAAGTAAGGTCAATTTCAGTAAGTTATTGGTAAACTCTTTTCCAAATGCATTTACTGATGAGTGTGAAGGAAGATGGAACACAAGTGCTAAAACTAACCCTAAACCTAGCTGCAACCCTAACCCTAGACCTAACCCTAGCTGCAACCCTAACCCTAACCCTAAATCCAACTGTAACACTAACCCTAACCCTAGATGCAACCCTAACCCTAACCCTAGTTGCAACCCTAACCCTAACTGTAACACTAGCTCCAACCCAAACCCTAACCCTAACCCTAGCTGCAACCCTAACCCTAACCCTAAATCCAACCCTAACACTAACCCTAACCCTAGATGGAACCCTAACCCTAACCCTAGTTGCAACCCTAACCCTAACTGTAACACTAGCTCCAACGCAAACCCTAACCCTAACCCTAGCTGCAACCCTAACCCTAACTGTAACCCTAACTCCAACCCTAACCCTAAACCTAAACCTAATCCTAGTTGCAACCCTAACCCTAACCCTAGCTCCAACCCTAACCCTAGCTGTTACCCTAACCCTAACCCAAGCTGCAACCCTAACCCTAGCCCGAACTCGAATCTTAACCCTAACTGCAACCCTAACCCTAACCCTAGCTCCAACCTAACCCTAACCCTAGCTCCAACCCTAACCCTAACCGTAGATGCAACCCTAACCCTAGCTCCAACCCTAACCATAACCCTAATTGCGACCCTAACCCTAACCCTAACCCTAGTTGAAACCCTAACCCTAACTGTAACCCTAGCTCCAACCCTAACCCTAATCCTAGCTGCAACCCTAACCCTAACCCTAGCTCCAACCCTAAACCTAACCCTAATCCTAGCTCCAACCCTAACCCTAGCTCCAACCCTAACCCTAACCCTAGCTCCAAACCTAAACCTCACCCTAGCTCCAACCCTATCCCTAAACCTAGCTCTAGCTCCAACCCTAACCCTAACCCTAACCCTAGCTCCAACCCTAAACCAAACCCTAACCCTAGCTCCAACCCTAACCCTAACCCTAACCCTAGCTCCAACCATAACCCTAACCCTAACTCCAACCCTAACCCTAACCCTAGCTGGAACCCTAAGCCTAACCCTAGCTCCAAGCCTAACCCTAACCCTAGCTCCAACCCTAACCCTAACCCTAGCTCCAAGCCTAACCCTAGCTCCAACCCTAACCCAAACCCAAACCCTAGCTCCAACCCTAACCCTAACCCTAGCTCCAACCCTAACCCTAACCCTAGCTCCAACCTAACCCTAACCCTAACCATAGCTCCAACCCTAACCCTAGCTCCAACCCTTACCTGAACCCTAACCCTAGCTCCAACCCTAACCCTAACCCTAGCTCCAACCCTAACCCTAACCCTAGCTCCAACCCTAACCCTTACCCTAGCTCCAACCCTAACCCTAACCCTAGCTCCAACCCCAACCCTAACCCTTGCTCTAGCTCCAACTCTATCCCTAAACCTAGCTCTAGCTCCAACCCTAACCCTAACCCTAACCCTAGCTCCAACCCTAACCCTAACCCTAGCTCCAACCCTAACCCTAACCCTAGCTCCAACCCTAACCCTTGCTCCAACCCTAACCCTAACCCTAACCCTAGCTCCAACCCTAACCCTAACCCTAGCTCCAACCCCAACCCTAGCTCTAGCTCCAACCCTAACCCTAACCCTAGCTGCAACCCAAACCCTAACCCTAGCTCTAGCTCCAACCCTAACCCTAAAACTAGCTCCAACCCTAACTCTAACCCTAACCCTAGCTCCAACCCTAACCCTTACCCTAACCCTAGCTCCAACCCTAACCCTAACCCTAACCCTTGCTCCAACCCTAACCATCACCCTAGCTCCAACCCTAACCCTAGCTCCAACCCTAACCCTAACCCTAGCTCCAACCCTAACCCTAACCCTAGCTCCAACCCTAACCCTAACCCTAGCTCCAACCCTAACCCTAGCTGCAACCCTAACCCTAACCCAAGCTCCAACCCTAACCCTAACCCTAGCTCAAGCTCCAACCCTAACCATAGCTCCAACCCTAACCCTAGCTCCAACCCTAACCCTAACCCTAACCCTAGCTCCAACCCTAACCCTAACCCTAGCTCCAACCCTAAACCTAACCCTAGCTCCAACCCTAACCCTAGCTCCAACCCTAACCCTAGCTCCAACCCTAACCCTAACCCTAGCTCAAACCCTAACCCTAACCCTTGCTCAAACCCTAACCCTAACCCTAGCTCTAGCTCCAACCCTAACCCTAACCCTAGCTCCAACCCTAACCCTAACCCTAACCCTAGATCCAACCCTAACCCTTACCCTAGCTCCAACCCTATCCCTAACCATAACCCTAACCCTAACCCTAGCTCCAACCCTAACCATAACCCTAACCCTTGCTCCCACCCTAACCCTAACCCTAGCTCCAACCTAACCCTAACCCTAACCATAGCTCCAACCCTAACCCTAGCTCCAACCCTTACCTGAACCCTAACCCTAGCTCCAACCCTAACCCTAACCCTAGCTCTAGCTCCAACCCTAACCCTAACCCTAGCTCCAACCCTAACCCTTACCCTAGCTCCAACCCTAACCCTAACCCTAGCTCAAACCCCAACCCTAACCCTTGCTCTAGCTCCAACTCTATCCCTAAACCTAGCTCTAGCTCCAACCCTAACCCTAACCCTAACCCTAGCTCCAACCCTAACCCTAACCCTAGCTCCAACCCTAACCCTTGCTCCAACCCTAACCCTAACCCTAACCCTAGCTCCAACCCTAACCCTAACCCTAGCTCCAACCCCAACCCTAGCTCTAGCTCCAACCCTAACCCTAACCCTAGCTGCAACCCAAACCCTAACCCTAGCTCTAGCTCCAACCCTAACCCTAAAACTAGCTCCAACCCTAACTCTAACCCTAACCCTAGCACCAACCCTAACCCTTACCCTAACCCTAGCTCCAACCCTAACCCTAACCCTAACCCTTGCTCCAACCCTAACCATCACCCTAGCTCCAACCCTAACCCTAGCTCCAACCCTAACCCTAACCCTAGCTCCAACCCTAACCCTAACCCTAGCTCCAACCCTAACCCTAGCTGCAACCCTAACCCTAACCCAAGCTCCAAACCTAACCCTAACCCTAGCTCTAGCTCCAACCCTAACCATAGCTCCAACCCTAACCCTAGCTCCAACCCTAACCCTAACCCTAGCTCCAACCCTAACCCTAACCCTAGCTCCAACCCTAACCATAATCCTTAATTGCGACCCTAACCCTAACCCTAACCCTAGTTGAAACCCTAACCCTAACTGTAACCCTAGCTCCAACCCTAACCCTAATCCTAGCTGCAACCCTAACCCTAACCCTAGCTCCAACCCTAACCCTAACCCTAGATGAAACCCTAACCCTAGCTCCAACCCTAACCATAACCCTAGCTGCAACCTAACCTTAACCCTAAAACTAGCACCAACCCTAACCCGAACCCTAGCTGTTACTCTAACCCTAACCCTAACACTAGCTGTTACTCTAACCCTAACCCTAGCTGCAACCCTAACCCTAACCCTAGCTGGAACCCTAAGCCTAACCCTAGCTCCAAACCTAACCCTAACCCTAGCTCCAACCCTAACCCTAACCCTAGCTCCAAGCCTAACCCTAGCTCCAACCCTAACCCAAACCCTAACCCTAGCTCCAACCCTAACCCTAACCCTAGCTCCAACCCTAACCCTAACCCTAGCTCCAACCTAACCCTAACCCTAACCATAGCTCCAACCCTAACCCTAGCTCCAACCCTTACCTGAACCCTAACCCTAGCTCCAACCCTAACCCTAACCCTAGCTCCAACCCTAACCCTAACCCTAGCTCCAACCCTAACCCTTACCCTAGCTCCAACCCTAACCCTAACCCTAGCTCCAACCCCAACCCTAACCCTTGCTCTAGCTCCAACTCTATCCCTAAACCTAGCTCTAGCTCCAACCCTAACCCTAACCCTAACCCTAGCTCCAACCCTAACCCTAACCCTAGCTCCAACCCTAACCCTAACCCTAGCTCCAACCCTAACCCTAACCCTAGCTCCAACCCTAACCCTTGCTCCAACCCTAACCCTAACCCTAACCCTAGCTCCAACCCCAACCCTAGCTCTAGCTCCAACCCTAACCCTAACCCTAGCTGCAACCCAAACCCTAACCCTAGCTCTAGCTCCAACCCTAACCCTAAAACTAGCTCCAACCCTAACTCTAACCCTAACCCTAGCTCCAACCCTAACCCTTACCCTAACCCTAGCTCCAACCCTAACCCTAACCCTAACCCTTGCTCCAACCCTAACCATCACCCTAGCTCCAACCCTAACCCTAGCGCCAAACCTAACCCTAACCCTAGCTCCAACCCTAACCCTAACCCTAGCTCCAACCCTAACCCTAACCCTAGCTCCAACCCTAACCCTAGCTGCAACCCTAACCCTAACCCAAGCTCCAACCCTAACCCTAACCCTAGCTCAAGCTCCAACCCTAACCATAGCTCCAACCCTAACCCTAGCTCCAACCCTAACCCTAACCCTAACCCTAGCTCCAACCCTAACCCTAACCCTAGCCCTAACCCTAACCCTAACCCTAGCTCCAACCCTAACCCTAGCTCCAACCCTAACCCTAGCTCCAACCCTAACCCTAACCCTAGCTCAAACCCTAACCCTAACCCTTGCTCAAACCCTAACCCTAACCCTAGCTCTAGCTCCAACCCTAACCCTAACCCTAACCCTAGCTCCAACCCTAACCCTAACCCTAACCCTAGATCCAACCCTAACCCTTACCCTAGCTCCAACCCTATCCCTAACCATAACCCTAACCCTAACCCTAGCTCCAACCCTAACCATAACCCTAACCCTTGCTCCAACCCTAACCCTAACCCTAGCTCCAACCTAACCCTAACCCTAACCATAGCTCCAACCCTAACCCTAGCTCCAACCCTTACCTGAACCCTAACCCTAGCTCCAACCCTAACCCTAACCCTAGCTCTAGCTCCAACCCTAACCCTAACCCTAGCTCCAACCCTAACCCTTACCCTAGCTCCAACCCTAACCCTAACCCTAGCTCAAACCCCAACCCTAACCCTTGCTCTAGCTCCAACTCTATCCCTAAACCTAGCTCTAGCTCCAACCCTAACCCTAACCCTAACCCTAGCTCCAACCCTAACCCTAACCCTAGCTCCAACCCTAACCCTTGCTCCAACCCTAACCCTAACCCTAACCCTAGCTCCAACCCTAACCCTAACCCTAGCTCCAACCCCAACCCTAGCTCTAGCTCCAACCCTAACCCTAACCCTAGCTGCAACCCAAACCCTAACCCTAGCTCTAGCTCCAACCCTAACCCTAAAACTAGCTCCAACCCTAACTCTAACCCTAACCCTAGCTCCAACCCTAACCCTTACCCTAACCCTAGCTCCAACCCTAACCCTAACCCTAACCCTTGCTCCAACCCTAACCATCACCCTAGCTCCAACCCTAACCCTAGCTCCAACCCTAACCCTAACCCTAGCTCCAACCCTAACCCTAACCCTAGCTCCAACCCTAACCCTAGCTGCAACCCTAACCCTAACCCAAGCTCCAAACCTAACCCTAACCCTAGCTCTAGCTCCAACCCTAACCATAGCTCCAACCCTAACCCTAGCTCCAACCCTAACCCTAACCCTAGCTCCAACCCTAACCCTAACCCTAGCTCCAACCCTAACCCTAACCCTAGCTCCAACCCTAACCCTAGCTCCAACCCTAACCCTAACCCTAGCTCCAACCCTAACCCTAACCCTAGCTCCAACCCTAACCCTAACCCTAGCTCCAACCCTAACCCTAACCCTTGCTCAAACCCGAACCCTAACCCTAGCTCTAGCTCCAACCCTAACCCTAACCCTAACCCTAGCTCCAACCCTAACCCTAACCCTAACCCTAGATCCAACCCTAACCCTTACCCTAGCTCCAACCCTATCCCTAACCCTAACCCTAACCCTAGCTCCAACCCTAACCCTAACCCTAACCCTTGCTCCAACCCTAACCCTAACCCTAGCTCAAACCCTAACCCTAACCCTAGCTCCAACCCTAACCCTAACCCTAATCCTAGCTCCAACCCTAACCCTAGCTCCAACCCTAACCCTAACCCTAGCTCCAACCCTAAACCTCACCCTAGCTCCAACCCTATCCCTAAACCTAGCTCTAGCTCCAACCCTAACCCTAACCCTAACCCTAGCTCCAACCCTAAACCAAACCCTAACCCTAGCTCCAACCCTAACCCTAACCCTAGCTCCAACCCTAACCCTAACCCTAACCCTAGCTCCAACCCTAACCCTAACCCTAGCTCTAGCTCCAACCCTAACCCTAACCCTAGCTCGAACCCTAACCCTAACCCTAGCTCCAACCCTAACCCTAACCCTAACCCTAGCTCCAACCCTAACCCTAGCTCCAACCCTTACCCTAACCCTAACCCTAGCTCCAACCCTAACCCTAACCCTAACCCTAGCTCCAACCCTAACCCTAGCTCCAATCCTTACCCTAACCCTAATTCCAACCCTAACCCTAACCCTTACCCTAGCTCCAACCCTAACCCTAACCATAGCTGCAACCCTAACCCTAACCGTAGCTCCAACCCTAACCCGAACCCTAGCTGCAACCCTAACGCTACCTCTATCTCCAACCCTAACCCTAACTCTAGCTCCAACCCTAACCCCAACCCTAACCCTAGCTCCAACCCCAACCCTAACACTAGCTCCAACCCTAACCCTAACCCTAGCTCCAACCCTAACCCTAACCCTAGCTCCAACCCTAACCCTAGCTCCAACCCTAACCCTAACCCTAACCCTAGCTCCAACCCTAACCCTAACCCTAGCTCCAACCCGAACCCTAGCTCTAGCTCCAACCCTAACCCTAACACTAGCTGCAACCCAAACCCTAACCCTAGCTCTAGCTCCAACCCTAACCCTAACCCTAAACCTAGCTCCAACCTTAACCCTAACCCTAACCCTAGCTCCAACCCTAACCCTAACCCTAGCTCCCTAGCTCCAACCCTAACCCTAGCTCCAACCCTAACCCTAACCCTAACCCTAGCTCCAACCCTAACCCTAACCCTAGCTCCAAACCCTAACCCTAACCCTTGCTCAAACCCTAACCCTAACCCTAGCTCTGGCTCCAACCCTAACCCTAACCCTAGATCCAACCCTAACCCTAACCCTAGCTCCAACCCTATCCCTAACCCTAACCCTAACCATAGCTCCAACCCTAACCCTAACCCTAACTCCAACCCTAACCCTAACCCTAACCCTTGCTCCAACCCTAACCCTAACCCTAGCTCAAACCCTAACGCTAACCCTAGCTCCGACCCTAACCCTAACCCTAATCCTAGCTCCAACCCTAACCCTAACCCTAGCTCCAACCCTAAACCTCACCCTAGCTCCAACCCTATCCCTAAACCTAGCTCTAGCTCCAACCCTAACCCTAACCCTAGCTCGAACCCTAACCCTAACCCTAGCTCCAACCCTAACCCTAACCCTAACCCTAGCTCCAACCCTAACCCTAGCTCCAACCCTTACCCTAACCCTAACCCTAGCTCCAACCCTAACCCTAACCCTAACCCTAGCTCCAACCCTAACCCTAGCTCCAATCCTTACCCTAACCCTAATTCCAACCCTAACCCTAACCCTTACCCTAGCTCCAACCCTAACCCTAACCCTATAGCTGCAACCCTAACCCTAACCGTAGCTCCAACCCTAACCCGAACCCTAGCTGCAACCCTAACGCTACCTCTATCTCCAACCCTAACCCTAACTCTAGCTCCAACCCTTACCCCAACCCTAACCCTAGCTCCAACCCCAACCCTAGCTCCAACCCTAACCCTAACCCTAGCTCCAACCCTAACCCTAACCCTAGCTCCAACCCTAACCCTAGCTCCAACCCTAACCCTAACCCTAACCCTAGCTCCAACCTTAACCCTAACCCTAGCTCCAACCCGAACCCTAGCTCTAGCTCCAACCCTAACCCTAACACTAGCTGCAACCCAAACCCTAACCCTAGCTCTAGCTCCAACCCTAACCCTAACCCTAACCCTAACCCAAGCTCCAACCCTAACCCTAACCCTAGCTCCAACCCTAACCCTAACCCTAGCTCTAGCTGCAACCCTAACCCTAGCTCCAACCCTAACCCTAACCCTAACCCTAGCTCCAACCCTAACCCTAGCTCCAATCCTTACCCTAACCCTAATTCCAACCCTAACCCTAACCCTTACCCTAGCTCCAACCCTAACCCTAACCATAGCTGCAACCCTAACCCTAACCGTAGCTCCAACCCTAACCCTAACCCTAGCTGCAACCCTAACGCTACCTCTATCTCCAACCCTAACCCTAACTCTAGCTCCAACCCTAACCCCAACCCTAACCCTAGCTCCAACCCCAACCCTAACACTAGCTCCAACCCTAACCCTAACCCTAGCTCCAACCCTAACCCTAACCCTAGCTCCAACCCTAACCCTAGCTCCAACCCTAACCCTAACCCTAACCCTAGCTCCAACCCTAACCCTAACCCTAGCTCCAACCCGAACCCTAGCTCTAGCTCCAACCCTAACCCTAACACTAGCTGCAACCCAAACCCTAACCCTAGCTCTAGCTCCAACCCTAACCCTAACCCTAACCCTAACCCAAGCTCCAACCCTAACCCTAACCCTAGCTCCAACCCTAACCCTAACCCTAGCTCTAGCTCCAACCCTAACCCTAGCTCCAACCCTAACCCTAACCCTAACCCTAGCTCCAACCCTAACCCTAACCCTAGCTCCAACCCTAACCCTAACCCTTGCTCAAACCCTAACCCTAACCCTAGCTCTGGCTCCAACCCTAACCCTAACCCTAGATCCAACCCTAACCCTAACCCTAGCTCCAACCCTATCCCTAACCCTAACCCTAACCATAGCTCCAACCCTAACCCTAACCCTAGCTCCAACCCTAACCCTAACCCTAACCCTTGCTCCAACCCTAACCCTAACCCTAGCTCAAACCCTAACGCTAACCCTAGCTCCGACCCTAACCCTAACCCTAATCCTAGCTCCAACCCTAACCCTAACCCTAACCCTAGCTCCAACCCTAAACCTCACCCTAGCTCCAACCCTATCCCTAAACCTAGCTCTAGCTCCAACCCTAACCCTAACCCTAGCTCCAACCCTAAACCTAACCCTAACCCTAGCTCCAACCCTAACCCTAACCCTAACCCTAGCTCCAACCCTAACCCTAACCCTAGCTCCAACCCTAACCCTAGCTCCAACCCTTACCCTAACCCTAACCCTAGCTCCAACCCTAACCCTAACCCTAGCTCCAACCCTAACCCTAGCTCCAACCCTTACCCTAACCCTAATTCCAACCCTAACCCTAACCCTAGCTCCAACCCTAACCCTAACCCTAGCTCCAACCCTAAACCTAACCCTAGCTGCAACCCTAACGCTACCTCTATCTCCAACCCTAACCCTAACCCTAACTCTAGCTCCAACCCTAACCCCAACCCTAACCCTAGCTCCAACCCCAACCCTAACCCTAGCTCCAACCCTATCCCTGACCCTAACCCTAAACCTAGCTCCAACCCTAACCCTAACCCTAACCCTAGCTGCAACCCTAACCCTAACCCTAACCCAAGCTCCAACCCTAACCCTAGCTCCAACCCTAACCCTAAACCTAGCTCTAGCTCCAACCCTAACCCTAACCCTAGCTCCAACCCTAACCCTAGCTACAACCCTAACCCTAACCCTAACCCTAGCTCCAACCCTAACCCTAACCCTAGCTCCAACCCTAACCCTAACCCTTGCTAAAACCCTAACCCTAACCCTAGCTCTAGCTCCAACCCTAACCCTAACCCTAACCCTAGCTCCAACCCTAACCCTAACCCTAACCCTAACCCTAGCTCCAACCCTATCCCTAACCCTAACCATAGCTCCAACCCTAACCCTAACCCTAGCTCCAACCCTAACCCTAACCCTAACCCTTGCTCCAACCCTAACCCTAACCCTAGCTCCGACCCTAACCCTAACCCTAATCCTAGCTCCAACCCTAACCCTATCTCCAACCCTAACCCTAACCCTAACCCTAGCTCCAACCCTAAACCTCACCCTAGCTCCAACCCTATCCCTAAACCTAGCTCTAGCTCCAACCCTAACCCTTACCCTAACCCTAGCTCCAACCCTAAACCTAACCCTAACCCTAGCTCCAACCCTAACCCTAACCCTAACCCTAGCTCCAACCCTAACCCTAACCCTAGCTCCAACCCTAACCCTAACCCTAGCTCCAACCCTAACCCTAACCCTAGCTCTAGCTCCAACCCTAACCCTAACCCTAGCTCTAGCTCCAACCCTAACCCTAACCCTAGCTCCAACCCTAACCCTAACCCTAGCTCCAACCCTAACCCTAACCCTAGCTCCAACCCTAACCCTAACCCTAGCTCCAACCCTAACCCTAGCTCCAACCCTTACCCTAACCCTAACCCTTGCTCCAACCCTAACCCTAACCCTAACCCTAACCCTAGCTCCAACCCTAACCCTAGCTCCAACCCTTACCCTAACCCTAATTACAACCCTAACCCTAACCCTAGCTCCAACCCTAACCCTAACCCTAACCCTAGCTCCAACCCTAACCCTAACCCTAACCATAGCTGCAACCCTAACGCTACCTCTATCTCCAACCCTAACCCTAACCCTAACTCTAGCTCCAACCCTAACCCTAACCCTAACCCTAGCTCCAACCCCAACCCTAACCCTAGCTCCAACCCTATCCCTGACCCTAACCCTAAACCTAGCTCCAACCCTAACCCTAACCCTAACCCTAGCTCCAACCCTAACCCTAACCCAAACCCTTGCTCCAACCCTAACCGTAACCCTAGCTCGAACCCTAACCCTAACCCTAGCTCCAACCCTAACCCTAACCCTAGCTCCAACCCTAACCCTAACCCTAATCCTAGCTCCAACCCTAACCCTAACCCTAGCTCCAACCTAACCCTAACCCTAGCTCCAACCCTAACCCTAACCCTAACCCTAGCTCCAACCCTTACCCTTACCCTAACCCTAGCTCCAACCCTAACCCTAACCCTAGCTCTAGCTCCAACCCTAACACTAACCCTAGCTCCAACCCTAACCCTTACCCTATCCCTAACCCTAACCCTAGCTCCAACCCTAACCCTAACCCTAACCCTAACCCTAGCTCCAACCCTAACCCTAACCCTAGCTCCAACCCTAACCCTAACCCCAATCCTAGCTCCAACCCTAACCCTAGCTCCAACCCTAACCATAACCCTAGCTCCAACCCTAACCCTAACCCTAGCTCCAACCCTATCCCTAAACCTAGCCCTAGCTCCAACCCTAACCCTAACCCCAACCCTAGCTCCAACCCTAACCCTAGCTCCAACCCTAACCATAACCCTAGCTCCAACCCTAACCCTAACCCTAGCTCCAACCCTATCCCTAAACCTAGCCCCAGCTCCAACCCTAACCCTAACCCTAACCCTAGCTCCAACCCTAACCCTAGCTCCAACCCTAACCCTAACCCTAGCTCCAACCCTAACCCTAGCTCCAACCCTAACCCTAACCCTAACCCTAGCTCCAACCCTAACCCTAACCCTAGCTGCAACCCTAACCCTAACCCTAACCCTAGCTGCAACCCTAACCCTAACCCTAGCTGCAACCCTAACCCTAACCATAGCTGCAACCCTAACCCTAACCCTAGCTCCAACCCTAACCCTAACCCTAGCTGCAACCCTAACCCTAACTCTAGCTCCAACCCTAACCCTAATCCTAGCTCCAAACCTAACCCTAACCCTAACCCTAACCCTAGCTGCAACCCCAACCCTAACCCTAGCTCCAACCCTAACCCTAACCATAGCTGCAACCCTAACCCAACCGTAACCCTTACCCAACCTCAACCTCAACCCTAACCCTAACCCTAGCTCCAACCCTTACCCTAACCCTAACCCTAGCTCCAACCCTTACCCTAACCCTAACCCTAACCCTAGCTGAAACCCTAACCCTAACCCTAGCTCCAACCCTAACCCTAACCCTAGCTGCAACCCTAACCCTAACCCTAGCTCCAACCCCAACCCTAGCTGCAACCCTAACCCTAACCCTAGCTCCAACCCTAACCCAACCCTAGCTCCAACCCTAACCCTAGCTCCAACCCTGACCCTAAACCTAGCTCCAACCCCAACCCTAACCCTAGCTGCAACCTAACCCTAGCTTCAACCCTAGCCCTAACCCTAGCTCCAACCCTAACCCTAACCCTAGCTGCAACCCTTACCCTAACCTTAGCTCCAACCCTAAACCTAACCCTAGCTCCAACCCTAACAATAACCCTGACCCTAGCTGCAACCCTAACCCTAACCCTAACTCTAGCTCCAACCCTAAACCTAACCCTAGCTCCAACCCTAACCCTAACCCTAGCTGCAACCCTAACCCTAACCCTAACTCCAACCCTAACCCTAGCTGCAACCCTAACTCTAACCCTAGCTCCAACCCTAACCCTAACCCTAGCTGCAACCCTAATCCTAACCCTGACCCTAGCTGCAACCCTAACAACTGCCTGTCGCACCTTCTCCGGTGCCCATGGGTCAGCTAGAGTTGTCAGCCAGGAACCACCATTCACCAACGTTTCGCTCCTTTAATCCTTGAACGTCTCCTGGTGGCGGAGCAGTGGCAGGGACGTCTCCCTGCCACTCCCTGTAGCTGAGAGGTTTTATCGTCTGCCGCTGTTCTCTTGGTAAGTTGTTCTTTCCCCAGCACCCATCTTTTCTCCTCAGCCAGAGCCAAAAGCTCCCCTCAGCCTCTTCGGCTAGCTCCTCGGTTGCGTTCTTCAGGTTCCTTCCAGTTACTCCTACGTCCCTCAGAAGGCGTGTCATTGACAGTCCCACATAGCCTCAGCATCCGACCTCTACTGGGTAGATGGTGGCCGTCCAACCAGCTCTGAGTACTTGGCCTTCTTTCGTTCATAGGCAGCCTCAATCCCCTCCTCAGCTGGTATTGTGAGCTCAATGAGGAGCACTGATACTGCCTTGGTCGAACACACCATTATGTCTGGGCGGAGAGATGTTGTAATAATCTCAACCGGGAAGTGGAGCTGCCTGTCGAGGTCGACTCTCATGTCCCACTCCTGGTCGGGGGAAAACGGCTTAGGAATTTTCCCTGGCCGATGTTTCTTTTCCTCCCCGCTTTCTGTGAGGAAATTGATGTGGTTGTGGTTCTCTGCCGGTGGTGACTCTTTGCTGCGCTGTCTACACCCCTCCACTACCTCAGTTAGCTTTCTCAGGACCTGGTCGTGGCGCCATCTGAGAGAGCGCAATCTTACAGCCTGACAATATGTGCTGGAGGGTTGCGTTTGGGGTGTTGCAGAGTGAGCAGCACGCCTCACTTCCGAACCACTGGTGGAGGTTCAGAGGACAGGGAAGCGTATCGTAGGTGGAGCGGATGAGGAAGCTGAGCCGAGCCTGTGGGATCTTCCACAGGTCTGACCAGGTGATGTTTCGGTTGGCTACTCCCTCCCAGGTCGTCCAGCTCCCCTGTCTGCCCTGCGACACAGGCTTGATCTTAGAGTGCTCTTCCTTCATTCTTGTCACCTCTGCCACCACCATTTCCTTCCTCTCTTTGCGGTTGGTTTTACTGACGTTTAAGCGGTGTAACTTGCAGTTAGAAGAGGCGACGCTTTGCTTTTTTTGGTAATGGATTCAACATGATGTGAAAAGATAAACACCTGGCCCAGGTGTGTAAAACTGCTCACCTGCTTCACCTCCTGATCTTTAACTGTAAGATGTTGATGGTTCAATACCAAGCTGGTATCCTTAACCCACTCTTAGTCTTATGAGCAAACAGCAAGAGGTCAAGCTGTTCAGTAAGTGCCAGTTTTAGATGCTTGACGTCATTTTGTTCAGGCTATGATGAATACACTCATTCTTTATCCAAAAAAGTTTCATATGCGTTTATAAGCAACAAAATTGGATGACACTTGAAACTAACGGCGCCGCCTTTGACATCTGTGTTAAGTTTTACTAAGACCATCTCCATGATAACATAATGTTGCAACATTTTATCAGAATAACTCACAGAGTCACCGTGAGCCAACAGCCATCTCTGGCTCGCACTGAGCGTTGGCAGAAAGTGCTACCAGGTGTGATTTTCAAACAGGAGGTGATAAAAAATGTAATTACACCATGAAGTCACGGCAATACAGAGCAGTCACACTCACTTTGATCGTGGTGCTTAAAAAAGATTAACCTGTAATGCTTTGCAGCTTTTATTCACAAGCAGTAATGATGATGGCAACGTTTGGTGATTTGATACACTAAGTATTTTAACACAACTGGTGTCACTAATTTAATCATTTCTGTTTTGTGACATGATTTATCTGTGCTCAACCAGGTGAGCCGTAATAAGAATCACATAAATCTGCAGGTCGGTATCTCTGTAGGAAACAATATGAGCCTTTGTATTACAGGGTTACCATTCAATATAATGAGACATATTGCCAACTCACAGGCTCTGTGATAAGCCTCTTTATAAGCCACTATTGATATGGGACCACTCCTTCCTGGATCAATGCTTTCTTTGGTTTGTAAGACTGATATGACAGAAGGGGGGATTAAAACTCTGTAACATAGCAGCTGGGTGTTAAGCTAGGAATGTTTGCATATTAACTTCTCATTAAAGTAAAAAAATAGGCACAAACACAACATTCACAGTCAGTCCTAAGGGCATTAATATTCACTTCAACTGGCTCGTTTAAACATATATAAATGTGGTACTAGGGATGCACCAATACGATATTTGGATCAGATATCAGCTCCGATACTGACAAATTAACTGGATCGGATATCTGTTGAGTGATACCGATCCAGCATTGCGATCCAGTTTTTTTTCTTTTAACCTCCTACGACCCGAACTCTTGCAAGGCATGCATTTTTATTTTCTCTTTGATATTTAGGCTAATTGGGACCTGATGAGTGTAAAAACAAAGAATGATCTTTTTACATGATGTAGTTTCTGAGAAAAATGATGTCCACATATGAGGACATTTGTTTTAAATTTTGAGAGAAGGCCCATGTGAACAAAATTTAATATCGTGGTCTTGACAACCAAAAATGTGATGTCCACACATGTGGACGCCAGGTCTTAGGAGGTTAATTAATATCATGCACAGCAACACAGCAATTCTGTTCGCTCTATATTTTATGTCTGTCTGTCTATAAGTCTTACATCTTTTCGCTGTGTGCTAATGTGCAATTTGTTATTTGTTAATAAATTATATTAAGTAAAATTATATTTGTCTTGATTTGTTACCTTTTTTTAACAAGGTTAAGTCAAGCCTGATGCCTTCACTCACAGGGCAATGAATACAGTTCATTCATTCGACATTGGATCGGTATTGGACATCGGCTGATACGCTCCACCCAGGTATCGGTATTGGATTGAACGGGGAATAAATGGATCGGTGAAACTCTATCTGATACAACACAGCATATTTATAGTTTATACCAACATTACTATCAATTACTCCCAACCCATCGTGTGTCAATCAAATTTGTTTTTGGGATGATAAACCTTCAGTGTTGAATTTTGGTTGCTATGATGACCAAACGTACTGAGTCATCCTGAAGTGAATATAGATGCATCATGTACCGATCCACCCACTGTGTCATCAAACTTCCCAAGAATCTACAAATGTAAATTTCACAGTAGAGGCAGAGGCAAGTCAAGAGGTAAACTCAGTCTGTATTCACCCTCAGGGGACCACGAATCTGTCTCAAAACACCAAAGCAATCCCTGAGCTACTGATAAACTTTGGTTTGATGGACATACAGAGGAGATTGGCAATGAAGCCCCTGAAGCCCTGCTGCCAGTCTGGCTTAAAACTTCCAAACAGTGAGGAGAAATAAAAAAATGAATAAAAAGCATGAGGAAATAATCTGAGGGACGAGTAATGACAGAATATGTAATAAAAACGCTGATTAACTAACAGATTTCAGATTGAGAGCATTTGTGTAAGTGGATGCAGGACACCTTTTATGCTTCAGTCATATTCTAAGTGTTTTTTTTGCTTTGGTTTTTAATGGCTTGATTTTAAATGTCACTTTCTATGATTTCTAAATGTTTTTCTACCTATGTAATTATTCTCCTAATGTTAAGCACTTTGAATCACCTTGTTGCCAAAATCTGCAGTATAAATAAACTTCCCTTTCTTTGCCTTACTGTAAATCAGTGGTTCTGCTTTCTTCAGTTGACTGCTTTTACAATCATATTCATAAGTACAGGATATACAGAACAGCCAAGTCCTTACACACTCATAAAACAGAATATTTACAGCCTAAAGAGGGGCCATAAGAGCCCTCCTCACTGCTCTCGAGGCTCCTTCTGAAATATACTAACCTGCACCAACCGCCGCACTGCTCATGTTCAAAGGACGTAGGGGGAAACGAGGATCACTCAGGAGGCTGTTAATAGCTTGAGAGCAGGAAAAGACTGATGTGTAAATTCATAGTTTGTTTGTATAACTCGATGCTGAAGAGTTAGCATGTTTCATGGAGTGCATCTTTGCTATAGTTTGAGTTTAGCTCATGGTCCATCACAGAGTCTATAGTTACATAATGTGTCAGCTGTTTTTTTCATGTGAAGTGCTACTTAAGAAATATTAACCTGTTAACACAATGAACAAAGTAGCTAATGCCTTAAAAAACACCTTAAAAATCAATATGTTCTGAACATAAATGCAAGCATGTGTGAATGCATATGTTGGCATCAGGCACAGCTATGACTAATCGTGTTAGTATGTTATTACATGAAGGATATCTAAGAAGGGTGAGAGTGCAGCTTCTTATTTGGACAAGAATTACAAAAAAAGTGTACCAATGTCTGTCAAACTAAAAGTTTATAAAGTTTGTATCTGAATTCAAGTGAGTAAGTGATATCTTATACTGAGTTGTGTGTTGTTGAGGTAGGCTCCGACTTGGACACCCGCAGAGAGTTGATCTGAGGATGGTTTCCTGTGTGACCCAGTATGTCATGTCACAATAACATCCCCGTAAGGACAGAAGGCACTTATAGCAAATAGCCAGCTTGGCAAAATAATCAGGGTTAGCCGAACAATCATGAGAAAACAAACATCTATGTCCGTTTCCAGAAGATCATGAAAGAGGCGTCAACATCCCATGGAAACTGGATCTGTGTCTACGTCGGAGTTCATCTTTATCAAACTATCTTTATTAAGTTATCACTCAGGAAAATGCATATTAGCCTTTTCATATTCTACCTTATTGTAGTTTCTAATTTCTATTATATCACAAAATAAACAAGTCGAAATTCTAAGTGATATTTAGTTACTTTGCAGATCGAAACACTTTAAAAACACAACTGGAGTATTATCTGGCATTTTTCATTCAAACAAATTAATTCAATTTAAAGCTGTTGACTTCTTACGTTGCCCCTTTGATAACCTTTTATATTTTGACATGAGGACATGAAAACAGGCAGACCAGGAGAGGTAGACACCCAGAACTGAGATGGTAATGATATGACCTGTCTGCAAGTTAAATTAACATGCCCAGTAATGACTCTGGGTGATGGATACTAAGCTGAAGGTCAGCGCACTAAAGCAATAAAATAACCTCAGACCAACTTAATGATTTATAGCGTGGGGGTGAAAATCTGTCAGGTCTTTTGATATAGAGGGTCTCAGGAGGTAAACTGTTGTTGAATGAAAATAGCATTCTCATCACATACCGCAGACAAAGCTGCATGTTCTAGTCGGACACTCATGGTTGTGTTTTGTGCCAACATTTAATCTTCATTCTTAATGTTAATGACACAAAAGAACAATATTTGGACTAATTCACTCTTGTCAGTCAGTTCTTCAACAACCAAAAGTTCAGATGCTGAGCGAAATGTAAATAAAAGCAGATTTTGACCATTTGCAAACAATGAAATGCTATATTTAGTAAAAGTAGTAGAGAGAAAATGTGTCAAATGTTAAAACCAAAAATTTGCAATGATTCATAAAAAATATATATCATGTTTGCAGTAAAAACAGATATGACTCAGTAGTGGAAGTCCCTGCATGAGCTCAAAATCACAGTTCATGAATGCATCCACAACTTAAGGTTAAAATGCACCATGCAAAGGGGAAACTATATATAAATGTGACTCTGAAATGCCTGTTTAAAGTGGACTGAGGTGCAGTGGGAAATTGCCCTTAAAGAGTGTAAAATTAGTTTAGTGTCAAACACACCGTAACACAGAGTTAGACAACCCCTTGAGAGATGAATGTTGCAGACTGCTTTTTTCTCTAGTTATACCAACTTTAGTAACGACCGCACAATATCAATACACAGCGGTCTGAGGAGCCATAAACAAACCTCAACCAAAACGCCACTCTATAGCCACAAATAATGCTCAGAACAGCACCTAACTTCATCAACAGTTCATATAAGGTCCCAGCCATAGTACTACCTACCAAACACCTTTTTTACTTTGCCTAATTTCTTTAGCAAAGAGACTAAACACAACTCACCTACTCTCTTCCATCAGCCAAGAAAATTTATGATCATTTCTTCATGGAAATGCAAACAGACCGAGATGCTAAGGCAGAAGAACTAAGGTGTCTGCAGTGCAAAATGATTAATATGATCATTATTAAAAACATGATGGCTCCTCAAACCGCTGTGTATTGCTATCCTGCGGTCGTTACTAAAGTTGGTATAACTAGAGAAGCAAGCGGTCGGCAACATTCATCTCTCAAGGGGGTATGTATGACCCTAAATTAATTTTACATTTTACATTTTGCATGCCACAAAATCAGCTGTGAAGAAAAAAACTACTTGCACAGCACACAGTTAAAAAGACAATGGGGATTCAAAAGTGTCCATGGCATGACTAGCTCACTCATCTTGGATGACACTGTTATTGCTGAATAATGCAGATTTTGCAACAACAGACACTGTCTCACTGTCAATACCTTTTTCAAGGACCTTGCATATTCCAGCAAGACAATACCAAATCACATTCTGCACAAATCCCAACAGTACATCTCCACCGCAGAGGAGTCAGATTGCAAATTGGCCTTACAAGTCCTGGCTTATCACCCATTGAAAACATTTGGTGCATCATGAAAAGTAAAACACAACAAAGGAGACCTTGAGCTTTTACAGAGCTGATACCCTTTATCAGGGAAGAATGGGACGAAATTTGCCTTTCAAAACTCCAGAAACTGCTTTTCTTGGTTCTCAAATGTTTACAGAGTTCAGTTCAACAACAGTCATACAGCCCAATGGTTAAGTATTCTCTTAAAAAATACAGTTTACAGTTTCAACATGTGATTTGTTGGCTCTGTACTAATCTCAAATGTAAGTATAAAACTGTCATTTCTTCTGATGCTGAAGGCCGAATAACTCTGTAGGATATAACCTTTGCTTTTAAAAATTCAGTCTGGAGATGAGTATCTGAAGTCATGCCTTTGTTTAATGTAAAAATAAACTCTCTGCAAACACCTGATTGCATATTTAAACCATCTGGGTCAATATCTGGACTCCATTCCCCTAAAATCTAAATCTTAAAGTCCAGCTCAATTCGTCTCACAGTTTAAGCACTAGAGATAGCCTCGTGCAAAATCATCCTCTGGGAGTGTGAAGGTGCAAAACATGAATGTTTAAGTGTTGATGTGACTTTTTACTGAGGGATTTTAATCTCACTGATTAAGACTGAGTAATTAGAGATAGAGCTCTCTATGTAATGAATCAGTGAACAAAAAACAAACATGCTGGGCGGTGACGCACACGGCCCTCACTACCTTCTCTTACCGAAGCTGAGGACACAATTCTGTGTACGCTTGTTAGCTGTTTGTGTTCTACATGCAAATCAGCAAAGAGACTCAAAACACATGTGGGTTTCATTCATATTCATGAGCCGCAGAACAAGTAAGGAAGAGATCCCAAATGCATTCATGACACTTTTAACAACAATACAAACAAGTAGAGACCGCAGTCACAAACCTTCACATGACAACACTTGTCCGAAATGAGCAGGACATCACAGACGAGCTGATTGTTTTGTCACCTGTGCCTTTTCACCTCAAGGTTATTTCATTTTGCCAGTGATCCGTATCAATTTACACGCCCCCCCCTGAAAACTAGACATAGATTAGTCTGACCTCAGTTGGCCTGGGTGAGCCATAAGCGCTCTAATTACCTCATAAACACAGGACCTCCCCTGAACCAACATGGTGAACCAGCCTCGCCAGCTTTGTCTTGCAAGGACCCGCACTAATTCAAACCAACAAACAAGGCGGAGTGAATGTGACAACATTGAGAAATTCCCATAGATGAACACGCACGTGTGGGGATATCATCACAACCCTACAGCATGCTCTTCTCTCTCGAACAGACATAACAATTGAAAAAACACACACAGGCTCTTGACACATGCAGGCTGCTTGTTGGAGGCTTATTTGTGTAGCAATGCTGCCAGTGATATAAAATAACATATCTGCATTCCACTGAGGAGAGGATGTTTGTCGAAGTGGAGAGGACACAACGTCTACACTCTCTGTGATCGGCCTGCTCATGCTGAATAGAGAACAGGAAACGCAAATGAGTTGATCAGGCTCTATCTTCAGCTTTTTTTACTGCACCCATGAGTATTTTTGCTGCCATTTACACAGAGTATCTCAGTTTATGAATTTGTTACAAAGTGAGAGAAAAAGTCCTTTGACCTTATAACAGAGAAGTAAAGTTTAGGTAAATAAGTTGAATATTGGTGTTTGGGGTAGGGCTGGGCGATATGGCCTCAAATCAATATCATGATATATTGAGCAGTTCACCCTGATAACAATAAATGGACGATAACTACTCCACAAGCTGCTCACCCCCTCCCACATTAACTTCATCTACTTCAGCCGCTACAACTTTTGAACTGTCCTCCATCTCCTCACCTGTCTCTCCCTTTTTGTTACAGACTGGATGGGGTGGAGTCACGTCTCTGACTTAGGACAGTCTTAAAGGGACATGAGACCATAGCCTACCTACACACATCCAAAACCAACTTATATTTATGTACCTTTTTGACACTGAATATACCGATATGGCCAAAATGAGGTCAGTTATTGTCGTAAATTTCAGTATCGGTAAATTTTAGTCCTAGTTTGGGGATAAAACAAACACAGTGGATTCATCTATTTAACTTTTATTGGCCTCTAACTCACTGCCGAGATTTGCTTGCTCCATCCTCAGGACAGTCCTCATTACCCTCTCTGATTCATGACAGTATTTCATATCTACAAGCCTCACAGTTTCAGATCGAAGGAGCTTCTTACTCTTGGAAAATCAGCCTCTTGTACCACAAGCAGGATGAAAGACCAAGGCTTCTATTTACACTGCCAAGACTTGGCTGGGTCAACTAACTCTCATGGAAAATCTGCAAAAAAAAAAAGGCAAAGACATTCGGCATGTTTGCACACAACCATGTGTTCGTCAGACATTGCCTCATCAACAATGACTATTCCCATTCTTTTTAATCTTCAGAGCGTCTCTTCTGGACTGTAACTGATCCCTACAGCCTCCAGTTCCTTCAAATGTCAACATCCAGATGTTTTCTCCTCACTGAGTTGTCCTACCCCATTTAGATGCTAATTTTAACCCCCAAACCCTGGCACTCGCTCTACTGCTGAAACAGTTATCAACACCACAACACAACTGAGCACTTCTGAATGTTTTGCAGATACTAGCAGCAGGGTCAAGGCAACGCTCACTCCCAGGTCTTTTTATCCTCTTTGTAGACTGTAGTCCATTTTCTGGCATCATCTCACATGTACTGAATACTTCTGAAGCATCACTGAAAAGAGGGTTTCACAAAATCAAAGTTGGGATGATGACTGAGTAATACGGGGCGAGTTCAGTGTGTCGCACAGACATTTAATTGATGTTCTCGCTTATCTTGAAGAAAACCAGACCTGCGAGAGGGACTGCTTTCTCTCACAGGTCACGAGAGACAGTGACTAAGAGGATAGTCACAGGTTCTGGGAATTCAAATGGTTAGCATGAAAGACATAACCATACGCATGAGTTTTGGTGTTCGACAACTGTTCAGAATAAAGCTTTAGTTTTGTAAATCAAGAGTAGAAGTGGCACAGAAAAACCTATCGTCGGTCAAACTATCTGTAAAAGTTAGTTCTGGATGTTCGGAGGCTGAAAGAGGGAGCCCAAATCTTCAATCTTACATGGACTGAAAACTGCCTACTGTGGTCTACTGTTTGGCCTTCACACTTAACACACTTCACACAAGGGCACGATCTCAAGATACACAGCAACTGTCTGTCATTATTGTCATGTACATGTATAAATGTAGAGTTTCCAAATGGGATTATTTCCCCGGTACGAATTCATTGTTTGAAAATACACTCTTGGACTAAACAAAAACAGATGTTTGAAGATGGTACTGAGAGTTCTGAGGAACTGTGATCGATATTTTTCACTGTTTTACTCATCTTTGATTTCAGCTTGTAGGCCAAACAAATATGTCGTGAAATTACTCAGAATAGAGTCGTACAAGTGGCTCTAATCAAAGTCTGCTCCTCTGCCTGATCAAAATAAACTCAACAAGATGTTGGGAGAAGAAAAAATAGATCTAACAAATCAAAACAAAAGGAAGTTTCAGCTCACTTGTCTCTTACAAAGCCAACCTACTGGCATTGATCAGGAAATCTATAAACATGGATTGATAGGCAGAGTCAATAATGGCTTTTCACCTTTGGATGAACCCTCAGAGTACAACCAAACAACATGCAGACACATGGCGCATAGATAAAACCGTCAGACTCCTCAGTAGACCAAGAATCAACAGTTTGCTCTTCAGTTTGGCCTCCAGGTTTTAACCTTTCTCCTGATTCACATTATGTCATTTAGAAATAAAAACTGCACAATGTCAAAGCGTGTCTTTTATCTGTAAGCACGCAGCTGTTGCCATGACAAACAGGAGATAAAGTTAAGCAACACTATTAGCCGATCCAGAACTAGACAAAACTACAGTAAATTAAGAGGGACACTTACTTCTGTCAGTGCTGTATCCTGAATAACAGGCCCCAAGGAGAGCTGGTTTATAGAAACACATTAAAAACAAAGTACAGAGAGTACGTCCTCTGAGTGCCTGGATGCCTTTGTGTTTTCCAATCCTCCAGACTGAAAAAAAACAACTCTTGGAAAGGTCATTTATTCCGCTAAAAATACTACACTGCAAAAGGAAAGAGTCAGGCATCAGGGATTGTTGCAGACCATAATTTTCTCTGTATTGGCAGGCTTTGCGTTGTGATTGCATGATGCACTAACATTCCTCCTACAAATGTGTTACCTTTAATTCAGATAGGTCCCATTAGTGTCAGTAATTTTAATGCAATTAGATGATCGTTTGGATATCCCATACAAGGTAAAGGATGTTGGAGAAATATGCGTTTCCACAAGTTGCTGTCTCCCTGTTGGAGGACGGCCATTACAGACAACAGTTGTAGCATTGTAACCCCAAGGCACTTAGCAGTATAACTCAGCATGAAGGCTAAAGGGATATTTCATAAAGGGTCCAAAAAAAACTCAGCTGCCCCAGAGCTCAATGCAAGGACTGAAATTTATAAGAGAGGGATGTAATGGCCTTGCTGTAGACGGTACAATATGTCTTCAACTGAAAATGATGTGTGTAATGTTTATCCTTCTCTGGAAAGGGGTCAATACAAGATTGAGTATTTTAATTGGACTTGATGATGGTAGAGAACTGAAAATTACCTTCACCAATCACCATCACCTTAGAGTTTTTCCAAAGTTCATATTTGAGGATTCACTGGAAAAAGAGAATACTTGAGCCTTTAAAGCTACCTAGATTTCTGGTCAGAGAGGAGTTGAAAGACTTCAACACAAGCTGCCAATGCACAATGTTGACACTGCATTACAAAACTCTTCTGGCTAAAATGTTACAAAACAAAATCCAAAAATCGTCCGCATCCAGAAAGAGTACAGCGACATCAATCTACCGGAATCTGTGAAGCAGAAACTGTAGGTTTTATGAGGCTCAGGGGCTCCAAACAGATAGTCAAACAACAATTCCCTGTGAATTATTCATCCAGAGCGGCCGTCCTGCACTACATGTAGTAAATCTATTGGATAAAACATTAACAGAGAGTTGAACACCATGATGCTGTTATATATTCTGCTCTTACTTGACGGCCAAACTCTGCTTGAGCCCTGAGCTCAAGCCAGTATTTACACAATGCCACTGCAGAGTAGAGCTGAATTATGTATCATTTGGACACTGCAACTGTGATGTGCACATGAATAATAGTCACTCTGCAGGAATAACACTCATATGATGATGTAACCACTACCTCATTGTGCAAAATTTATCGACAATAAAACATCGATCTAACGCCACTGATCTAAACACACAGAAAAATGACTGCTATGTCTGAACCTGAGTGTAAACATGGACATAAACTGAGATGCTGCTTGATTAAGCAAGACAGACTTTAAAGGGATGTTCAGGCATAAAATTCAATTAGGGTCAAACACACCAAAACACTGAGTTAGACACCCCCTTGAGAGAGGAATGTTGCCAACTTGCTTCTCTAGTTAAACCAACTTTAGTAACGACCGCACGATAGCAATACACAGCTGTCTGAGGAGCCATAAACAAACCTCAAGCAAAACCCCACTCTATAGCCACAAATAATGCTCAGAACAGCACCTAACTTCATCAACAGTACATATAGGGTCCCAGCCATAGTACTAGCCACCAAACATCTTTTTAGCTTTGCCTGATTTCTTTAGCAAAGAGACTAAACACAACTCACCCACTCTCTTCCAGGAGTCGCTTGTCTCTCAGGCGAGTCCATTACGGACTACAGCGGGGTGACGCAGCTCAAGGAAGAACATTTATGATTTCTTTATGAATGTACAATCAGACCGAGATGCTAAGGTAGAAGAACTACTGCGTCTGCAGTGCAAAATTATTAATATGGTTATTATTACTTTAAGGAAATGATAAAGAAATGATCATAAATGTTCTTCCTTGAGCTGCGCCACCCCGCTGTAGTCTGTAATGGACTCGTTCGATGTCTCTGTACAAACAAGTGGCTGCTGGAAGAGAGTGGGTAAATTGTGTTCTTTAGTCTCTTTGCTATAGAAATAAGGCAAAGCTAAAAAGATGTTTGGTGACTAGTACTATGTCTGGGACCCTATATGTACTGTTGATAAAGTTAGGTGCTGTTCTGAACATTACTTGTGGCTATAGAGTGGCTTTGGTTGAGCACATGGCTCCTCAGGCCGCTGTGAATTGTTATCGTGTGGACGATTCTAAAGTTGGTAAAACTAGAGAAGCAAGTGGTCGGCAAAATACATCTCTCAAGGGGGTGTCTAACTCAGTGTTACAGTGTGTTTGACTCTAAATTAATATCACGCCGGAATATCCCTTTAAGACAAAGTTGTCCTTCTCATCTAGGCACTTGTTTACATTGGGGGCACACCAATACAGACCACTAAACTCACAGTATCACAGAGTGTTTACTTTGAGCCTCTAAAGCTGCAGTGTACACACACAAATCACATGCACAAGACGATATATTTATTTAATCTGAAGAATTATCATAGATTAAAAATACAGATAATGGGATACTTGGCGCACATCCAGTGAACTTCTTTTTTAAGCTCTTTCTCCACTCAAGACTTTCAGTCTCACAAATAATGGAACTCTCTCCTCTCCTCCTCTCTCTTGTCCAATAATGGGTCAATACATAACAGTCTGCTTATGCAGTCTTGCCAAATTCTAGCCAAATAAGACATCACTTCTTCTGCAAAATAAAACCATTACAGCTGGCCTCTTTTATACAAAACCCCTTCCCATTAATCTTAAATAAATTGCTCTATGCAATGTATCCAGGGTGAGTACACAGATATGTCTGCCCAGAGAAATATCGGCGCCCCATTTGATCACTGACATGGTCCATTAGCATAACCTATTGGTTAATGACTGTTTGAACTCAGTGCTCACCGTCCGTGACAGTCACACAGCTTTGGTACGATACCCTTTGGTAAAGGCCATAAAAAGCAGTCTGGTTTGTGTGCAAATGCATTGCTCAATTTAATATCGCTAATTCAAACCCTGCTTTTAATTCTGACCTTTCTTGTTTTCATTTTCTCTCATGTGACACAAAGTTAACAGGCCTGGTGAATGTAAAACGTTGTAGGAAAATATGCCTGCGGAGCACACAGCTAAATGATATTGTGAAGAAAGAGAGAACTGTTGCTTCGATTGAATGAAATTTCAAGATTGCTGTTTTACTTTTAATTAAATTATTCAATATTTAGAGGAATAAATTTCACTCCCTTTCTTGGGGGAAGCAGCTCAGTTCAGTGAAGCAATGACGCAAATGGCTCCAATGACAAATGTAACTTCTTTCTGTGAGCTGAAATAGGATAACATTAAAAAAACAAACTCTCTACTGTTCACTCCTGCAATCTTTCTGCTGTTACAAGCTGCATTTGTCATGTACAGCACTTCTGCTGCAACATAATCCAACCAAACTGTCAGTTTATTAATGAGACTCGCTGCAGTGAAGCATTTCAGCTCTGCTAAGCTTTAGCAGACAGCTGGAGCCAAACTTTTACCAGTCTGCTGTCACAGTAGCAGCCTTGGCTTCTGCATGTCTTTAGCATGTTTCCTCAGTGATGCCGTAGGTTCAAGCAAATCAGATTTGACTCCTATCCACATGATATAAAGTGCTCAGTAACCCTCAATGAAATCTATCTGCTCTCGTGTCACTCTTGACTTGAGATACTCAAAGTTTCATTAATCTAAACTTTCACCCGGCACAAGTGCAGAGGTTTGTGATGTTTCTCATTCTGACACTTCAGGAAATCATACAGAGCGCTGCTGTCTGTGGCCTGTTACAGTAAACGGCATCAGGCCTGACACATGTGTCTAACTCAAACCATTCAACTGGACACAAGCCAGACATCACCAGTCCGTCTCAAACACTGGGGTTACTGTGAGAGCGTGTAACCTTCACCTCAGGGAAATGTTGAAGGGATTAGACGTAATGTGACTCCTTTGTTATTATTCGCAGATTTAACAGCTCATTACACCACCAGTGTGGAAAAATAGTCACAGCATGAAAATGATGCAAAAAAAACTACTAAATTTTAAGAGAACTGGAAGAAGCAGTCGTCTTAGAGGTCGACTCAAATAATAAGTGGATTCTAATTGATGATTTGCCTTAAAATGGAAACATACTTTTATCATAATCCAGAAATGTTTTGTTAACTCCAACAAAATTCACACCGATTTTTTTCCTCAGCCGAGACCTGTCAGTATTAAGAGTTAGTCTCCTGTGTCCCTGTCTGTCTCCTGATGACTTAAAAAAAAGAGAAAAAACCACAACAAAATAAACTAAACAACAAGCTCTCAATCAATCAATCAATCTACAATCTATTCAAGCCTCATGACAATAGGGCCTGAGGCAGATACACGAGTTAGAAATCAATATGGTTAATTTGCTGAGGGAATAGAGAAGACTTGTCGGCAAACACACTTGGAAGCATTAAACGAAGCGTTATAGAGCTACTGGACATGGCTGATGGTTCGAGACTGTGCAGAGAATTACAGCAATCAGGGATGGCATGATGTGGTAATTGTCTTTTAGGATGCAGCAGGGCTTTGTGGTGGTCAGTCGACACAGTCCCAACACACACAGTTTTGTACAGACAATTCTGGAAGACACTGACAAATCAGTTGTTTTACTTACACTATAAGAATAATTTTCACATGTATTTACGTAAATGATCAACGTGAAATTTTGTAACAGAAAATCATTTCAATCCCAAAAAAATATATATTTTAAAAACTTTGGTGACTGCCAAACCACAAATCTGAATGAGTCAGATACTTTTTAAAATTATCATACTGTTAGTGTGAAATAAGGATAAACAGATACACAGAAAGTATAGTTTATCTTATGAAGTCTCATCCCGTAGATTTGTGGTGGCTGCAAACTATTACACGAGGAAATTACCGCGTTGAGTTTCTTCTTATATTAGTTTCACAAGGCCTCATGATATACAGTGAATAACCCAGCTGGATCTCTGGTATGTGACATATGTTTGCCCACTTGAGGTTTTGTGGTTTTTATGTTACTTTAATACTTGCATGTCATGAAATCTAATATTCTGTTCTGGGACTGCACATAAAAATGAAGCAGCAATAACTCCTTTAAAGTAATGCTTTTTCGTTTGCCTGTTTCCAAACAAATAAAATATATCCAGCTTTACCGAGTGGAGAAGAAGCTGGGGTAAAAGGAAAGATAAATCTTGAAGTGGTTTAAGCAGATTAGCATGATATAACTCCACAACTGCAATAAAACACAATCTTAACAGGTGGAAAATACGCTGACTGTAATAGAGGGGGTGAATATTGTTCTGATGAACTACAATTAGGGGTGTCCCGATACACCTTTTTACTTCCGATACAATACCGATATTGTAGCCTTAAAGGGATATTCCGGTGTAGAATTAATTTAGGGTCAAACACACCGTAACACCGAGTTAGACACCCCCTCGAGAGATGAATGTTGCCAACCGCTTGTTTCTCTAGTTATACCAACTTTAGTAAAGACCGCACGATAGCAATACACAGAGGGGTGACACAGCTCAGGGAAGAACATTTATGATCATTACTTTAGTATTTCCTTGAAGTGATAATCACCATATTAATTGTTTTGCACTGCAGAGGCCTTATTTCTTCTGCATAGCAGGATAGCAATACACAGCAGTCTGAGGAGCCACAAACAAACCTCAACCAAAACACCACTCTATAGCCACAAATAATGCTCAGAACAGCACCTAACTTCATCAACAGTACATATAGGGTCCTAGCCATAGCACTGGCCACCAAACATCTTTTAAACTTTGCCTAATTTCTTTAGCAAAGAGACTAAACACAACTCACCCACTCTCTTCCAGCAGCCGCTTGTTTGTAGCGAGACCTCGGGCCAGTCCATTACGGACTGCTGTGGGGTGACGCAGCTCAAGGAAGAACATTTATGATCATTTCTTCATGGAAATACAATCAGACCGAGATGCTAAGGCAGAAGAACTACCACGTCTGCAGTGCAAAATTATTAATATGGTTATTATTACTTTAAGGAAACAATAAAGAAATGATCATCAATGTTCTTCCTTGGACTGCATCACCCCATTGTGTATTGCTATCCTGCGGTCGTTGCTACAGTTGGTATAACTTGTCTGGAATGGACTGCTTGTATTGGAGTGCTGATACTGGAGATTTTAGATGCAGGCCGATATAATCCAAAATTCAATTTTTTGCTGATATTGGACCAATATTCGATATCAATACTGTATTGGGACACCCCTATTTACAAATATTAAAACTCAGCACCATGCGACCTCATTACTCTGCGGACAAGAGCAGAATCTGCCTGACTTCAAGAAACCACCAAACATGAAACCCTCCTCTCCTAAAGCATGTTATGAACGTTAAAAGCTGCATCTGTTTACAATTAAACATGACTGGTATATGGTTTTATTCACCGGTGCAGGCAAACGTTTCCTTTGGCCAGCTGCCGTCCTCCTGGACTGATAAATTAGCAGTCTGTTCTCTGTGCTGATGGGAGAATAAATAAAGGCTTCAAGTGTCCAAATGATGAATAACAATTAGCTGTGAAGAATTCACACAGTGCTAACTTACTTGAACAATTCTTTTATAACCTGATTAACTTTTCAAAAAACTTACAGACTGACTGAACATGCAGAAATGATCTTTTACTACAGCAGAGTAAGAGTCCAGCCATAAAGAAGAGAAAAACCACAGCCTGTGGTGTACATATCACCACATCTCTTAACCACTGAAAAAAAAAACCCACAGTGTGACCAAAGCGTGACCACACTACAGCTCTCCATGGCAGGAGATAAATGATGACGAAGCATCAGCCAAGAGAAACATGAGTGAGATTTAAGAAACCAAAAACATCTCAGAAGAACTGATGATATATGGATAAGCTATGGACAAAGCAAGTGATCTGTAAATGTTAGGAGGGATGTGAAACAGACCACACAGGATCTGATTGGATGTCCTGTATTTACATTTTTGATTTCTCTTCAGATTGTGCCTTTTTTTCATTTGCAATATAAATTGTTGGTTTACATTCCCCTCACACTCTGTACATGCCTTTAGGGTTTGGAGGCTTTTACAGGAGGGAAAATCCCTCTTTATGTAAAGTGGATAATATACCAAAAATCCTCAAAACAGCAGTGTCAAACTATGACCCTTCAGTAAAAGACCTCCAGGCTTTTGGAAACATGAAGCAAAATCTGCTTAAGTCACAGTATTTCCAGGCAAGGCGTGCTTTGTATTACGGCACACTTTAAATGGAAACAGATGCAAATGCTTTCTGTCCAGTAATTCTGGATATTTATAAAGAAGTTTGATAAAGATCAGAAAAATAAAATGTTTTGAATTATTCAAGAAGGGCAAAATGAAAGAATAAACATGTGTGATGGAAAAATGTCAACATGTGGGAGAGTTTACTGAGAATTTTAGCGAATGAAGGATGGAAGCATTAATAAAACCTTCAGTATAAGTGTTTCTAGTAATCTCCTTCACTTCATGGGATGTAATAAACAGAATAGAAAGAGAGGGGAGGAGAGGGAGGATATTTGCTGCTTTTTTTTTGCTTTACATCTGTCACTGAGGAATGCTCCTTAACACCAACATGTCCTCCCGTGTTCTCACTATGATAACTTACACTCCATCCTGTTTCCTCAGTGCTTTTAAGAAACAGGATAAAGATTTATTCTTAACCTAAAGGGAACGTGTACATTATTTCAGCTGAATAACTGACAAGCGCTTTTACATCTTCATCAAAATTCAAAAGGAAAAAGCCATTAAAGTGTTTTCACCACCTATGGAGGGGAATGAATGACAATAAATCAAGACTTGAAAAACCTCCTCACTCCTCCCACTCCCAGCTAAGTTCAGCAGTGACTGTGAGATCATCCAACAGCACATTAATAATAGGACCTTCAGAAATCACTCACAGCCAGCTGGGCCCATATTGAAAACAGGATACAAAATGCGACAGCATTAAAATGAGACAAACAAACAGCAGGCTTTAATAAGTTTATGCTTTGCATTGCAACATCAACAAAAAAAAACACTTCTATGGGACAAAAACAAGCTTCACTGACCAATGATTGATGTGATTGAGCGCAGGAAGGAGAAACACCATGCACAAAAACAGTGTTTTCTTCCCTCTCTGTTGAGTAACTCTCCTCTCTACATGCCAGTGAACATGTTAATGTTTTCTCAGTATATTCTAAGAGACTAAGGATCTGAAGCCCTGTTTGTTTTTATTTTGCAATACAAAGTACTTTTTGAAGATTTTATAAACTCAGTACATTGTAATTTCTCGCCGAATCTCTCTAATATGAACTTTCTGTAATACTTCATTAGACGCCGATCTCTGTAACGCGTTATAAATATAATTATAATGTGTTATAATGACGTTATAGCACTTTATTACTATGGTTATAAACACTCATAAATGATCATAATGCTTTATAGCAACAATCACAACACATTATAAAGCATTTTATTGTGACTTACAAGGTCAGGTATTATAATGTGTTATAACTGTAAACAACAGTTGCATTGCATTATATATGTAGGCATTGTGAGTGAGTTGTTAACAGTTATAACACATTACCATTACATTACATTGACCTTGAAAGTCATGATAAAATGCTCTATAATGTAAAGCATTATGATCATTTATGAGTGTTTATAACTATAGTAATAAAGTGCTATAACGTCATTATAACACATTATAATTATACTTATAATGTGTTATAGAGATAGGCGTCAAATAAAGTGTTACCAAACTTTCATTTCTCTGTTTGTTTTGTGATGAGTTTCATCAAACCAATTTAGGACTTTTATTGTGAAGAGTTTGTCATGAATGAAATGAGTTGATCTTTAAACTGTCTCCGCCTCAACAAAGCTATGATTTTGCAGCAATTATCAGGAGCTACAGTCGTTGACTATGAGTAACAGCCACAGGCCGCTTCTATTCATCGTTTTGGACTGAAGACAACTGAGTCATCAGGTGGAAGATACACTCTGAAGCAGGTAGACCTGTTTAAACAGAGATGCAAATCCCTGCATTGCTGTTACTTGCCAACATTAAACTTGGAAATAAACAGCACTAGTTTACCTCATTGCTGTGCAAAACTGACATCCTATCCAACACAAAGAGGAGTCAGGATGACAGTGCCAGCAGTGACTCCTCTCAGACCAGGATGCAGTCTAGTTGTTGTAGGTCACAAATTACTTAATTACACTACTTCTTTCACCTGGAGCTGTGGCTATATACATGTTGTGACTGTGACACTAAGAGGTACACTGCCCATCACTTTACACAGTTCTCTTTTTAAATTCTGCACAACTAATCTGATACAAGCTCAGCAGCAAACATGAAAACCGGTCTGGTAAGCTGACTAACTAAAAGTGAAACTCAAATGACTAAAATTCTTTAATGAGTAATGATTTATTACTTTTCCACCTGCAGGCAGTGACTAGCACAAGTTAATAAACAAATTAAATCAACTCTTAAATAAACGCTATGAAGGCAAATCAAAGCCTGAGGGGGAAGTTTTTGAACAACCTACCAAAGTAAAGTAACATTATTTTAATAAGAAGGGATATCTCGTTTGACTGGACTGTATGGACTGACTGTTCCGTTTGTATTGCTATCATTGGACATCATAATAACACTTCACATGAAGAGCAGAAGCACTTTGTATCTTCTGGTAAAAAAAGGTGAACAAGAGCTGTCATCCCTGAGTATTTTAAGTGACTTATTCTGGCTGTTAACCTCGTCCTCTTTGCTTTACAACCTTTTTACCATGTGATCTTTTATTTAGTAGCAGAATAAAGAGTTCATGTCATCCACAGATCCCTCTCTAAAACACGGCAGGCCACTCCACTCAACAGGCTACACATCCTCTCTTTGAATACTGAAAGAAAACAGATGTTGTCTTTTATTCGATAGGTCATTATGTGTCATTTAAGGGATAAATAATGGGACATTTGAGGCCACAGTCTCATGATTGTATCAGTTATTATATGTACTGACAATTTGTAAATTCAAGTTTTACCTTAATCCGTTGCTTTTTGAAATGTAATCCTGAACATGAATCTACGACTACTTTGACTCTCACTTTTCCTCCTTTTTCTCTGTGTACTGATTCAAGATGTCGAGGAACAGCGCCAGGTAATGTAAATCATTTCAGGCCTGTTTGATTGGCATGATCTTGGGCTGTGTTATCTGACTCTGCATCTACTGAGGTTAATTCCGGTAAACTCTGTTTCACTTTTTGGCCTGTTGAGAAACGGCTTGGACTCCCCTCACACTTCTTTGCCGACAACTTATTCCCTTTATCATGATGGATTTTGTTTTTTCAAATGCCAAACAGTCACAGATATTTTGCTGTCATTCTGTGGTTTTAACAATTCGGTTCAAATCTACGCCCACTCTGGCATGAAAATTCTGGTTTCAGGCACCAGTAGAAGATTGTTTATAATAGAGCGACTGCTTTACAAACAACCTTTTCTTTTCTTTGCTGCTGTCGATCATTTCTGTACAGACAGACTCGACTCAAACTGCGCATCAAGTCTATTAACTTGTTCTGTGATGCATAGCCAGAAACAAACACAAAGCGCATAACAATTGGTGTGTAAGTAATTAAAAACATATCTTAAATGAGGACTCATGATTGCAAATTGCTGAATATTTTTCCATTCCCCTCATACAGTCATTGGTTTTCCAGCAAAGAGGTTTTATATGCTCTCCAATAATCAACTCCAATGCTGATTTGTAAGAGTCAATCAAACTAGAAAAGCAGACATTATAAAAGGTTGGATTTTTGATTCTAATCTATTTACAGACTCCAACTTATCAAATAACCACATTACAATCGCAAGAGTATTTCTACGTCTGTGTGTTGACATTTATTTAGAAACATTATAACATGGTGCTCTCCGCAGTAACATGTTTTTCTACTCAAAAACTCTCCTGGAAGATGTTACTCATGAGCTGTCCATAAATCCAAACTCTTGCGATTCATTGCTGAACATTTATATCAGAGATGTGGTAACCCAATATGGCAAAAAAATAAACTAATAGAGACCTGCTGAACCTTTAAGCTGTGCCTTCATAAAGCTACAATGACTGGAGGGATGACAATAAGGCAACAGAGAAATCCTGAGTGTAATCCTGGTGCTGAAAGATATTTGAATTGGGAGAGTGAACAGAAGTCCAGCTGAGAGGATTACTCCAAAGAGCTGAATACAGTTATTTTTGATGTGAAAACCAGATTTGAAAACTACGGAAACCAGAGAGACCTAAAACCTTGTAGCCAAGTTGAAAAAACTCAGACTGAAAGGATCATTTCCCTGGATGTAAGACGTACCCCCACAGAGTTTGAATCTGGGAATCACAATATAAATCAATTATTTGCTCTGCAGTTAGTGGAAAATCTGTCTAATTCTTTTTGACAAATTTCAGGGCGCTGTGAGTCGCTTGAACTTTGCTCAAGAAGAGGAAGAAAAGCTGAGGGAAATCAAAATAAAACAATAGATATGAATTGGTGGGAACACTCACATGATATAAACAGTGCTGCTTAGATCAGCAAAGTGCATGAGAAGTATCATGCCTATCACGTCTCACGGGGAGTGAAGAAATGCTTTCCTCAGTTTCCTCCTAATACAGGGGAGAAGGAGTGGCAGAACAAAGCGACAAAACACTTTGTAGCACTAGAATTATTTGGAAAAATAACAGCGCAACAATTACACATGCCACACATCAATTATGTGTAACTGTTGCAGCTGTAGACCCACTCAGCGTGTGTTCTGCTTCTTTTCCACAGAAGCATTTCCTTCACAGAGAAGGCATGGCTCACATCGAATACACAGTTAATCAAGCCGGTGTGTATTCTTGCTTCATGTACTTCTCCTCAGAAGAAAAGTTATAAACAAAGATTATTAATGTGTCTATATCCTGTGGTGGTTAGCGTATTGGTTCTGGCTCTTGTCTGGGATATTTAGAGACGTGCTCCCATCGGCAGGTAAAAAGCCTAAATGTAAAGCGTTGGTTTGCCAACATAACAGCAATAAATTATCAAATCTTTGGAAGATTAAAAATCAATTTAGATTATGTAAGTCTCCACTGCCAACAGCCTAAAGCAGTTCATGAAAGCTCAAAGATTCACTGTTTGCCAACTGCTGCCTTCTGCTGTATTTCCTCCAGGGGGTCTACACAAAGCTGATTATCAGGCTAGCTGATAACTGCTGGGTATAACTGAGGAGCTCTTCAAATCTGCTACATGGACTCATAAAAAATCTATTTTTAAGGGTTATGCTCAGTGACTCTGTCCAGATAATTCCCGCTTTGTGACAGTGACCACGGAGGGAAATCTTTCTGGAAATAAGTGCTGAAAGCTTTAAACTGTGGCTTGGCAGGAACTACACCATGACGATGAAGAGGATGTAAGAGTGACCGGTATTTTCCGCAACAGGGAAAAAGTAGAAAACCAGACAAAGATAGGCTGACCTCTGTTTAGCTCTGAAGATGTTTCCAAATGGGAATCCCCCCAAAACAAGCCCTTTGTTTACATCAACGCATTTATGCAGGAGTTACACAAATATCCTTACATTTAAAGGTGGGGTAGGCAGGATCTGAGTTAGTGCCAGTTTTTGGGAGAAATCTTGAATGTAAACTCTACCCCTCCCAACCAGTTTTCCCCTCAGCTCCTCCTCTCCCCTCCCTCTCTGCTCCAGCAAGCTCCGCCCACAAACAGACGCTCCTGCTCGCTTGTATCGTTTCAATTTAATTCAGATATAATGCAGAGAAATACTTCTGATAATTACAAATGGGGACCAGTCAACGTGAAAGTAAATACCATTGGTGCTACTGTAGATGCCAACAGACTACCAGCAAAAACAATGTTTGCAGGACTTCTACAAACAGCCTCACAACCAACTAGGATAAAGTGAAACCCGATGTTAACAGTTTAGCGGCGCTACAACACGCAGCAGGTTAAGGTTACAGGATCCGTAAGATCCCGAAGTGTCCCCCATCACTGTTGACCGGCTTTTTAGCTCTACCTCCTTTTTAACCGCCCGTTATTCCACCATATTCTGGAATTTGTTTTCTTGCTTGTGTCGGCAGTCATGGCCAAAGGAGGATTCAGACAATTTTTTGTACTTTCTAGTTGGTTTCTACTGTCCGATATTGTAGCACGCTAACTTTATTTGGGCTTGTGAACAACTCGGGGGAGCAGCGTCCGCCTCGCAACCAATCAGGTTGGGGGAGGCAGAGAATGGCTTTGTTTACAGTCAGAAAGAGCGGGCCGCTCAAAATATTTAAAATATTCACTACACAGACATAACAAAACACAGCGATATCATTTTATTACCAAATGTCATCAATAACTAATAGCTATTGACTGTGATTAAAAGCTTTTTTGTATATACACCACAAAAAAAAAAGATGTGTCTTTAACGGATTCCTGCCCACCCCACCTTTAATATCCAACGTGCTATGTAAACTTTAGTGGTGGCAAAGTGCTTGTAAATGTAATCTAACTTATGCACACTTGACATCCTCAGTACTACAAAATGTTATCCAAAAATAAAACCACTACATAACAAAAGTCTGACTATGTTACATTAACAAACAGATCAAGTAATGTAGCAAAACATTCGTTGGAAAAGAGATGTTCAACCTGCATGAATGCCATAAGCCTACACTTGCCTTTGGAAACTGAATCTTGCCTCTTCAAATAACACTTACAAGCATTTCTCTGTACACAGTATCTTCATCATGCCCAGGTGCATTACACTGGCATGACTAAACTTCTAACTTTTTCCTGAGAATCCACAGTCACATTATTATATTCAGATCGTTAATCTGAGTTTCTGGCACAGCATGAAACTTCTCTGTTGAGCACCAAGAGAGCTGATGGGCAGCTCTCATCAGCTCTCACCATGCAGGTGAATTGAAATGCGCCCAGGAAACATTATCTCTGCTCTTAGCCGGAGCAGTTTTTCTTCCTTAAATAAACAATGTGGGGAACAACCGTGGCCGCAGCCAATAACTATAAACCAACATTATTCTTCTCTGAATGTGTTTGAGATTGGAAGATGAAACAGGATGTCACTGTGTGCTTGAACTACGGCCAGCAGTTTGTCAAGTAATGAAGAGATGAAACCTCTCAGTGTCTGCATTTTGGGAGACTTCTCAGAGGACATGTTTCAAAATCTGGCATTTCTTTACTTCTCATTATGCATTCCCACAAAAGAGCAGACAGAAATAGGCTTGTGGTGAAACGAGATAACTGATAAAGTGATCAGCTACATAGTTTAGTTAATTAGTTTTCTGCTTCAGTTGAATTACTTTGTTTCCAAAACAAGAGTGAACAAATGTTACCAGCCTTGATCACACTAAGGGACAAACAAAAAAAGAGTGCTGCACCTCTACAAAGCTGTGGATACCAACTGAGCATTTTTTTGGGTCTAACAAAAGTCTAATAGACGTCTAAATGTAGCCTAGACGACTGGTCTAAAATCAGGCTAACACAGGTCTAAAAATGACAGTTTTTTTAGATGTCTAAATCAAGACCAAGTCTAAATCTGGGCTATATACTACACTGTATATTGCTCAACGGCTATCATAATTATTTTGGTTAAGTACTTACAGTTGCTTTTTGAAATAGTTATTGAATGATGGGTTAAAGTGCAACATCTAAATTCTGTCTAAAAATATACAGAATCTAGACGGTTGAAATTAGGCCAAAAAAACCCAAAACTGGACGTCTAATAGCCGTCTATTGCTCAGGGGGTAAAATCCTTAATAGTAAGTAATAGTAATATAGTAAAATAGTAATAGTAATAAATTAGACTGTACATTCTTCTTTTTTGAGTCATTTATAACACATTTTCAATTATGCAGCTGGGTTTGCCTCTTGCATTGAAGGCTTCCCACTGAGCAATAGACGGCTATTAGACGTCTAGTTATTTTTTAGACCTAATTTAAATCGTCTAGATTCTGTATATCTGTAGACGGAATTTAAACATTGCACTTTAACCGATTATTCAATAAGTATTTATTTCAAAACCCAACTGTGAGTTGCATAACTGATCTCAAAGTACTAAACCAAAGTAATTATGATAGACTGGTAGACCTCTGTTAGCTGGCTAGTCTAAACTCTGTCTAAATGTAGACGTCTGAAAACTTTCATATTTACACCTGTGGTAGCCTGATTTTAGACCGTCTTCTAGATTACATTTAGACGTCTATTAGACCTCTTTTAGACCAAAAAATGCTCAGTGGGTTGTATTCTGATAATTTCAGTCATAGTCTCTTCTGTCTACTGTCTGTGGACTTAAATGAATAACGCTTAAGGTTTCTGGATGTTTTGCAATGGGCTAGGAAACTTTCTAGGAACATTTCACGCCTCTGGTCAAACAAGATTCTTTGAAATTAACAATAAAGTCATGTGAACAATAAAAATGAATGTAGGTAGATACTAAATAGCTGATTCGATTTACATTCAAAGCATGAGGAAGCAAAGGAAGGTTCTATGTTCAGTGTCATTCAAAGTTCATGTCTTGAAATTTAACCAAACTTTCAGTCAAGTTTGACTTAAACAACATGACAGCCTCGATTTCACATCATGCACAGGCAAAAGAACCGATATGTACACAAACAGGCAGGACTGAAGTTGAGTAATTTCACACTATTATTACTCCTTTCATTCAGGTTCAAACATCATCCACCCACATCAGTCACTCCACTGTACCTGTAACACGTTGTAACTTCTCCAGTTGACTTCACGCAGGGGTACTTTGTTGTGGAAATGTTATTCTCAGAGCACTCTCCACTGTGAAATGAAATATTTTGAAGTGAAATTCGAGCACATTTCTCCTTTCATGTCATTTGGTGTCTTGTCATGAACTCTTTACCCGTCAGTGACATCCTCTTCTTGGTAGGACCAAAGCAAACCTCCTGAGAAGTACATGCAGGTGACGGTGAGCAGGAGAGGACTACTGTTGTGTTTTAGGATCATCTCATCGATCCGGTCCACCTGAGCGCAGCCGGTAACCCGCACTTGTGATAATGACCTCCTCACAGTTAGAGCTCCACAGCCTGGAGTGGTGTTCGCATGCTGACAGACACACACGGACGGACCCTCCTACTTAAGGACCTCACATGAATGAACTGACTTCACTTACCGGTACCCTACCCACGCGATACTTTTGAAAATGACTCAACTAAAAAGAATAAGAAGGGGGCGGAGTATTGTCTAACTTTTTCCCATGAACTAACTAACTAACTACTTTCTCGTGGGAGCCGTGGGATGCGTTTTCACTGCCACATTTCTGTGTCGACGTTTCTCATCTATGAAACTCCAACGAACCCATCAACTGTTAACCATGACTTTCCAATCTACGGCACGAGTGCATGAGCACGCACACGCGTTAAGCTTATAGAGAATGATGGGACGTCATGACGTCCTCCCCAATGCTACCATCGCGTGGCTGTCAATGAAACAACAGCTAATTAGTGACTAAATAACTCCACAGATGGCTTCTTCTTTCGTTTAGTTTATCGTAAAGTACTTCAATTCGAAGTAGTAAACATACACCAATATATTATTCACGAATTGATTTCAGAAATTGACAAAAGAGGTCCCATATAGGGGAGAGTGGGTTAAGTTGAGCCACCCCCTGTTGCTTGGAAATGGTGAAAGAAATTGATCATGTGACCAAATATTTAGGAGATGGGCATCAATTCATGGAGTCTGTGAAGGTTAGAAGCACATGGGTGAAGCGGTTTTTCACATTTTTCACTCTTGAAAGTGAATTCAGTCTGTCATAAGTTTTATTAGAATTGTGTTCAGACCAAAAAAAAATCATTTTAAATTTGTTTTATATGTCAACTGTGGCATATGTGAGCTACAACATGAGGTCAAAAACCTAGCATGAAAGTCCACCATTTTAGCTCAGAGGACTAATAAAGTCATAATAGTAGTTCTGGGGTAAGTTGAGCCAGAGACTCAACTGAGAAAGTAAAGGAGTCTGATGAGAGGATCAGAGTTTCAGTTCAGATTGTTGAAATGTTTTACTTTTTCTTTTCAAAAATACAGCTGTGAATGTTCTAAATCACTTAAAGACATTCTCATGTCAAAAAGACTTTTTACAAAACAGCTTTTTAGCAGTTGCATGTTATGATAATAAAATGAATTATTGTAACAGTTGGATAGCATATAATAGATAAAAATACACATGAATGTGAAGAAGTGACTGTTATTTAGGGAGAGAGAAGGTGAGGGAGGGCTGGGGTGGCGAGTACACGGGGTAAGTTGACCATAGGAGACCACTTTTTTTGGCATGCTATATTATCAAGACAGTTCTGTTTACACTCATTCTGTTGGTTTGCAGGGATGCACAACATCTTGAAATATATGCAGATACACTAGTTAGAGACAAAACTATGATTGCCTTGATGTAGTGATCCGAAATATGAAAAATGGCTCATCTTACCCCACTCTCCCCTAATTACGGATCTAAAAAGATTAATTCAATCCAAGCTGATGTGATCCAATTTTGGGTTGCATCTAAAGAACATACAGTTTAAATATATAAAAAATATTTTTAATGCATATCTTAAAAACTGATTACTTTTCACCCTGCAGTGTCTTAATGTGTGATATACAATAGCTGAGGATGCAATAATATGCAGGTTTCATCTCCTCTAAAGCGCTGCAGAAACTGGTAGTAAGCATAATGCCACAAGGATATCTCATTAGTCAAATAAGGTAGTGTAGCAGAGTTGTTTTTGCTCATACCATTAATCCATCCAGAGTAGTTTTACTGTTGTGTCTGTGTAATGAAAGCAGATTAGTGTTTTTATTGACTGTCAAAACCCGTTGGGATTTATGCTGCAAAATATCTGCCAAGTCATCACAAACAAAGCTAAGCAGCATGTTCAAAGGGGACTCGAGAGTTTGTGAATTAATTGAGCATCCAGGAAAAAAAAATCTATTTATAGCCTTGGGCCTAGTGCCACTGTCTGTACTTTATCATATTATCTTTGAATGTGAAACTGAAATTTCAGAACCTGAAAAATCAAAATAATGAACAGATTTTTATTTTTACTTTTACCTCTGTATGCTTATTTGAACAGCTTTAAAAAAAAAATCTGGCATTCAGTTCCACTACTGTAATAAATACATCTACATATGTGTAATTTAATTCTTCTAACAGCACATATTACGTATAAAATCCTATAAAGTATGCTATGTTGGTGACAAAACACACTTACAATGCAGGCAGAACTGATACTATCAGTGTTACATAATCATCTATTACATTATTGTATAATGGGGGCATAGATATGAGCATTGAGAGGGTTAGCTGTCAAACTGTGTTACATAAAGTTAGGTATTTCATGCATTACACAACAATTGATTGTAATATAAATCCCAGTAATGGGTTTACAGAAATAATTCAATGCAGGAATCAACCTGCACCACGTATGGAGACACATATAACATTCTAAATGACCTCAGATCTTTATTATGCTCTTGGTAATAAGTAGTAACTTTCCATCACTGGCTTCCAGTCAGCATGTCAGCTTAGTCATGCATATGAGAATCAATTGAGCTAACTTTCACGCTCTGTTAACCCAAACTCACCTCCCCACTTTGCTCATCTTTCAGGTCAAGTGATCTGAAGTAGGAGTTAAGAAACGCTATGCCGTAAAGTGGATGATATTTGTTTTTGAATGACTTTAAACGTCTATGTGATCTTTACCAGCAGACCTTACCTGAGCACAGTTACTGTCCAATGGTACAGCAATCACCCAAGATGTTCTGCAGTTTCTTCAGGGTGAAGAGACATATATTGAGGTGGGTAGCAGAGTCAAGAGGAAGCCTGTAAAGGTAGTTTAATTGCAAAAGGGAGTGTGGTATTACTTACAGTTAATACTAAAGGTTTTAATCAGCTTAATTAGTCAGGAATGATTGAATAATAAGATTTTTACTTACCTTAGTGTATATTTCCTCTTAAAATCATTTCTTTATGCGCTGAATAATGGGATCATGCCTGTTACTGCATAATTTGGCGGAAAATTCACCTTTGTCTGGCATCAAAAGACCAGCTCAAGCATGAATGTTTCAATTCAGTGTTTCCATTTGCTCCATTACAACAGAGCAGTCTGAAGGCGCAATGCCGTTTCCCACCACTTGATGGCCCTTTGAACCAACAGATCCCACTCCCACCCCTCTTTCGCCACTATCGTCATCATTGCCCACAAAATGGATGACAGCTTTTAGAAATACCAGGGTGCGTCACGACTCTGAGGTGCACACGCTGTGCCATTTATGTTCCACCTGTTTTGATGCCTCAGCAGCCCTGAGAGGAGAGGAGAGGAGAGGAGAGGAAGATAGATCATGCCTGCAGCAGCACAAGTGGCCGATGAATGTTGCAGGCTGGTGCTGTATATCAAAGCTACAGGGCTGATAACCTCCCTGTAATATCTGGCAACATCTCCTGCCTTGGAGATACTAAATAATTATCTGGGGGTCTTTTGTTGTGTCATCAATTTCCAGGAAAGAACGCAGAGCACCAAAGGAAGCATCCCTACCCTTTACTCTGCACTTTATTGCCTCTTATAAACAAATGAAAGAGAGTTTAATTATGTCGGCTTGGCTCATGTGTTTTAGTAGTAAGAGCTTGTTTACCAGGTCTATTCTTTACTCTAATCAGCTCCGTCTCTTTCTCTTATCACACTCAGAACTTAGGAAGGTTGAGCCAAGACTGCAGCCTCTTTTGCTCTCCCATGTTCCCCCTTATCTGTACCGGTTTTCTGGATACGAGTGGGTGTGTCCAAACCTAGAAGGACAAGAGGAGCTTTTTTTGTTCCCCTTAACAGCACCACATCTATTGGGAGCCTTATCCTCTCTTTACTGCCTTGACAGGGGAGAGATGTGCAGCATCAGGAGACCAAATAGCATTGAAATGAAATCGGATGAAAGATCAGTGATCCAAAGAAAGAGGACACGGTTAGCACAGGTTTGTGAGAAAACAAAAACAAAAGCCAACAGAGACTAAAACTGTGTGTCTGGGATGGCTCTTGGCTGTTTCTCTTGATTAAGGAGCTGTCCTTGAGATTTCTGCAAGAGGCTGGAATGGCCCGAGTTGAACTAGGGAGAGGTGGAGCAGGACTCCACTGATGATCCAAGAGGGAGGATTTTAGGGCAAGAGAAAAACTGAAAAGAAAGCAGCTCTTTCATACATAATAACCTGACAAATGAGAAATGTTGCCGCACAATGGGCTTTTTGTGATTCCTAATGTCACAAAGCTGCATGCAAACATAGTTTTTAGCCTCTATATACTCTCTCACATATGGGATGGCAATGAGAGTATCACAGGGAATGAGCACCCTTCTGTCAGAACTCCTCTCCCTCTGTCTTCCTCTCTTCACAGTGCAGCACTGCAGTGCCGCTCTGCACATGCCCAGACAGACTGGGAGAGAGCCACCGCAAGTTTGAGCTCACGAGAAATATTAACAGGCTGCATCACTGACACTTTGATGTACTCCTGCAAGCTGTGTTTATATCAGGGACAAAAGACTTACTTAACACAGCTGAAGATGAGTCTGTTAGTGACATTTTTGAAAGGTTAATTGCATCAACAGAAACACATTTGATGTCACAAGAATCAAACCTGTGACTTTCTCTTTGCAGGGCTTTGTTTTGTTTCAAGGTCACTCTGCCCACTGTTGAGCACAGAATCAACAAAGTTTGTGCAGCTTTAATTTACAGTGTCACACTTATCTACACTCAACAATGTAAGAATTTGGTCATCAAAGTGGTAAATTTTCCATAACAGAGTGCAGTTATCTAAATTTATGTATAGACTGTTTAAAAACACGGACAACATAACAACTCGCCTAACGTGAAAACAGAACTTTTGAACCTATACTGACTGCCAGTAGTATAAGATTAAAACTCATGTCGGATATTGTCTCTGAACTCTTGTTTTTTCACAGTATACTTGGTTCTTCTCATACTAAGTTGTGCCCATGTACTCACTCCTCTGAGAAGTTGAATTGTACCCTGGCATTCGATGCTGTAAAACGTGGTCTAACACCATGATTGATGCTTCTGTCAAAAAAAATGCAGCTCCTGCAAAGCTGTGCACACCAGATTAGCAGGGTACGCTTCACAGAAGTTGTTGAACCTTCTGTAACTGTGAGTGTCCACTTCAAATTGCCAGAAAAAGCTCTTCAGCTGTAGACGGTGCTCACTTGAAAACTCTTTGAGGTCTGATCAGTGTGAGATGTCGGTATTAATTGCAGGAGAGACTTTATTCTGGCTTTTATACAGCGGGAGAAGGATGAGATGAGTTGTCAGTGTTTTGGTAAAAACTTTGGAATTTTACAGTAAGTTAGTCATGGAGTTTAATTTCAACTTTGACTGTTAAATTATCAGCACTGATGCCCCTTTACAGATATAGCAAAAAAGACTGGTCGGTATTTATTATGGTAAAGATCTGGCAATGACATTAACATATTTTGTAGCTAAATTAATGGCAAAAAAATAGCTTTTATTTGACACAAACTTGTACATTTTATGGGATGTTATTGGATTAAATTTTTACTTTTACTGTAAAAATTAACAGCAATGAGAAAAAAATAATGAACCATATAAAAACATGTTTTTTTTCAGAGTGTACAATCAGTGGGCGACGACTTTATCGAAAAGAGGTCTATATGTTGTAATTATCTTATTACAAGTGTAGATGCCAGTATGGGTCTTTCATATATTTTTCTTACTGGAGTTTTTATTTGATAATCATAAAAAATAATTCCAGTAAAAACACTGTCATACCAAGCAAAGTTAAACCATTGCTGATGAAGTCAAATAGCTTCTCATTCTGAAAACTCTTGGTCGTCGCTATGTGGGCAAAACGGCATTATTCATTTGTTCTGTTACAGTAGCTGGAGAAACACCAATGTTCCCATCAATAATGAACCAAAATGTGATTCATAACTCACCGAAAAGGAAAAAACAATGGGTGAATAAGCAAGAGGAACTGCATCAAAAGGAGCTGCAGCTCGGAGAAGTCGAAGGAGACCTGTGGGTGTGTTACTCTTGTCTGGGTAATTTAAGAAACAAGTCAGCGACACAGGGGAGATGTATCGCTTTTTAACACCATTTTATGATGCTCCCTCTGTATCAAACATACCCGAGCGGAGACCAAGTGGAGGAGAAATAGTCTGAAAATGGTCTCAAAGGACAGGTTCACATTTTTCTAAGTGAGTGTTAAAATAACTGCAGACGGTTGGCAAAATGTTCCTCTGCCCCATTTGGACCATAAAAAGATTTAACCTTGACAGAAGTCCAAAATAAATAATGGAAATCGGGGGATTTCAACACCCATCAATTTCTACACAATCATGTTTTCAAGAAATATGTAACATTTCTAGTAAGTAAGCATGTCTAAAAATAATCAAGCTAACATTTCCCTGTTTCCAGGTCTTCCATCACCAATCCCCTCCCGTTTTAAGGCACACCTACCTGGCATTTTAGAAGACCCTTGCATTGCCTGATATGAAACAGAAAACCAGCAGGTGTTGCCGTGATAAAAGTGGGCAAGCACACAGGTTCAGAAATACTGTAAAGAATTCTACCTGACCTAAAAAACTGGTGTTTTTCTAAAAAGCTCAAAGACCGGGGGCAAGTTAAAAATTGGACAGGTGCTAGAGTGTAGAGAGGAAAGAGCATAGAAAGACTGACAAAGACCTGGCAAATTTTCTCCTGGTATGCAGACAGTGGGCATGTGAGCAAAAATATGAGTAATATCTAAGTTAGGAGAAGGACTTTCTGGTTGACATTTAAGTAGAGTTGTTGTCTTGTCCTAAACTCCTGACACTTCACTGTCTGGGATAAGGCTGGGCGATATTGCCTCAAATCAACAGCACGATACATTGAGCAGTTCACCTCGATAACAATTAATGGACGATAACTACTCCACAAGCTGCTCACATGACGTTGGTTATTGTAGTAAATTTCGGTATCAATATATTTTCAGTTTATCGCCCAGCCCTAACCTGGGACATGGAAACCTGCATGCATGTTGTTTCTTAGGAGAGAGGACGGGGGGAGACACTCTTTCTGGTGTTTTGAATTTGGACTGCACGCTCGGTTTCAGACTTACATATCCTTGATGGTAACATTGCATTTCATTGTGTCCTCTGGGAAAACATCGGAAACACTCGATGATGTGCTGGAGCAAAAAAAGATTAAGTTAGCTAACTTAAAACATAGCTTTAGCGCATTTAAGTTTATGCGAAAATGTAACATAAACTCTAAGCAGTCTATGTGGTGGAAAGGAAGGACAAGAGAGAAATCTGGTGAATAAAAATCAGATTTGTTTACATATGACTATATAGGTACCGTTCTAAGATTGACGTAAAGTGTAAATCAGTGGGTTACACTTTAAGCCAAAGCCTAATATATGTAAAATATATCCTTCCATTGTTCAAGTCATTACTCGTTTCTTTGACGGTTTTCCAGTAAATGTGGTGTCTAAATGATAAACAGCAACCCAGCCAGGAAAGTAGAGCAAAACAAGTGGAGCACAAGCATCATCACTTTGGCTCCTCTCCCTTCTTATGGCAGCAGTTTAATATACGGTTTACATCCTGTCATCTTAGGGAGAGCAATGCTCCACCACACGTCATTCTGTCTCACTCCCTCTATTCCTCCCCGCGCTCACACCAGCTGTTCGAAGGTTCACTGGTGAGTCATAAAAGGTGCAAAGAGATGTGACGTGCGAGTAAGTTTTTTTTTTTTTTTTTGAGCTGTTGTAAACATCCTCATCCGAACAGTGCTTACATGAGATCGGCTGTGATGATGATATTTGTCTTTTACGGCAGGAGGATCTGCACATAAACAGTAAGACTAAAACGCTTTAGTTAGAAAAATACAGCTTCATCGAGTCTTAGTCGTAACATTTTTACAAAATCAATCTCAAAAATGCTCTGCAGAGACAATCAAAACCTGGACAAAGCCCGTTTAAATCTCTTGCTTCATGAAGATTGCTACACCAAAAACAACGACTATTACTGTGAGATTGGAATTTTCCTTCAGTACAGAGCATGTTACTGCTCATGTCCTCTCACCAGAGCTAGGATCAATAAAAATAACCTCAGAGCAATGTCCTTGGGATGGCCACAATTCACTGC